ACCTCTTGCTTCTTACTTTTATGGGAAATGTCTTGAACAGAGGACTCTGTGGAAGCAGTGGGCCACTGGTGTCCTCTCACAGGGAAGGGAGGATGGCAGAGGGGCTGGTTAACAGTCAGTCACAGACTCCTTTTTAAAAGGAAACTGTTTAAATTCCATCCATCCCTACAGTGTGTCCTGGCCACACCGTCTCCATTCTCTCAGCTCCCCCACAGCGCATCTCCGTCTCTTAACTTTAGGTGTCTTACTAAATCCAATTAGTGCTGCCCATAGCACATGTATGTGGGGTCATACACAGGGCCAGAGGGGGCTACCAGTGCCCACTCCTCAAAGAAGAGTGACATGTCCCCCAGAAGCCATCAGCTGCCATTGGCTCCTCAGCTACGAGTTAGGTATTAGGAGCTTTCCTTACTCCGTGTTGGATATTTTAACATTTTTGGTCTTTGGTGGGTCTCTGCAGGTGATCACAGAGGCTGTGAGTTCATGTATGTAACAGCCATGTCGTGTCCAGAAGATGGCATTTCCCAGCACCCTCCCCGTGCTCCTGCACTGTGTCCTTCCCGTCTTTCCCACCCCCTCTCCTGAGATGGTCCCTGAGCCTCCTGGGGTGGGTTGGAAGGCTTGGAAGTTGGCTGCAGAGTCAGGCAGCAGGGAATGTTCTATGAGTAAATAAAGCACCATTGAATTCTACACTTTAATTGTGTGCGTGTGGTGTATGTGTGTTCTGTGTGTACACTTACACACGCCCCTCCGCATGTGTATGGATCAGAGGATGACTTTGGGTGCCAGTTCCCACCTTCCACCATGTGTTTGATCAGGCCTCTTGTCTCCTGCTGCTGTTTCTGGGGATGTCCCTGTCTCCTCCCCATCCCTCTCACCATAGGGGCACCTACACTTCAGTGTGCTACCGTGCCCGTTATGTGGGGTGGGGTCTGAACGCTGGCCCTCATGCCTGAGCAGCTGGTACTTCATCCTCTGAGCATTGCCCTGGCCTCATTTCTGTATTTTAAACGTGAATTGAGGCCAGCAGTATGATGTCAGTGGCCTATAAATTTGCTTCATATTTAGGATCCTTTGTCTTCACCATGAAAACTATTCTTAGGGGATGAAGAGATGGCTCCGCAGTTAAAAATACTGGCTGTCCTTTTGGAGGTCCTGGGTTCAATTCCCAGCACGCACATGGAAGTTCACAACCATCTATAACTACAGCCCCGTGGGATCCAATGCCCTCTTCTGGTGTGCAGACGTATATGCAGACAAACACTCATATACATAAATAAAATTTTATAAATACATAAGCAAATCTATCTTAGCATCCCTCCCACCAAGTACATTTCCTCAAGTTGGTCTAATGCTCTATTTTGCTTGCCCTGCCCTTTTTGAGACATAGGCTCATTTATGTAGCCCACACTGGCCTCATTGAGCTCTTTGTGAAGCTGAGGATGACCTTGAACTTCTGACCTTCTTGCCACTACCTTCCCAGCACTGGGATTACAGTCATGAATATGAGTTTACACCTGGGTTGGTTTTTTTTGTTTTGTTTTTTGCTTGTTTTTTTTTTTTTTTTTTTTTTTTTTTTTTAGACAGGGTTTCTCTGTGTAACAGCCCTGGCAGTCCTGGAACGAGCTTGTAGACCAGGCTGGCCTTAAACTCACAGAGATCTGCCTGCCTCTACCTCCCTAGTGCTAGGATTAAAGGCATGCGCCACCACCGCCTGGCCTGAGTTTACTTCTGGTTTTTGCCAAGCTAAGGTTGGACTCACGGCTTCATGAATGCTAGGTAAGCACTTTACCAACTGAATTACATCATCCCTCCTCCCTTTTAAAATTATCTGTGTTTGGGTTTGTGCATATACATGGAAATGCTCATAGAGACCAGAAGAGGGTGTTGGATCCCTGGAACTTGAGTTTCAGACATCTGTGTTCAGTGTTGGTGCTGGGAACTCAACTCAGGTTCTCTGGAGCAGCAGCAGTGTGCTTTCTGTTGGAAACGGATATCCTTGGTGTTAAACCAAGAGATACATGAACAGCTAGACAGTGGTGGCGCACACCTTTAATCCCAGCCCTTGGGAGACAGAGGCAGACAGATCTATGAGCTCGAGGCCAACCTGGTCTACAAAGCAAGAGCCAGGACAGTCAGGGCAGCATAGGGAAACCCTGTCTTGAACCCCCACCCATCCCACCCCTCAAAAAAGAAAGAAAGAAAATACATTAACAAAGTGAAAGTAACCAGACAGGACAATTGGGTTTTGCAAACAAAACAAAAACAGGTTAGTGAGCAAGCACCCACTCCGGGGTGGTGGAGTTCAGCTAGTTTTTATTCTGATGCAGGTAGTGAGTGTGCCTCATCCCATTGGTCAGCTTCATCCCACAGTCTGACTTGATTGACTAGTTGGCACACATGGGAAGGATGTGACAGTCACAACAGTTTCAGGACGGGGAAGTTTATGGGCTGTTGGCGTTTGGCAGGCTAGCCACCTTTGATAGAACAAACTCTTCCCATGTCCCCTGACTGCTGGGCTGAGGAGCTCTCTTCTCCTCCTGTGTCCCCTGACTGAGCTGAGAAGTTCCCTCCTCTTCCCGTGTCGCCTGACTGCTGGGCTGAGGAGTTCTCTCCTCTTCCCGTGTGCCCTGATTGTGAGCTGAGGAGGTCTCTCCTCTTCCCGTGTCCCCTGACTGAGCTGAGGAGTTCTCTCCTCTTCCCATATCCCCTGACTGCTGGGCTGAGGAGCTCTCTTCTCCTCCTGTGTCCCCTGACTGCTGGGCTGAGGAGCTCTCTTCTCCTCCTGTGTCCCCTGACTGAGCTGAGGAGTTCTCTCCTCTTCCCGTGTCCCCTGACTGCTGGGCTGAGGAGTTCTCTCCGCACTCCTCAGTCTGTTTTTGCTTTAAACTCAGATAATGCGTGTGAGTTGACTGTTAGGTTGACAGCCTCTCCCTGTCACTTCGTTTCCTGCTTCTGCTGTTTTTATGAGGACTTTGCTGTCATGGCGGTCTTGCTGATGGTGTGTGTTCTAATGTGGCATCTGTGGCACCGTCCACCTTGGTTTTGAGATAGCACCTCTTGGCCTGGTGCTCACCGAGGCTAAACTGGCTGGTGAGTCAGGCCCTGGAACTGCCTGTGTCCACCTCCAACACTGAAGTTGCTAACATGTATCTCTGTGCTGGGTTCTTTTACACACTTCCTGGGGACTGAACTCGGGTTCATTGTACTTGCAAAAGTTCTTAGCTGACTGAATTCCCCCCTCCAGAATCCTCTGTTAGGTTTAAGCCCAGATGCTTGATGGGTAAGGCAGGAGGATCTTATGTTCAAGGACTGCCTGGCTGCAGAGCAAGCTCCTGGCTAGCCCGGGTCACTTAGTAATATCTTGTCTCAGAATGAGGGTAAAAGAAATGCTCAGGCCTGAGCATGTGCTGAGTGTGGAGTGCTTGCTTGGCCCCACAAGGCCCCAGGTTCTGCCTCCCAGTACTAAAAATCAGTACAACAGCAACACCAAAACTCTTCCATGTTTTCCTTTGGTCATTGCGATGCCTGGACACAGTCTTTTTTTAGTCCCGTTTGGGTTTGTTAAACTTCCAGGATCTATGAATGATGTTTCTTGTCAACTTTGGTAAGTTATTAGCTATTATCTTCTCAGGTGTTCTGCCTTATTCTCTGCCACCGTCTGTGGCTTCATTCACATGTTTCAGACAGTGTGATTGTCCTTCAAGGCTCACCAAGTCTTATTTATACATTTGTTCTTTGTCTAGTTCTGTGTCTTTTAAATTCTTTTTCCTTAAATAACCACTGTCCTGTCTTCACCCACAGGTGCATTCTTGTAAGTCCACCCAGCAGGTTTCTGTTCTGTTAGCATTTTTAAAGTACAAATATTATGTTTGTGGTTTTAAAATTTCATCTTCTCTTTTTCTTTCTTTTAAATTTCTTTTTCATCTTGATCATTTTGTGCCAGTAAATTCTTTAGCATGTTTCAATGTCTGTTAATTTTAACAAGCGGATCACCCATGGCTTCTGCTTGTCCATCTCACGCATTTGTGATTTTGGATTGTAAAGATTCTAGGCAACATTACCTTCCCCCAAAGAATGCTAGCATTATGTCCAGGGGAGATGGCTCAGTGTAAAGGCTTTTGTCACCAACCTGATGACCTGAGTTTGATTTCTATACACACACACATACATAAATGTATGAGTGTTTTTCCTTCATGTCTGTCTGTGTACCATGTGTGTACCTGGTGCCTGTGAAGTCAGGGCATCAGTTCCCCTGGGACTGGACTTATAGGCAGTTGTGAGCCATTATGTGGGTGCTGGGAATCGAACCTAGGTTCTCTGTAAGAGCAGCCAGTGATCTTAACCGCTGAGCCATCTCTCCAGCATCCACACATCAGTCCAGGCGGATCTCACACTAGCTTTCCTCCTGTTTCCGCCAACAGCTCCTTCTTCGTAAGAACTGCTCTGCACATACTTTGTTAGGGCTCTGCTCACCATAGAACTGAGCACCTACCATCCCAGCAGGAGCACAGAGAATGGCGTTGGTTTTCATTTGGGATGGGGCCCGGGTGAGAACTTACCACCACACTGCGGAGGAAAGGCCGAGAGCACAGAGTCCTGGGCACAAAGCAGATTGCAGCTCCATGGGTCACAGGTATCCTGGACACACAGTCTGAGGAATGAGGCAGGCAGGGTCCACCTGAAATAAATGCCAGCCCATCACCCGTGCCTGCCCATCACCCGTGCCTGCCCATCACTGAGCCTGCCCATCATCCGTGCCTGCCAATCACCCATCCTGCTCATCACCCGTGCCTGCCCATCACCCATGCCTGCCCATCACCCGTGCCTGCCCATCACCCGTGCCTGCCCATCAGTATGCCTGCCCATCACCCATGCCTGCCCATCACTGAGCCTGCCCATCACCCGTGCCTGCCCATCAGTATGCCTGCCCATCACCCATGCCTGCCCATCACTGAGCCTGCTCATCACCGGTGCCTGCCCATCACTGTACCTGCCCATCACCGAGCCTGCCCATCACCGTGCCTGCCCATCACCAGGCACCCGTCCTCCACTGAGTCTAGGGGAAGGGTATTCCCACAGTTTACCTGCCAGGCCCGGGCGAGCTCCTCCAGGCCGGCAGCTTCCGTGCCATCTGGCAGCATTAGCTCATCATCTGCTTCTTTATTGTTGGTACCCAGAAGGCCAGCAGATGTACCTGCAGGGCAGGAGGAACCTACTGGGAAAGCCTCCGTCTCCCCTCCCCAGGACTCCAGAGCTCCCAGAAGCGGGGGTGAGGGCGGGGGAGAGGATCTGGAGATGGTGTCTATGCCTTGCAATGCTTTCCCCACTGGGCCAGTTAGCAAGCTTTCCGGGAACCTCTTGGGGGTCTAGCTGCGTGATGGGGACCTCATGAGAGCCGACTTCTCTCTGTGTGTACTGCCCCCAGGGAAGAAAGCCAAGATGGGTCAGAAACCCTGGGCCAGATGTTGGCCCTGGGAACAGGAGTGAGTCACTCAGCCTCTGCTGGGTCATCTATAACGGAACAGGACCCACCAGGACTAGAAGTAGATAGCTGTATCATACTAGCAAGGAGGTCAACAGTCACTGCCACCCCAACAGGGAAGTGGCCAGTCAGCAAAGACAACCTTCGGGATTATTTCTGCCTCTTGCCCATTGGCTTCTTCCCCACCAGGAACACCAACAACGGTGCTACTGAGAAAGGGACACATCACCCTCTGCCCTGGAGTCTGGCCATGGGATAGCCAAAAAAGGCCCTTGTGGGCAGCACCGAGCCCTGACCCACCGTGGTGCTCAGGCCCAGCGTCAGGCTGCAGAGGCCTGTGGTACATCATAAGAGACAGACACATCATCCTCACGGCTCAGCTTAACCTGGGACCCAGTGTTCAGCATAGTAGGAGGCAGGTCTATATCCCAGCAGCTGTCCCGAGGCCTGACAGTGTTGTACAGCTTGTAAGCCTGTGGACTACACGGGTAAGGCCTGAATCATTCCCAGCACCAAACCTTTAGGTGACAAAGACAAGAAGCTCCTCCCACTCCTAAGCACGCACCTTGGGATACAGAATGAGGGTTGTGTGGTTCATCTCCACTTGAAGGGCCATGAACCCCAAGCCTGTGCAGCTCAGCATCAGAGAGAACGTTTGGGGAGTGAAGTCCTTGGCTGGCAGGAAGCTGCTGCAGCAGGGACCCAGGCCCCATACCAGCCCATCAAAGTCACCAGGTTCCTGGTACTGGCAACCACAGCATAATCTGAGATGAGGCCAGGCAAGATCAACACTAAGTAAACCTGCCCAGGAACAAGTGTGTTCCCAAGTCTGGGGTCTCTGCATTCAGGGGTGCTAACCACACCAACCTGGTGCTGGGCTTCCTCTGTAGAAGGCCTTGGGCTCAGATGCTGTGCATGGAGCCCACAGGAGCCAGCTGTGCTATCCTTCCTACTGCACACAGGAAGAAACTGAGGCTGAAGAAGTTGATACAGCAGTGTGAGCCAGATGCAGGCCTCCCAGGGCCTCCCAAAGGCTGCAGACACCGCCTCCCCAGCAAGCCTGCACTCAGCGAGCGGCCTTCCAACTCCAGCTGGAACCCGGCCTGCTCCTTCATGGCCCTCTGGGAGAAGGCTGGCCTCAGAAGGCGCCCTCGGCAGCTGTGTACTCCCCGTTATATTCCGGACAAAATCCAAGGTCTGTAGCCCCAGATGACCTCACCAAGCCCAGAACCTTGTGGGACTGAGGGCTTGGCAGGCTTTCCTGTGGCTGCTTGTCATCAACTCCTTACTAGGCCCTTTGCCCCATAGGCACAGGGTTTCCCAGGGAGGAGGTGGAGAGGTCAGGCAGGACTTAGGCTGGAAGGGCCTCCTCCGTAGATGCTGCCGGCACCCATAGAACTCAGCCAGCACGTTAGCCTCAGGCAGCTGCGGAGTGGCCGCAGGAGTTTCTCCTGCATCCAGGGGTTCATCTCCCGCTGGCAGCAGAAGGTTCCTGGAGGGACACAGAGGAGCTGGACCCCCTATGAAGCTGGGATGTCCCACTGAGCCTCACCGCCTTTCCCTGGTGGGTGGTGATGTCACATTAGCAGGCTATCCCCTAGAGAGGGCCTGCCTCTGTCTGAGAAAGTGTCCTTACAAGATGGACCAAGGCCCTGCAGTAAAGGCGCAGCTGTCTGATTTTTTTTACCCTGCTCCAGGGTGCAGTGGGGTGATAGGATGGGCACGGACACCAAGGAAGGGGAAGCCTACTCAGGGTGCTGTGTCACTGACACTTGTATCAGGGATACAAACATAGTGAGATGATGCCGAATGGGCTAGAACAGGGTTCAGCCAAAGGGAAGCTGGGAAGGGCAAAATGATCGTTGGGATTTCCACAGGCACCGAAAAGACTCTAGAACTTTCCATGACTGTGGAACAGAGCCCAGCAAACCTGGGGTTTGAAGGAGCAAGGAGGCAGCTAACCCTGGGCTACAGTAGGAAGGGGGATGGGCCCTGGGCATGGCCACCACAGAGCTACAGGAACAAACCTTCACTGTCACAAGAGACCTCACTCAGTCCCATCTGCTGGAGCGTTCTTCCTACACAGACCCTGCCAGGTTTGCAGCTGTATCTCCACTCATTCTCCTAGGAGGCATGTCCCAAGTTTACAGGTGGGTAAACTGAGGCAGAATAGGAGTCCAACCAAGTAGGCCCAAATTTTTCATACCCATTCTGCCACCTGCTGGAGTAGGTGGGAACTGCAGGCATTCTTGGAGGCTCCTACCTGTGCGTCCTGTGCTGCCACTTGTCCAGGCTAATCCCTGTTCACCCAACACCTAAGGTGCCAGCACCCTGCCTCAGTCTTCCAGAGCTGTGTGAGAATAATTCCTGTGGTTCAAGACACCACATTTCTAGTTACACAGCATTGGTTACACACGTACAGAAACCACACAATCTTGTCACCATCTGTAAAGGGACCTCCATCATCCTTCTAGCTGCCGAGGCCACGTACTTGGGAATCTTCTCTCACTCTTTGTACCACCGACCTCCAGCTGAGTCTCAGTCCTCCAGGCTAACCTTAAACATAGCTATGTTCTGGCTGTCTCTCATCCCTTCCATGCCGCCACTGTCCCGGCAACCACATACCCAGCCACATTGTCAAAATAAGGCCCTACCCCCTGCCCATCTTCATAATCTGTCCTCAACATGATCTGCTATGCCCAAATCCCAGAAGTCCCCGCAAAAGCCAACAAGGAGACCGAGTCCTGTATGTAAAAGCAAAGAGCCTTTATTTTATGCAAGTTTGCAAACTCAGTCTCTCCGCACGTCCAACGTATTGGAATAAATGGAGAGTCCCGAGCTCAGTTAGAATTGGGTTTTTAGCCGGGCGGTGGTGGTGCACGCCTTTAATCCCAGCACTCGGGAGGCAGAGGCAGGCAGATCTCTGTGAGTTCGAGACCAGCCTGGTCTACGAGAGCTAGTTCCAGGACAGGCTCCAAAACCACAGAGAAACCCTGTCTCGAAAAACCAAAAACAAAAAAACAAACAAACAAACAAACAAACAAAAAAAAAGAATTGGGTTTTTATAGTAGTAGAGGTGGGGGTGAGGGGTTTCTGAGGTTCAGGACCCCTGATTGGCTGTCATTTGTCTGGGGTGTGCTGGTGAGTGTGTGCAGGCAGGAGGTCCTATCTATAGCAGTTGGAATGCCAGGCATTTCCTTTGGATGGTCTGTTCTTGGGTGGTGCTCAGGTAATCTCAGCTTGTGGTTCTTCCTGCAACCAGGTATTACTTCAGGGTAAACTACTGAGACTCGGGCCTCTTATTAAATTTATCGATGGCCGAGTTCTACACTGGCGGGTTGGAAGTAAAGAACTTCCTTTGGGTGATCTGCCCATACTTAGCTTATCATGGCTGGCCCCCACAGATCCACCTTTCCTTGGGCTAAAACCCTTGTTTGGCATGTGTGCCTATCTCCAAGCAGGAGCCAAGACCCTGGGCCACCATGATCCTGTCCAAGGCCTGCTGGCCTCCTTATTGTTCTCCAGACACGCACCAAACGGTGCACTTGCCTCTGCCTGCCCAGAATTCTCTGCTCAAAGGTCACCTGGGCCAAAATGCTTGCCACACAAGCATAAGGACTGGAGGTCAGAACTCCATATGAACGGGGTGATCATGATGGCACTTGTAATTTCTTTCTCAGAAGGTGAGGCAGATGGTCCCCAAAGCAAACTGGCTAACAAGACTACTCATCTGTGAGCTCTGGGTTTGACTGAGAGAGCCTGCCTCAATGAGTAAGGTGGAAAAACAATAAAGATTATTCTATCAGCTTCAAGCCTCCATATACTGTGCACACATCTGTGGGCCCACAGAAATGTATACCACACACACAAGAAATGGGGATCCCCTTCTCGGCCAAACTGCACCATCACACACACCCCTCCTCTTCAATCCACTTGCTGACCACGGCTTTCAGTAGCACATGCCACCTAACACATAGGTCAGTGTAGTGAGCTGCGTGGTGTCACACCTGATGGAGATGTATAATCAACTCCTGAGATGGCTAAGGCCTGACCTATGCTATGATCACGCAATGATTATCAGCTGCCTGCATATGCGTGAACCTATGGGCAGTGCCCACCTGGCAGTTCGGGGTTGGCAGCCCATGCCTACTTAAGGGCTGGGAGAGGTTTGCCCAGAGAGAGAGGAGAGAGAGGAAAGAGAGAGAGGAGAGAGGGGAGAGAGAGAGAAGTGATAGAAGTCCTGGAATAAACTGCAGTGAGAAGAGCTCCGGTGTGTCGTGCGTCATCCTTGCTGGACGAGGTAGAGCCGTGACAGGTCAGGGACTGGGACCCTGCCCCCCAGACCAAATCCATGCAGCTGGCCAAGAATGGCTTTCCCATAGCTAAGGCTTTTGCAAAACCAAGTAGAATATGAACAGAGCTTTTGCAGGGCCTGAAACTCAGTTTCCCCTGTCAGAAGAGGACCACCTGTATGGCATTGTTGTCCTAAGAGTGAGATGGGCCAGTTTCCCATTGCTGTGTCCCGCCATGTAGCAGGAACACAGAACCCACAAGTCTCTGTGCCCCCCACTTATCTAACTGAGTACATGCTCCATAAGGATTTGCAGAGTTGCCTCAGGGCCCAGGAAACCTCAGCCCAGGACAGTGTATGGTGGGTGGCCTGGGTAGGGCAGGGACAACCATCAGAGCCACCCTCAATTAGTTCAACCCCACCCCACCCTTTCACACACACCCTCACCAGCTCCAGGGCAGCCTGAGCAGCCAAGCCTATAGCCACTGCCTGGCTTCTTTAGCCCCCTCTCACCACACCTCATCCAGCAACTGCAGCATCACCTCTGAGTAGGCCTCCTTTAGTGTGACCAGGGGCTCTGCAATAGGTAGTCACCCTGAGTGAGGCCCCAGAGCTCCTGGAAGCAGATGAGAACCTTTATAGTGTGAGCAAGGCAAGCCAACCATGCCTAACATCCCAGGCCTAGAGGACATAGAGCCTGTGCCCTGGAGTAAGGCTGGAGTAGAAATAAGGGAGGGCACACTAGGACTGCTGACCTGGTTACCTGGAATTGGTGGGAAGGGCCTGCTATCCGGTTTGTGCAAGTGTGCCTCCCAGCTGGAAAGCCCTGTAACAAGGCTGGTGGAACCCCTGTGTATCTACACGGTGCTTCCCTGGTAAATGCTTCCTGTGGGCATTACAGTTCAACCCAGGGGGAGTTGGTGGCATCCAGTGTGACATGTTGAGGCTCTGGATGCTGCATGTAGGGTTCCTGGACTCCAGCCTCCTGCCCCGTAATCAACTCTGCTCTTTACCCTGTGCTGCAGTTGACAGTCATAGCCATGAGGACATCTGTGTGCTCCTGGCCAGTCACTGACACAGGGACTCAGGCATAGCTAGTTCTGAGCTAGGACAGAGACAAGTCCCTAGTCAGCGACACAGGGACTCAGGCATAGCCAGTTCTGAGCTAGAGGCAGAGACAAGTCACCACTGATTACTTTAGTCCTGGACAAGGGTCTCAGGGACTGAAGGAGGACCAAGAGTGTTCCTTAATTGTGGGGAGTCCAGGTTCTCAGCTTGCTTGGGGAGAGGGTCCTCAGGGCTGGGTTGTGTGCTAACCAGAACAGAAACCTTGCTGGAGCTCATAGACAGATACCCAGTGGTGACCCTGGATTCTCACAGCAAGGCTGGGTGCATGAGAGAAGCCAGGCAGAGGGCAGATGAAGCCTGGGCAGCAGACATTACTTTGGAGCCTATGAGGATGGAGAAAGCATGTCAGAAGGGCACAGAGGCTGCAGGAGCCTAAGAAATAAGGTGGGGGGGGGGGGCTCTAAAGAAATTAGACTTTCATTCTGACTGAGGCAGTGGTGTGAAGACAGGTGTGCAGGCCTGGGGACCCTGGGCCAGCATAGTGCAGGGTGTGCCCTCTCCTGTACTCACGGTCCAGCTCATGCCGCGGCTGCTCCAGGTAGAGAGGCAGGTGACCAGTCAGCATTTGCTTGACCTGACCCTGGCCCCACAAGGTGGCCACCACCTGGCCACCTGCCTAAACAGCGCCTAGCCCCATCCAGGTCAACTGTACCAGGCACTCTGTTGCTCTATCCAGGGTGCCCACCGGCTGTACCTAGGCAGGAAAACTAAGGCAAGATCGGAGGGAAGTCTACAGAGATAGCACTCTCCAGCCTTTTATACTGGGGCTTGAGAACTGGGCACCCCAACATGATGCCTTAACAGGGACTACTCACCAGGTTCTGATCTCACATAGTAACCCAGGCATGTGGTCCTCTCTTCCAGCTGGGCTTGCACCCGGGAACTGTCATCCTGGACTGTGGGGCAAAGGGACAGGCGAGAACTGGAGAAAAGGTCCTCGTAGGGACTGGAGGATGTGCCTGCTGCCCTAAACTTGTCCACTCTGATTTTCTAGGCATTGCTGCACTTTCCAAGAGCCCTCCATCCCAGGCCTGCTTACCTCCATGTGGCTCAGCAGGGGCCCTGAAAGCCTTGTACAACTAGGAAGAGGCCCTGGTTAGCTACCTGCAGAGCCAGGCATCCCAGTGGCTGAATGTGCTGCTCACTGCACTGAAGCAGGGCCTCCCCCTCCACGGCTCTCTTGTGGGGGCATGCCTGTAGCTTCACCCTCTTCTCTGCTCTCTGGAGCCCAGGAGGGACTGAGTTTGCCTCCATGCCTTCTCTCTCTGCCTCCCCAGTTCCCTACACAAAACCTCAGGCTGTTATGGTTTAAGAGCCTTGAGCTGTACCACTTAGGTGATCCCTTCTCCTGCTCTAGTTAAAGTCCCCACTTCACACCCACCTCTGGGTGGATGAGCTACATCCACTCCCATCCCCTGCTGCCCCACAGCCTCGCCTGACTCAACAAAGTCACGACAGATATGGATAAGAAGTTCACCCCAAATCTGGGGTTTTCTTGTGCTTCTAAGTTCTCAACAGGACAGAAATAGGGATCCCCTGTCCTCCCTTGGACAAAGGTGAGGCCTAGCTTAGCTGGCCTGGATACCTGTTGTTATTCTTAAAATATTTCTAAGATGTTTGTGGCACAGCTGCTAGCCCTGAAGAGACAGTTGTCGGTCCCCTGGGGCGGGCTGGCAGAGCCGCCATGCGACAAGCGGCTAGTTTCCCACCAGCGGGAGGGCATGTGCCACGTGGGCGGTGGCGGCGGGTAACAGACACATAAACACAAAAGATAGGCATAAAGGTAAAATATTTATTACAGGAGAGAGAGAGAGAGAGAGAGAGAGAGAGAGAGAGAGAGAGAGGATAAAAGGAGAGAAAGACAGAACATGTGCGCACGCCAAGAAAGCAGAAAAGGAAAAGGGCAAGATGGCGGCGGGCAGATCAGAGGTAATGGGTGTGGGCATGGCTTGTCCCTTAAAGGGATGGGAAAGCACAACACCTTCCACTTACCTTCCATGTGGGCGGCAGAAGTCTGAAGACAGCTCAGGGCCCACAACACAAACAGCCTTAGTTTCTCATCCTTATCCATGCTGCCCTCCAGCAGGACCAGGCTTTGGGAAGCTGAGGTAGAGATGCTGCCCAGCAGGAGGAGCTGCTGAGCCCTGGAGCCTTGAAGCTATGAACCAGACTGAGTGGGCCTGGCTACTGGGCTGCTCTGGTTTTTGGCCTCTGCCTGTCCAAGGCTCAGGGAAGGGCTAGGGCTGATCTAATCAGTAGAGAAGAGACAGGAAAAATACCCACACTGTTCTTCCAGGAGCACCGGGTTCCCTGCTCGTCACATGGCTCGGAATCCCACCACATACAGTAGAACATATATAGCAAAGCCCGCTTGTAGGTGTCTCCCCACCAACCCAGTCTAGGAGGCTTAGAACCCTTGTCCTTGCACACTCTTGAGACGGATGCAACTGGTCTGGGGATTCTAGTCCCAGTGTCCATGGGACATAAAGCCTGGGTCATTGTGTTTACCCAAATCCTGATAGGCACCCATCCTTGAGGGAGGAGGTACAAGACAAATGTTTTTGAATGAACTGGAACAATGCCAAAGGCTTTAAGGTCCCAGGGGAGGGACCATTAAAAATGACCAAGAGACTGGTAGAGCAACTGGGAGAAGGGAGACACTCCTGCTCTGGCCACTGCCCTGTATTCTGTAGGCTAGATCCTGCAACTCAAAGCCGTGCAACCTTAAATAAGGGTATCACCTTCTCTGAGCCTCAGCTTCTGGCTGTAATATGACATAGATCAGCAGAAATCAGAGGTTCCATTGAGTCTTAGGGTTGAGCTGCATTCATCAGTCTCTGATGTCTTTGCTGTGGTGGTCAAGGAAAAATGAGGCCACAGTGGGATAAAGCAGACCGTGAATGCAAAATGCTGCATTGCTGAAGGCGGTACAGACCAGGGGCTGGGCAAGGACTGCAGGGCAGCACTGTAAGCCAAGGACAACCAGGAGCTGCTTGGAGCTAGCGTGGCTGGGGACCTGACAAGCCAGCCTTCAGTTTGTCTTCAGCGCCATTAGTTACGGCCGGAGAACAAGGACCCACCAGCCACGGTTGGCTTGGGTCTGTTATTTGTGAGCAAAGGCTATGCACCTCACAGACTCCAGAGTGGGGTAAGGAGAGCGGAGGGTGGGGACCACATTTGGGTGCTCCCAAGTGCTTGCCCTCAGGCCTTACTCTCTGTCTCTAATTCCAGGAGTGGAATCAAGCACCCGTTCGTAGCTGGGCAGAGCAGGCCTGGTTGTAATTGAGGAAGTGGCAGGCCCAGAGACTCAGCCTGATATGAATGGCCATGGCCTCTGGGCATGACCCCACCTAGAAATGTCATCTGTGATGGCTATTCTTGGTTATCAACTTGACAACATCTAGAGTTGACTAAAACCCAACTGTGGCTGGGCACACCTGTGAGGAATTCTCTCTCTCTCTCTCTCTCTCTCTCTCTCTCTCTCTCCTTTTTTAATTTTTAAAGACAGTTTTTATTTTGAGGCAGGGTTTCACTGTAGTTTTAGAGCCTGTCCTGGAACTAGCTCTTGTAGACCAGGCTAGCCTCGAACTCACAGAGATCTGACTGCCTCTGCCTCCCAAGTGCTGGGATTAAAGGCGCGAGCCACCACCACCTGGCTAAGACAGGGTTTTTTTTTTCTGTGTAGTCCTGACTGTTCTATAAGTCCTCTGTGGACCAGGCTGGCCTCAAACTCGCAGAAATCCACCTGCCTCTGCCTCCCTAGTGCTGATTAAAGGTGTGCGCCACCACCACCCAGCTCAGGAATTTCCTTCTTAATTTGATAATTTAAAGTGGGAATATCTACTTTGAATCTTTTGAGGGGGTGTCATCCACCTCTAATCTGGCCTCTAATCTAACCTGCTGGCACGTCCATTCCTTCACTGGCAGTAGAGCCTACTTCTTCGGCATTATGGTGTCTACTGAAGGCCAGCTGAGACATCCAGCCTCGTGGACTGAGTACTTACTGGGTTCTAGGACTTTCCATTGGTAGAAAGCCATTGTCAGGCTAGCTGGACCACAGCCTGTGAGTCACTCTAATAAGTCCCCTTTCTATAGATTCATTCCATCAGATCTGTTCCTCTAGAGAACCTTGACTGATACACCATCCTTGTCCCATTTGAGAAGGATAGAATCTGTCTCTTGGTTATAGAAAGGGAAGGAAGGACCGTGGAGTAATGGAGGAGCCACTCTGGGGTCTGAACAATAAATATTCCCCAGAATGAATACTCTACACGCTTCTAGTCCTGGACTAGTAGCGTACAGACCTGAAGTTCCACTGATAGCCATTAGATGGCAGTGCAGCCCAGACAGAGGGGCTGCTGGCATGGAAACTTGGAAGGATTAGACATTTACCTCCACCTGCACAGAGAAGTCAGGTGCATTAGTTCTGCTGTGGTTGTAGGGGGTGAGGCTAAAGTGCAGGCCCTGGTCATGGTCTGGAGGAAGACCCAGCTGGTATTGAGAACGCAACAGTAGTGCACCCTGGTCCAGACTGTGCTCCCGGGAGAATGAGAGGACCTGAAGGAAGACTGCAGAGGTTCAGAGGTCAGGAGACACAGGGAGAATGGCTTTGTCCCCACTGGATTTTGGCCCAAGCTGTGATCCCTCCCACCCGGATTGCTGTAACAGGCTGTGCAGGTGACAGGTCCTACTGCCCCTCCCACAACCTTCTTCAGCAAAACCTGCACATGTGCCTGTGTGGGGGTGAAACATGCATGTACATGTACCTGTGTGTGGATAAAACATGCCTGCACAGGTGCCCGTGTGTGGGTGAAGCATGCCTGCACAGGTGCCCGTGTGTGGGTGAAGCATGCATGCACAGGTGCCCGTGTGTGGGTAAAACATGTCTGCACAGGTGCCCGTGTGTGGGTGAAGCATGCACGCACAGGTGCCCGTGTGTGAGTGAAGCATGCCTGCACAGGTGCCTGTGTGTGAGTGAAGCATGCCTGCACAGGTACCCTGTGTGGGTGAAGCATGCCTGCACAGGTGCCCGTGTGTGGGTGAAGCATGCCTGCACAGGTGCCCGTGTGTGGGCAAAGCATGCCTGCACAGGTGCCCATGTGTGGGTGAAACATGTCTGCACAGGTGCCCGTGTGAGTGAAGCATGCCTGCACAGGTGCCTGTGTGAGTGAATCATGCCTGCACAGGTGCCTGTGTGAATGAAGCATGCCTGCACAGGTGCCCGTGTGAGTAAAGCATGCCTGCACAGGTGCCCGTGTCGGTGAAGCATGCATGCACAGGTGCCCATGTGTGGGTAAAGCATGCACGCACAGGTGCCCGTGTGTGAGTGAAGCATGCCTGCACAGGTGCCTGTGTGGATGAAACATGCCTGCACAGGTGCCTGTGTGAGTGAAGCATGCCTGCACAGGTGCCTGTGTGAGCGAAGCATGTCTGCACAGGTGCCTATGCATAACTCCTGCACAGTGCCTGTGTGTGACCTCTGCGGGGCCTGCAGGTGTCCTGAGACCACTCGTAAGCCCTGCTCCCATCCCACCCTCCCCCAGGCCCTGAGCATACGACTTTGGTCTGTCCTGTTTTCCTCCACTCTGGACAGCTAGCTCTCCAGCAGAGTGGCACCTGCCTCTCACTCAGCAGATGGATAGATGGCTGGGTGGGTGGTAGGTGGACAGCAGGAGGGTGGGCGGGAAGGCAGGTAGGTATGAGCATGGGTGGGGAAGGGACAGGAAAGAGGAAGAGAGATGGATAGGGGGACCTGAGAATGGTGGGGGGCTCAGGCGACAAGCCCAGGTAGTGGCAGGATTGGGTCCCAGTGTGTGCCTCAGCAGTGGTGTTGGTGACAGCTCTCGTTTGCACATCCTCCTGAATATCACAATCTCCCCGCTTCCTTCTCTCATGTAAACTAGTGATAGATGCCCCACAGCTGATGTGTGCAGAGCCACTGTGACAGTTCCGCCTGTCCCAGGTACTCCCCCTCCTCAGGGCCCTGGTTCCTTGTACCCACCCTGCTCAGCAGACTCACCCTGGGCAAGCTGCAAAGCCCCAGATGAAGGGTGAAGCTTAACTGTGTGTGTGGTCAGTCTCCACTGTGCCCTGGAAGCTGTGCTGGACACAGGGGCCCGTGAGGATGTCCTCTAGTGTGGCCTGTGTGTGGACCTTGTCCCATTGGGGCAGCTGATGCTTCTGGAATGGATCATGACGTGAGGGTTATCACATAGGAGAGAATGCCCACAGTACCCACAGGGGTGAGTGTCACCCACACAGAGACAAAGTGCCAGTGACCCCAGCCTTAGGACCCCAGGGTCTCAGAAACCTGGGGCAGGGGGCTGAGGTGGACAGACTCAGAGCCAGGGTCTCAGAAACCTGGGGCAGGGGGCTGAGGTGGACAGACTCAGAGCCAGAGTCCCCATTTCAGTGCAGTCTCTCTTTTGTCCCACACTCTGAAGAGCTGCACTCAGCCCTCTGGAAGCCCTGGTTGATGGGGAGATGGGAGGTGAGCCCTGCCCCTCCCCCATATGTACAGACCCTAGCACTAGCAGCGCCTACACACTGCTGAACACCAATCGGAGTGATCTATTTCCTGGTAGGACAGGACTATCACATCCATTTCACATGAAGCAAGGCTCAGCTAGAGGAAAGAGTGGCCTAGATCCCATGGCGTAGTCAGCACCTGAACCCAGAACTACACTGCCTTAAGCTCGGCACTTCCCATAGCTGCCAGGGCTCCCTGCCAATGCCTGGCTCTGAGTCTGGCTTCCTGGGCCTCATGTCACATTCTGCTGCGGCTGGTGTTGGCCCCAGGAGAGAGACCCGGATCTGAGTCAGGGCCACACAGGCCTGCAGCGGGCCCAGGGCCCAAGTTCCCTTGAGCTAACATGAACCAAAAGATGAGCCCAAGGCCTACTGGGTGGCCCAGAATGAGGATCCTAAGCAAGAGGTCACCAGTGAGCCAGTTAGGAGGCAGTCAAGCAGCCATCCCAGGCCACACTGTGTGTAGAGGACCTGTTAGCCCAGGTAACCTCCAGAGTCACAGGTGAGCCTCTGTCCCTTGATTGCTGAATCTCTATGAGGAGGGAACAGAGGTGAGGCCATCACCGCCTCTGACAAGGAGATTTTGGCTGGATTGTGGCTGCCTTCATCTTCCCTGGAGAAGAAGTGGGCTTCAGGAACTTTGGTCCTCCTACTAGGACTCCAGAACCCCATACTGGGAAACTGAGAAAGGCCTCACCCTTCTGGGTCCTGAGTGTCCTACCCTACCATCAGCCAGTCTCTTCCATCAGAAGCTCCTCAGCTTAGCTCCGACCTCAGGGCCTTTGCACTTACTGCTCCAGAGCTCACATTCCTAGGTCCTTGGCTGACAGCCTCCTCTCCCATCAAGGTCTCCCCTGACCTTTCAAATCCAGCTCCCTGTGTCCTTGCTATCACAACTGCTTGCATTGTCCCAGCCCCGGCCTCAGGACATGCCATTGTTCCTTGATGACCACTGGAATGTTCAAGCCTTGGCCTTCAGAGGCTTGTTACCACTTCCCCTCCTGACCTCTGAGCAGCCACCAGGGAGCACACTTTGGCTGACTGACCCTAGCCTCAAACTAGGCTTCAGGTGACAGCCAGAGGGTACTGAGCTCCAGAGAGAACCCAGAGACCAACAGAGACCCCTCCCCTTAGCTTGTTGCTGACCTTGATGCAGGGGCCTACCGCAGCCTCCCTGCTCACCCTCCTGGTAACTTTAAACCACTGGGCTTCATTCAGGACAATTTAGTACACCTATTCGTATGTGTACATGAACATACATGTGCCACAGTCCACATGTGTGGGGGATCAGAGAACAGTTGTGGGAGTTGGTTGTCTCCTTTAGCTTCTGGGTCCCAGCTCAGGTTGTCACCCACTGAAACATCTCATTGGCTCCATTTTGCTTTTGTTGCTAATTTTGATTTATTTGGGACAAGGTTTTATGTAGCTGAGAATGACCTTGAACTCCTGACCTTCCAGCCTCTACTTCCTGGGGGTTGAGATTACAGTCATGCCCCCCCCCCCCACACACACTGTTTTTTAAGGTGCTGGGGATCAAATGCTCTAAGCAAGCACTTACTCTACCAACTGGGCTGCAGCTCCACCTAGCTCTTTGCCTATCTCCTTTGAGAGCCATCTTTTGTGTCCTGAGGATTCTAGAGGCCTAGAATAGCACAAGGAAAAGCAGGCACTCACCGTGGCAAGTGAGAGCACCCCGAAGCCCACGCCTCCTGCTCCTCAGCTACTCACCCTGAGTCCCCAGGCTCTGAGACGGGCCTGGAGAGGCTTCCAATGAGGGCCAGTTCCCTGCCATCCCACTGCACAGCCTGGTGCCAGACAGGCTCTCTGGAACACAGTCCTCAGGGTCAGCTCTGCGTGAAGGGTGCTGAGCCAGAAGAGAATGGGGTGGCTAGTGCATCGCCTCTCAGAGCCGAGCCGCACACCAGCCTGGGGCGGGGAAGGGCAGATGCATCCAGAAAGGGAAAAAAGTTGTGTGTGGTCAGAACCACAATACTAATCAGAACCACAATGCTAAGTATATCCTAAGTGTGAGTGGACAGTGTAGAGGGAGAGGGTGGGCTGAGACATTTCTTCCAGAGCCTGGAAGGAAGGAAGTTGTAGCAGAGACTCCAGCCTATTTGGGCTGACAGGCCTGACACCTGCAGACCAACCACACTTCCTCCTGCCATCCCCTCCCAGCCCCAGGGCTTCTAGCCAGTTCTCGACTCATCCCCATCCCAGACCCTTAGCATAGAATGCTCTTTCCCCCAAAATGCTTGTTGTATAGCTCAAGTGTCACCTCCTTAGGTGACACTTCCTGACCCCTAATCATATATATGGTTTATTTATATGACTTTTGCCACCTGCCTCAACTAGATGATCTATTCAGTGACAGCCAGAGCCTACCAGTTCTGTCCTGTGCTATATCCCAGCTTCTTTCTGGAACAATGCCTAGGATTAAGAGATGACCACTAAAGACAGACACACAGCTGAGAGTCCCTTCCAGCCAGTTTGCCGCCTTCAGAGCCCGGCTTATACCAGTCCCCACAAAAGTGAGGTCTCAAACACGATTTCTCTTTTCTTAGGAACCTCCACACCTGGAGGAAGGTCAGTTGCAGCTGAATAGCATTGTCTAGGCTGTCCTTAGCAGCCCGCAGGCTGGCACTGACATGGGAACGGCGCTCCTCCATCCCTAGGACAGCAGTGCTTTGGGTCTCATCCTTGGAGTACCGGAGCTGGTGAAGGGAAAGTGTAGGGGATCAGATCTCAGCCAGATGATGCTTAGCTCCAGGCTTTGCTCCCAGAGCCCCAGAAAGGGGCCTACAGCTTCCTGAGATGAACAAACTCTGATGAAATAAGGATCTTGGGTCTAGGCAGGCCCTGAGGTGTGATGCGGGCAGCTCTTGGGCTGCAACAGTGATACAGATACTGGCTCAGGACCCGCGACAGGGATCTAGTGGTGATACCTCTTGTGACCACAGAGGGCAGCGTTACACAAGGACAATGCTCAGGGTGGTAGACCAGGCTCCATGGTGGGGCTCCTAGGTGTGGGTTGAGTTAGTGGCAATTAGATCCTTGGCTTCCTGAGCCGTGGCCTTTTAAACTTATAGCTAAGGATAAGGATGCTTGCTTTTTAAAATGGACCTAGTAGCTTTAGAAAAGGCAAGGCTTGATTGTTATATCTATAAAATGAGCTAACAAGCTGGCTATAGCTTTGTGGAAGGGTCTGGATACCTGTTGCTGCTAAACTGACAATATTATAGCTGGCCTAGCCACCAATACTATCAGAGATCCCAGAAGGATAAATAAAATATGCCTGAGTACACACCAAGTAGTTTCCAAATCTGTTAAAACTGACAGGGACCAGAGTCCATATACAGTTAGCCATACCCAGGTCTTCATAGCATTGGAGGCAGAAGTATCCAGAACAGCAGTCTTAAAGAGTCTTAGCCAGACCCATAAGGTGATTTTTTTTTTCCCTGTAGAAGAGGGCCATGGAAAAGACTGACCTTATTTCGTCTAGGAAAAGTGGTGCAATCAATTCTCCAATGCCCTGCTGTTTGCCCACAGTCTGGACCGGGTCCTGGCAGCAGGTGTTGTACGGGGCATCTCGCCCAGTGGTCAGCATTGTCATAATCCAGGTGGAGACATCATGGTCTTCCAATAATCTTCTGTGGAGACCTTGGGTTACTGCTAGGCCCTCAGAGTCTCTGTTTAATATAATAAGCTTCTTAACCATTATTTTAAATGCCACATTCTGCAGATCTCTGAAGTATGAGGGCTGCCCAGGTATGTCTGATTAGATAAACTTTGTTTCTTTTTTTTAAAAGATTTATTTATTTATTATGTACACTGTTCTATCTGTGTGTATGCCTGCAGGGCAGAAGAGGGCATCAGATCTCATTATGGATGGTTGTGAGCCACCATGTGGTTGCTGGGAATTGAACTCAGGACCTTTGGAAGAGCAGGCAGTGCTCTTAAATGCTGAGTCATCTCTCCAGCCCCTCTTTTTCTTTTTTCTTTTTATTGAGCTATATATTTTTCTCTGCTCCCCTCCCTTCTTCTCCCCTCCCCTTCTACCCTCTCCCATGGCCCCCAGGATCTTAATTTACTTAGGAGATCTTCTCTTTTTCTCTATCCTATGTAGTTTAGATCCATATATGTCTCTTAGGGTCCTCCTTGTTGTCTAGGTTCTCTGGGATTGTGCACTGTAGGCTAGTTTTCTTTGCTTCATGTCTAAAAGCCACTTATGAGTGAGTACATATGATATTTGTCTTTCTGGGTCTGGATTACCTCACTCAATGTGATGTTTTCTAGATCCATCCATTTGCCCACAAATTTCAAGATGACATTGTTTTTCTGCTGTGTAGTACTCCATTGTGTAAATGTACTACATTTTCCTTATCTATTCTTCAGTCAAGGGGCATTTGGGTTGTTTCCAGGTTTTGGCTATCACACATAATGCTGCTATGAGTATAGCAGAGTTGTTTTGATTTGCATTTCTCTGATGACTAAGGATGCTGAACATTTCATTAAGTGTCTTTCAGCCATTTTGGATTCCTCTGTTGAGAGTTCTCTGTTTAGGTTTGTACTCTTATTATTATTATTATTATTTTGATTATGTGATCTTTTGGTGTCCAATTTCTTGAGTTCTTTGTGTATTTTAGAGATCAGACCTCTGTCTGATGTGGGGTTAGTGAAGATCTTTTCCCATTCTGTAGGCTGTCGTTTTGTCTTGTTGACCGTGTCCTTTGCTTTACCTAAGTTTTTCCAGTTTCAGGAGGTCCCGTTTATTAATTGTTTCTTTCAGTGTCTGTGCTGCTGAGGTTCTATTTAGGAAGTGGTTCCCTGTGCCAATGTGTTCAAGTGTACTTCCACTTTCTCTTCTATAAGGTTCAGTGTGGCTGGCTTTATGTTGAGGTCTTTGATCCATTTGGACTTGAGTTTTATTCATGGTGATAGATATGGGTCTGTTTTCATTCTTCTACATGTTGATATCCAGTTATGCCAGCACCATTGTTAAATATGCTTTCTTTTTTTCATTTGATATTTTTTGCTTCTTTATCAAAGATCAGGTATTCGAAGATGTGTGGCTTGATATCCGGGTCTTCTGTTCAGTACCATTGGTCCTCCTGTATGTTCTTATGCCAAAACCGAGATTCCATCTTACATTTGTAAGAATGGCCAAGATCATAAACACTGATGACAACTTATGCTGGAGAGGTTGTGGCGTAAAGAGAACACTCCTGCATAACTGGTGGGAGTGCAAGCTGGCACAACCACTTTGGATATCAGTATGGATTTCTCAGAAAATTGGGAAACAACCTTCCTCAAGACCCAGTAATACCACTTTTGGTATGCTTAATCGCACCACAAGGACATGTACTCAACTATGTTCATAGCAGCTTTGCTTGTCATAGCCAGAACCTGGAAACAACCTAAATGCCCCTCGACCGAAGAATGGATAAAGAAAACGTGGTACATTTACACTATGGAGTACTACACAGCAGAAAAAAATGACAGCTTGAATTTTGCAGGAAAATGGATGGAGCTAGAAAACATCATTTTGAGTGAGGTAACCCAGACACAGAAAGGCAATTATCATGTGTACTCACTCATAGGTAGTTTTTAAACATAAAGCAAAGAAAGCCAGCCTACAAACCACAATCCCAGAGAACTTAGACAACAATGTGGACACTAAGAGAGACTTACATAGATATAATCTACCTGGGAAGTAGAAAGTAGAAAAAGACAAGATCTCTTGAGTAAATTGGGAGCATGGGGACCTTGGGGGAAGATTAAAGGGGGAGAGGAAAGGCAGGGAGGGGAGCAGAGAAAAATATAGAGGTCAGTAAATATCAATAAAATGTATAAAAAATGGAATCTCAGAGTTGTTTTGATTTGCATTTCCCTGATGACTAAGGATGTTGAACATTTCCTTAAGTGTCTTTCAGCCATTTTAGATTCCTCTGTTGAGAGTTCTCTGTTTAGGTCTGTACTCTGCAGGGAGCGGAACAGAATCGCCATTACAAGATGGAGCTGACATCCTGTCCCCTTGGAAATAAACAACTCCATATATGGCTATGCCTTTGGGAGTTGTGTGTCCCCTGCTTCCTGCATGCGCGGTGGATAAGGGCCCTTGGGCCTATCCCGATGCAGTCTGGTGTCAGCTGATGGTGGCAACCAATCACAGGGCGACCCGTGTGCCTACTCCCTATATAAGCAGCTGCTTTAGTGCTCTCGGGGCCCCTCGCTTCCTGCTCTCCCCCTCAACCAAGAAGCACTCCAATAAAGCGTGATCTGAGAAGAATCCTCGTGTGGTGGTTGTTCTTCCTTGCTGGTCAAGAAGTTCGCCACAGTGCTCCATTATTTTATTGGATTATTTGTTCTTTTGATGATTAATTTCTTAAGTTCTTTGTATATTTTAGATATCAGACCTCTGTCCAATGTGGGATTGGTGAAGATCTTTTCCCATTCTGTAGGCTGTCATTTTGTCTTGTTGACTGTGCCCTTGCTTTACAGAAGCTTCTCAGTTTCAGAAGGTTCCGTTATTGTTTCTCTCAGTGTCTGTGCTGCTGGGGTTATATTTAGGAAGTGATCTTCTGTGCCAATGTGTTCAAGTGTATTTCCCACTTTCTCTTTTATGAGGTTCAGTGTAGTTGGCTATATGTTGAGGTCTTTGATCCATTTGAACTTGAGTTTTGTGCATTGTGATAGATATGGGTCATTTTCATTCTTCTACATGTTGATATCAAGTTATGCCAGCACTATTTGTTGAATATGCTTCCTTGTCCCTTTTTTTTTTTCTTCTTTGTCAAAAATCAGGTGTTCGTAGGAATGAGGATTGATATCCGGGTCTTTGATTCAGTTCCATTGGTCCTCCCATCTGTTTTTAATGCCAATACCAGGCTGAAAAACAACAATTTTTCAATTGAAGTTCCCCTTAGTATCAATACAAAAAATTTTTTTTTTAAATATTTATTTATTTAGTATACAATATATCCCTTCAGGCCAGAAGAGGGCACCCGACCTCATTACAGATGGTTGTGAGCCACCATGTGGTTGCTGGGAATTGAACTCAGGACCTTTGGAAGAGCAGACAATGCTCTTAACCCCTGAGCCATCTCTCCAACCCCCTCAATACAAAAAATTTATCACTCAGTTTATTTAAATAGCTTAAACCCAACAAAGTTAGCAAAAACAAGGAGGCTAAATGTACATTTTTAAGCCTGAATAGACCTTGAGCAAGGAGATACATTCTTTTAAGCCACCGATTCTTAACTTTAAAATGGCTTGACCTTTTAATATAGTTTCCCATGTTGTGGTGATCCCCTATTACACAATTTTTCCTGTTGTTATTTTACAAGTAAAAGAAATGAACATCCAGTTTCTGGTTAGCATTTGGTGCTTATGGCTGTGACCTTAATTTTTAGCCTTTTATGAAGTCCAAACACATACAATATAAAACATTTTATAAGCACAAATATCTCATAGTTTTAGCTGTTCTTAAAAAATTAAAATCTCTTAAATGTCTTCCTGTAATATCAGAAATAAAGTACCTCTTTCTCTCCATCTTCGACAGCATATACATAGCCTGTCTTTTAGATCTCAGCCTGCTCTGTTTCACTGTAGCTGGTGCTTCTGGTGACTATCACCTGGCACTGGCGTTTCCAAAACTGTCAAGGTCCATTCTTGCGACTGCACATTGTTTGGGACTCCAGTCCCGCCGTGCATTTGTAAACCTCAGCTGTTTCCTATGATCCTTTTATGTCTCTATAACCATTATCACCTCGGTGACTCTTAAATTAACAACGTCTAGCTGGCAGTGCAAGGTACATTTTTGAGTATAAAAACATTGAAGTTCAACTATGTATGTTGTTTTCAGAACGGGACCTGAGCCATCATATGAAAATCTATCCCAGTCCAAACTATCTTAGAGATCTGTTGCTGCCTCCTAGTTAGGCCCCCTCCACGTGATCACGATCAAGATAGCAGTGAAATCCTGTGGCGTCCATTTTTTTTTCTAGCAAAATGCCAATCCAAAATGGAATTATGTCTTATGGTTTCCTTAAAATTACCCATGCATACAATTTAAGTTATCATTCCCCAGTGTTACTAATTAGATTTTAACTAGTTTTATTTTAATTTTAACAGATTTTTGACCATATCGAAAAATAAACTTATATATCTGAAGCTACAGAATGTGACTGTTCTGCTTTGTTTTTGTCTCCTTGTCATTGTGTCAGGGGCTTAGACTGACAGAGGAAACTTTTAAATAAACATAAGCCTGGGTCTAACAAAGGAAGAGCCACAATCCAACTTTAAAGTCAATATTTCAATAAAAAAACAGCATAAAAACAGTTTTAACATTATCTATACCAAAGATATAGTCATCTAAATTTCTGCTAACCCAAGTCCAGCAACCAGAGTTCAGAGATAAAAGTCTGAAGTCAGGCCCATGAATGTGGCCACAGCAGTGATGGGTGGCAGAGACAGCGAAAATAGCCGGACCGTCATTTCTGTCTCAGCTCCATGCTTGCAAGAAAACTTACATGGACAAACTTTTCAACAAAACAAGCACATTTAGTATTTGAAGTTATGAGAAACCACAGCAAACATAGTTCACATCCCCTTCTGACCGTCTATAACTTTTATATACTTTCATCCATTTTTCCTCTCTTCATTCTTTTAGCCTCCTGCTTTTTTCCTCTTTCCAGACAACACACCAAAGTATTTCTCACTCTCCAGACAACATAAAAACTCTTACCGAAGTCTTTCTTGTGGTTTCCCTCAGTGGTATATAATATATTGTATGGCTACAATATTTTAAACAAGAACAGAAGCATGCATATACTATAACAAAAATAACTTTAAATTACATCACATAAAATCCTGTACCAGCATGAAACATTTGAGACTAACAGTAGTTTTTTTTCCATACTCTAACCAATAGTAGTTTGTAACCAGTCCCTCTAAATGATGACAGGTATTTATAACACATTGGATCTGAATGATGAAAGAAGCTCTGGTGGAGGGAAGTCTGGCTATAGTGTCACAACATGATGACTGCAGCCTGACATCAGTGCCCTTGGCCCGAGGAGCCCACAGCCCTCAGGGCAGGCCGAGGGAACCCCTCCACCAGCATGGGAGGGGTCAGGGTGGCATGGAGCATGGGTCTTTAAGGGAAAAACCTGCAAAGGCGAAGGTAGTGCAGTCAGATTAGGTGAAATGAAAGGCTTGTCCAGTCAAGTCAGTCGTGAACAGAGATACAAAGACAGAACACACAAGACCAACAAACACAACAGTTAGACAAGGGACCCAAAACAGACTCCTGCAGGTACTAGATGGTATGGCTTGTTGAGAGCCTGGAGATTTGACCTCGACAAGACCAGAAACCATACAGATAGGACAGGAGCCATTTAGTAAGGCTACCTGATCCCCAGCAAGAAGCAGAATTTGGCAGCTTCAGCCACGTGGTTCTGCCTTTAGAATCAAGGATACTAGGAAGGGTTTACGGAATCTCCCTCCACGGCTAAGGAAAATTGTTGAGGCCAGGCATGTGGCAGGGCTGTCCCTACATGGAAGCCTAGAGAGGCCATTGTGTGAAGCTGTGAAGGTGAAGCCTGGATTATGTTGGAGAAAGATGGAGATGCCAGAGTCATGGTAACTGCCAAGGAAAGATGCTACAGGGATTAGAATCAGCTCAGAGAAAGAAGTGTGTTGTCGTCAACAAAGCTGAAAGGAGCTGGAGATCTGAAGAATGCTGTGACATCAGACATGGAGATGACGAGTTTGGAGTTTGCCCTGCTGATTTTCAGTCTGCTTTGGCCCAGTATTTTCTCACTGTGCTCTCCTTCCTCCATTTTGTGATGGTGATGCATTTCCTGTGTCATTGCATGTTGGAAGTATTGATCTTTTCTCTTTGATTTTTACAGGGGATTATGCTTAAGAGATTGCATGACTCTCAGAAGGGACTTTCAGCTTTGGACTTTTAAAGTTGGACTGAATGCTGTTTTACCAGCCTGTGGGAGACAGGGAGCAGAATGCAGTGATTTGAATGAAAATGGCCCCCATAGGCTCATTGGGACTGGTACTATTAAGAGGAGGAAGTGTGTGAGCTTTCAGGTTTCAGATGGTCAAGCCACTCCCAGTGTCCTTCTTTCTTCCTGTTCTCTTCGGATCCAGGTGTGGAACTCCCAGTTCCTTCTCCAGCACCATGTCTGCCTGCATGCCACCATGCTTTCCACCATTATGACAATGGACTAAACCTCTGAAATATAAGTCAGTCCCTAATTAAATGTTTTCTTTTATAAGAGTTGCTGTGATCATGGCATCTCTTCCCAGCAATAGAAATCCTAACTAAGACAGTGTGCTCAAGACCAGCCTGGGCTGCATAAACGGACTGTCGAGTTGGTAGAGTGATTGCCTAGCATTCAAGAGGTCCTGGTGTGGTGGTTTGAAGAAAAGTGGTCCCCTTAGGCCCCTAGGGAGTGGCACCATGTATAGCCTTGTTGGAGGAAATGTGTCACTAGGGGTGGGCTTTCAGGTTTCAGATGCTCAAGCCAGGCCCAGTGTCTCACTCTCTTCCTGCTGCCTGTGGATCCAGATGTAGAACTCTCAGCTCCTTCTCCAGCACCTGTCTGCCTGCATGCTGCCATGCTTCCCACCATGATGCTGATGGACTGAACCTCTGAACTGTAAACCAGGCCCAATTAAATGTTTCCTTTATAAGAGTTGCTATGGTCATGGTGTCTCTTCACAGCAATAGAACCCTGACTAAGACAGCTCGGTTCTGTCCTCAGCACTGAATACCCTAGGTGTGGTGGTGTATACCTTTATTGATCTGGACACCTCAAATTAAAAAAGAAAAAAAAGTTCTAGCCTGGGTTACATAAGACCAATTCTCTAAGGAACTAAACATCCTAATTTATAAACATCCTGTGTTATAATATAGAAAAAATCCTGTTCTACAAAACACTTGCCGTCTTCAGGAGTAAAGACGGAGCCTCATTAACTCAATTACACTGCAAATGTGTGGTCTGCCCTGACTAGTGGTGACTTCTTTGTCGTTGCTTGAGACAGGTTTCATGTAACCCAGGACGGCCTGAAATAAACTGTGCTGCTGAGGCTGATCTTGACCTTCTGATCCTCTTGCTTCTACCTCCCTAGTGTGGGGGTTCTGGACTGACAGGGCTGGACCCCAGGGCTTTGTGCGTGCTAGCGTTCCACCCACTGGCCCCCTGTGGGTGTCCAGCATTTCCCTGCCTGTGGCTGCAGCTAGTCTGAATAAAGCTGGAGAGAGAACTAAGGTGCTTTCCTTTGGCTGCGATGCTGAGAAAACATCCACTTGGGTGAAGGCTGCATAGAGTGTGTGCTCCGTAAGTGAAGGCAGGCCAGGATATGATCAGGGGGCTGGTAGGAAAATGCAGTGGTCGGAGGCTGGGGAGGGAGGTGTGTGTGTGTAGCTCAGTCATAGAGAGCTTGGCTAGCGCACGAGGCCCTGGGTCCGGCTCAGCACCAGAAGTTACTGGCAGGGCCAAGGGAAAGGCAATGAGGAGAATGAGAGGGAAGGGCAGGGGTTGGCAGGTACCAGCTAGTTGGCAGGCCTACCAACTCACTCTTTACTAACAGCTAATCTGTACTGGTCCCTGTGCCAAGGGCTGGCATACCCTCATTTGGGAACTAGAGACAGACAAGGACACAGCAGCGACAGTGCAGAGCAGCCTTTGGCCACGGTTTAACAAGCCATTCTGTCTACCCAGACCTCCCTGTAATGCATGCAGGGTGTGGTGGCGGAGGTGGCTCTTCTCAAAGAGCCAGGGTGCCTGCTGCAGCTGCTGGGGGCACGCCAGGCTGCAGGGGGTGGGGGTGGGAGTGTCAGGCAGCAGGCGCCAGAGCAGCAGACCCCCCAGCTCCCGAGGGTCCCCCGGGCCCCTCTGGAATGTAAACAGCAGGATGTTTGGGAAAGTCAGAGCCTGAGTTTTGGAGGTGGCCCACCGGGGCTCACTGCAGGCCTCTGACGGACAAGGATGTACGGACAGCCCCCAGCAGCCCAGGCTGCACAGGACTGCCTCAGGCAGTGTCTGGAGCTACTTAGGAGCTGGGGTTGCTGTGGCGGAGGCTGAACCCCGGGCGGCCATCGAGGAAGGAAAGGAGGCAGTGCTGGCCCTGTAGCAACAGCATCAGGCTCTTTGTTGGAAGCAAGGAAAGAGAGGCTGGAGCTGGCAGGAGGGCATCGGGCTCAGCACTACCCGGCTCAGCAGGTTGGAGGCCCCAAATGTGAGCAGTCGATCCAAGCGTGGTCACTGGTCACTGGGGCACAGCTTCCACCCAGCTCTGGCACCAGGAACCAGTTTCTTGTTCTGTACCTCTTAACCTCATTTCCCTGTAAAGGCTAAAAGTGGGTCTGGACTGAAATTGGTCCAAGAGTCCATACGCTTGGGTTTTCATGGCAGGAGCCCTCTGGGATGCGGGCAACAGGATTTACTTAGAAATCCCAGCCTCCTCCTTGGGACAGCCACCAGTCCTTCCACCAGGTGCTCATCCATGGGGCCAGGGTCTCTACAGCTGGGGCTGTTCTATGCTCCCAGGGGTGTTTAGCAGCCTTCCTCTCCCATTTAGCTACAGAAATTTATTTCCCCAAGCCTCACCCAGGTGAGAATCACGGGCTAAACCTTTTTGTTTGTTTGTTTTGTTTTTCAAGACAGGGTTTCTCTGTAGTTTTGGAGCCTGTTCTGAAACTCGCTCTGTAGACCAGGCTGGCCTCAAGATCCACCTGCTTCTGTCTCTGGAGTGCTGGGATTAAAAGGTGTGTGCCACCACTGCCCGGCTATGCCCTTAACAAGTGGGGACTGAGTTCAAGAAGTAGAGCTGGTAACTCATACCCCCCTTAAGAGTTCCAAGCCCCAAGCCAATTCCACTAAGAGCAGTGGCTGATGAGAGAGAGAGAGAGAGAGAGAGAGAGAGAGAGAGAGAGAGAGGTGGCAGAGGAGTGGGGGAGGACTCATACATGCTGTCCCAGGGGCCAGGGACTTTTTTAAAATTTATTTATTTATTTATTTATTTAGAGACAGGGTTTCTCTGTAGCTTTGGTGTCTGTCCTGGGACTAGTCTTGTAGACCAGGCTGGAGGCCAGGGAATTTTTAAGAGCTTGGTGACCTTGGAAATACCACTCTGCCTCTCTGAGTCTCCCATTCTGTAATCTCAGCGGCTTTGTGATCGTTTGGGGAGCCAACATGTCTCATTGGTGCCCAGCAGTGTCCAGCTGCCAGCTGGCTCCAGTTCCCCTCCTCCTGGACATCCCCAGAACTGGATCTGGCCACGGACATGGAGGAACAGGAGATCTTGGGTGTCGCAAGTGACTTGAAGGGATGAATTCATGTCTTCCAAGGTCCAGAGTTCTTGGAATAGTAACTGGGGAGGGACAGAGAGCAAGACACATATTATTGGAGTGCCGAGGACCCTGGAGATCAGTAGAGGTGCCTGTGTGATTCCCAGCCCTGAGCAAGACCCTGCCCAGCCTGCAACCATGCAGGCCCTGGCTCATGGCTCCCCCTGGATGTGGGACTCATGGGCAGGGCTCAGAACCAGATGGACTGGGGAAAAGGGGAATCTGCAATCTGGTGTTCTCAGTTGTGGGGTACAGGCTCTACACAATGGGGGGGCATCAGGAGCTGCTTCTTCCTTCTCAGCAGAATTATGGGACAGAAGTAAGCAGTGCCCACTGACACAGGCTTGTGGGGACAGGACACAGAGGCTCGGGCACACATGGCCAGGGCACACCCCATGCAGTGGGGACCACAGAAACACAGGGTTGAGTCCTCATTGTTTGAGCAAGTTACCTAACCCTCATGTGTACCCAGACACAGTGATGGTCCTGTCACCACTAACAACATTGTCGTAGTCAATGGTGTCCCAGCATCCTCAGCCAACAGCCTGGATCTGCACAACTCCATGCGACAGGAATATTACTTACCATCTTTATTTCACACACAAGGTGATTGGGGGCACAGAGAGAGCAAGCCGTCTGCACAAGGTTGCACAGCTGGGGATGATAGGATGTGCTGTCCTGTACAGCAGGGGTGTCAGCAGGACAAAAAGCATAGAACAGCCTGGGTGCTGCTCTCAGCACTGAGAACTGGGCCCAGAGTGCTAAGTAATGCTCACAGCACTGAGCCACATCTCCTTGGTGAAAAGAAGCTGGCCTCAGCTCTGGTTCATTACTGGACAGGCAGAGAGGATCCCGGCCAGGAGCTAGCACAAGGCTGCAGGATGCCAGGCCTGTGGTGGAAAGAGTTTACTACGTAGGCATTTGCTACAGCTGCCCATTAGTTCGTTTTTCGGAGACAAGGTTTCTCTGTGTAGCCCTGGTTGTTCTGGAACTTGCCCTGTAGACCAGGCTGACCTCAAACTTGAGATCCTTCTGCCTCTGCCTCCCGAGTGCTGGGATTGAAATCATGTCCCACAACACCTAGACTACAACTGGTTTTGTTTATTTAGAGAGCCTCTGCAGACTGTAAAGTGTTGTGACCACTTGCCAATCCTTTCCTCTGCACATGAGAAACTGGATGAGGGCTAACACGTTTGGAGAGTGGCCTGCTGGCCCTGTGGCCCCTCACTTGGCTGCTGAAGGGCAGGCCCAGTCTCTGGACAGCATGCACCATGTGGCTGGTACTCACTGTTGCTTCCAGTGCCATTTGGCAGCCAAGCCAGGAGGGCAGGCTCATTTGCCTTCACCTTGCTGTTCCTGCCACGGAGACCACATGGGCTCAAGTCTTGGTCTCTAAAGGCAGAGTGACAAGAACTGTGGGAACCTGAGCTCACTCCCTCCCTCCCCAGAGAGGAATGCAGCAGAGACGGTAATGGGGTGTGCTGCAACCTATGCACCTTGGCAGAAAGGCTACCATGCAGGCCTGGAGGGATCATTGACTGACCTCAGGCTAGCAGGTCACCTTCTAAGCCCTCATGAGATCATCTATCACAAGGCATTCCTAGACCCTCCTCTGAGAAGGCTCACCCACCCTCTCCCGCCTGCCACCCTTCCCTGCTGGGCATCTTCATCACATCACAGGGCACAGCAACCTGTGCCTCGTGGGAACACCAGCCTGGGCAAGCCTTAGCTGTGCTCTGCAGGACAGGCGGGTGCCGCTGTTGGTCTAGCAGGCACTCAGAAGCAGGCGCCTGTTGTGTGAACTTGCCAAAGGGTGAATGGCTTGTCCTGAAAGAGGTGTGGGCCAGATGCCAGCAGCTCTCCTTCAGTGAGAGACTCAGAGGTCATCTAGGATCTGGCCTGGCTTGTAGGATCCCACCCCTTCTGCCATGTGGGGAGCTTTGGCAACTTCTGCCCCGAAGTGGGGTCCCCTCTCTGTGGCTGCCTCACACGGTCCCTCCAGAGCAGGCAGCTCCAAGAGCTCACACACACACGTCCCCTGCTGTGTATAAGAAATGACTGGCAGACCTGGGAACCTAGGACTATGCAGGTGGTTCCTACTGGGTGTCAGAAGCTGGGGTCATGCTAGGTGAGGCTCACAGCTTAGGTCTGCCCGGGGGCATGGCCAGTGCCAGGAAGCCTGAGCCTTGTTGTTCTCATCTGTAAAATGGTTGGAGCCTACCCACCTCAAGACAGTACCCAGGTGACATCGTACCCAGAGGAGCTGGAGGTGGGAGTGCTCAGGGGTCAGAAAACGCTCATTTATTCTTGCATTATCCCATATCCAATCACACACGTCTGCTATGTGTAGGGTGAGGGAAGGGAGGGGACATGGATCTTATGCTTGGGGACTCCTGGCGTTCGGGGCTCCATGAAGTGTCATTGTGGGCTTGGACAACCAGACGTAGAGAGCAATGGAGGGAGGAAGGGGCTAGGAACTAGTGCCGTCCCCAGCAAGCCCAATGCCTGCTCCCGAGTGATCTCAGGTCCCAGCGTGAGCATAGCCCCCATTTGCCTGCCCCCATGACAAAGATGGAAACATTTGCAGCCAGAGGAAAATGATTCGGATGGCAGGGAAAACACCCAGGGTCCCAGTGTCTATCTGGAGGACAGAGAGCGGCAGAATGTGAAGCCAGACTGAAGTAGACAAGAAAGTTCAAGATCTGGCTTCCTTATAAATCAGCTGTGTGGCCTGAGGCAAGCGACTCCACCTCTCTGAGCTGTGTCAGGGAAGGAACTGGGAGGAGAGCGTGAAGTCTGGGTGGGGAGCAGTGCTCTGTGGCTCTGATGCTAATATTGGCTGTCCACTTGACGGATCCAGCATTACCAGAGCTCCCACTCTGCACAGGCCTCGGAGAAACTTTCTGGAACTGGTAACTGAGGTGGAAGAGTCACCCCGCATGTGGGCCACACTGTCCTATGGGGTCCTCTACCAAATAAAAAGGAGAAAGTGAGCTGAGCACCAGAGTTTGTCTCTCTGCTTCCTGACTGTGGGTGTGATGTGAGCAGCTGCCTCCAGCTCCCTGCCTCCAGCTGCCTCCAGCTGCCTCCAGCTCCCTGCCTCCAGCTCCAGCTGCCTCCAGCCCCAGCTGCCTCCAGCTCCAGCTGTCTCCAGCTCCAGCTCCAGCTGCCTCCAGCTCCAGCTGTCTCCAGCTCCAGCTCCAGCTGCCTCCAGCTCCAGCTGTCTCCAGCTCCAGCTCCAGCCCCAGCTGCCTCCAGCTCCAGCTGCCTCCAGCTCCAGCTGCCTCCAGCTCCAACTGTCTCCAGCTCCAGCCCCAGCTGCCTCCAGCTCCAGCTGCCTCCAGCTCCAACTGTCTCCAGCTCCAGCCCCAGCTGCCTCCAGCTCCAGCTGCCTCCAGCTCCAGCTGCCTCCAGCCCCAGCTGTCTCCAGCTCCCTGCCTCCAGCTCCAGCTGCCTCCAGCTCCCTGCCTCCAGCTCCAGCTGTCTCCAGCTCCCTGCCTCCAGCTCCAGCTGCCTCCAGCTTGAGCCCCAGCTGCCTCCAGCTCCCTGCCTCCAGCTCTGCTCTTCCTCCTGCTGCTGCGACTTCCCCATCACCATAAACTATAAGCCGGGAAGTCAGCCTTCCCTCTTTAAGCTGCTGTTTGTCACTCTCACAGTGGCTCTTCCAGAGCTGACTTCAATGAATGACAGCCGAGGACAGTCACAGCATAGTCCTGGCAGAAAACTTGTCTGGCTGGCTCTTAGCTTCTCCTTCCCTTAATTACAGGCTGACTTGTATCCCACTCTGAAATCTTACCTCTCATACCTGTGAGTGTGACTTTATTAGAAAATGGGCTTTACTGGTGTGACTAAATAAAAGCAAGGTGACCATGGAGGTTTTGGGATCTAAGCCCAATGTTGGTGTCCTGGTAGGAGAACAGGCCAGAAGGAAGGTGGTCCCCTGCAGAGAGAGGCTGGGCTGGAATGATCTGTTGTAGCTAGCAGACACCTGCCTGCAACAGAAGTCTCTTGGGACTGCCAGAGGGAGACCAGGACACCTGCACTGTGATTTCAGATGTCGGGCCAGAATTCAAAGTAAAATGCCCGCTGTTTCCGGCCTCCTGCTTTGAGAAATTGTGTATCTCTAAGGGGTAGCCCTTGGAGGACCAGGCTATCGGTCATTCCCAAAGTCCAGAGCCATCTAGACCTGCATGGGTCAAGGCCGCCTGGGTCAAGGCTGGGGCTAGATTTGGGCCCGGGGATGCTGCCCTCTGGACCTTAGCTCACTGTATAATAACCGTAGTTCAGCTTGCAGGATGGCCTCATCTGGGACCCCAGCCTACAGCAAGGCCTCACTGTCATGTTGGCTGTGGGCCCATAGCTCCAGATGGCCAATGTGGGCCCAATTTACAGAGCAGTTAATGGATATGCAGCCTGTTGGGATATGTGTGGAGTGCCCAAAGCACCTGTAAGGATGGATCATCCCAAACTGGTCGAACCCCAAAGCCCCAGGGATCTCAGGACCAAGGCATGGAAAAAGCAGGCCTGAAGTCATACAGTGAATACAGGCCTGAAGTCATACATTGAGTGAAGTAGGGTACAGAGAATGGGCTGGGGAGGGCCACAGGGACAATAGTCAGAGTGAGCCTGGGAAGACAGAGATGCCCTACTATTGGAAAACAGGGGCACAAACCTAGGGCTGCTCAGCTCCTGTACATGTTCTTGTTAATAAAGTTTTATTAGAATATGGCTCTGCTCCTTCATCAACTGCTGCTAATGGCTATTCTCCCCTATAGCAGATTGGGAGACTCCCACACAGCCTAAGGGTTTCCTTCTCCCTCTCTCCCTCTCCCCCCCCTTTCTTTCTTTCTTTCTTTCTTTCTTTCTTTCTTTCTTTTCTTCTTTATTGGGGGCAGGGTCTCTTTATGTAGCCCTGACTGTCCTGGAACTCGCTTTGTAGACCAGGCTGGCCTCAAACTCACAGAGATCCATCTGCTTCTTGGTGGTGATGTGCATCGCCATGCCTGGCAGGTTTTCCCCTTTTGTCCCCTCTGTGGAGAAGCCTGCTGGCCTTTGCTGTAGTGCACTGCTCTTTCCTGTTCCACCTTCAGCTGTCTCAGGCCTTAGGTAAAACCTCCACCCCCATTACTGAAAAAAAGATGAGGATTAGGGTTAAGGCGGGCATCCCTGGCCACAGCCATCCACAGTGTTGACTGTGGACCAGGATTGTTGGTGTCACCCGGCCACACCGTCTCAGGCTGCCCCAAACCTGCCAGACCAGATTCACATTTAAACACTTTTATTTTGTGCATATGGATGTTTTACTTGCATGTTTGCCTGTGCAACACACACGTGCGGTCCCTGAGGTTAGAAGGTGTTGAAGCCCTGGAGTTACAGATGGCTCCGAGGTGCCAGGTGAGTGCTGGGAGCCAACCCTGAGTCTTCCACAAGAACAAGTATTCTTTACCACTCAGCCAGTTCCCCTGCCTCAGATTCACACTTTTAAACACCTAATCTCGGAAGATGTTTAGCCTGTGGATGCATGGCAAGCTAGGACAGAGTGGTGTTCATACCAGAGGGCCAGAGGCAGGCCCTCTCCACTGGGGCCAGAGGCAGGCCCTCTCCACTGGGGCCAGAGGCAGGCCCTCTCCACTGGGGACACAGGAAGGCCCTCTCCACTGGGGATACAGGAAGGTCCTCTCCACTGGGGATACAGGAAGGTCCTCTCTACTGGGGACACAGGAAGATCCTCTCCACTGGGGACACAGGAAGGTCCTCACCACTGGGGATACAGGAAGGTCCTCTCCAGCCCTCTCCACTGGGGACACAGGAAGGCCCTCTCCAGCCCTCTCCACTGGGGACACAGGAAGGTCCTCTCCAGCCCTCTCCACTGGGGACACAGGAAGGTCCTCTCCAGCCCTCTCCACTGGGGACACAGGAAGGTCCTCTCCAGCCCTCTCCACTGGGGACACAGGAAGGCCCTCTCCAGCCCTCTCCACTGGGGACACAGGAAGGTCCTCTCCAGCCCTCTCCACTGGGGACACAGGAAGGCCCTCTCCACTGGGGACACAGGAAGGCCCTTTCCACTGGGGACACAGTCAGGTCCTCTCCACTGGGGACACAGGAAGGCCCTCTCCACTGGGGACACAGGAAGGCCCTCTCCACTGGGGACACAGTCAGATCCTCTCCACTGGGGACACAGTCAGATCCTCTCCACTGGGGACACAGTCAGATCCTCTCCACTGGGGACACAGGAAGGCCCTCTCCACTGGGGACACAGTCAGATTCTCTCCACTGGGGACACAGGAAGACCCTCTCCACTGGGGACACAGGAAGACCCTCTCCGCTGGGGACACAGGAAGGCCCTCTCCACTGGGGACACAGGAAGGCCCTCTCCACTGGGGACACGCACTTGGAAAACAGAGGAAGGTGGATCTCCAAGTGCAAGGCCAACCTGGTCTACAGAGTGAGTTCCAGGACAGCCAGGGCTACAGAGAGAAACCCTGTTTCAAAAAACCAAAATAATTTTTTTCTTCTTGAGACAGGGTCCCACTAAGTTGCCCAACTTGTCTTTGGACTTGCAATCCTCCTGCCTCAGCCTCCCTAGTAGCTAGGATGATAAACCTCCCTCTCCAAGCCTAACTCCACTCTTTACAACCGTATGAGTGACGGTGATCATGTAAGTGACGGTGACCATGAGTGACGGTGACCATGTGAGTGACGGTGACCATGTGAGTGACGGTGACCATGAGTGACGGTGACCATGAGTGACGGTGACCATGAGTGACGGTGACCATGTGAGTGACGGTGACCATGAGTGACGGTGACCATGAGTGACGGTGACCATGAGTGACGGTGACCATGTGAGTGACGGTGACCATGAGTGACGGTGACCATGTGAGTGACGGTGACCATGAGTGACGGTGACCATGTGAGTGACGGTGACCATGAGTGACGGTGACCATGAGTGACGGTGACCATGTGAGTGACGGTGACCATGAGTGACGGTGACCATGAGTGACGGTGACCATGTGAGTGACGGTGACCATGAGTGACGGTGACCATGAGTGACGGTGACCATGAGTGACGGTGACCATGAGTGACGGTGACCATGTGAGTGACAGTGGATGACTGTGGGTGGCTTCCTTGTGATGGCTTCTAGCAATAGTCAACCTCACAGGATATAGACTCAGCATGTTCCTGAGGGATTTTCTACATTAGGCTGAGGTGGGGAGACCCACCTGAATGTGGGCAGCAGCATTCCCTGGGCTACACTTTCTGTTTCCTGACTGCAGACGCAGTGTGGCCGGCTGCATCATGTTCCTGCCCCCGGGCCTTCCCAACCACTGTGTCGTAAATCTGTGAGCCGAGACAAACCCTTTGCCAGGTATTGTACCCCAGCAACAAGAGAAACAATTTGTCTAGCCTACATGGTCCCTTGACTTCAGCCACGATGAGGAAGCATAACCTAACCCTTCTATCCCCACCTAAATGTGACCATGGCCATATATGGAGAAGGAGTGGGCACAGTGCCTGGGGCTGGTATGGTAGGGCCTGAGGTGTCAAGGTTGGCATCGAGGTGACAGCTGTCACTCCACAATTCCATCTGTGCTGAGCAGTTGGGAGACTCCTGGGCACCGGTCCCTTGCACCCCTACCTTGAAAGCCGTTCCTCAGGTGAGACACCAGAACAGATGGCAATGGGTGGAAGGAAGCAAGGAGACCATGAAAAGGGCTCAATCCAGCTTGTGGTGTCAGAATAGGAGCTAGAATTCTGCAGAACTCCTGAGCTCCAAGACAGACTCCTTGAGTCCCAGTGTCCCCAGAGACTCCAGGTGTGTCACAGTTTTCCTGAAGCAGTAAATTCATCTAATCCACTGCAATTTCCACTCACGTTTGCCCCTGTGGGCTCCCTGTCATGAAGAAAAAGGCCCAAGACTTAGAACAAGGGATGGGGGTGGCGCTGTATCTACCACTGCTGAGACATCCTGGGCTTCTCCAGGCATCTGAAGAACAGCCCCTAGGAACTAGAGTCGGAGCTATCTGTCCCACAAGCACAGCTCACAGAAAGGCCTGGAACCACAGCTTTGGGCTCCAGGGGTTTCTTTTGCCCCTGCCCTCAGATCTAGGATTCAGAGTCTGGGAGAAGCCACACAACTGAGATCTGTCCTACCTGAGTCATTCAGCAGGCTGAAGTTGTGAGTCAGGCTGCCTGGAAGCTGGCGATGCCCAGGATCCCAGGTGCGGGGCCAGGCTGATCAAGTACCCACGGAGAAGACTCCTGTGTAGGTCTGCCACTGTCCCCAGCCGGAGCTCTGTGGCTAAGGCCTGGCTGCAGTTCTGGGTGAGGTGCAGGTCACGCTGTGCAAACCGCTGTCCTCTGTCTCCTCGTGCTTATCCTGCAGGAAGAAGCTCGGCATGACTGAGTCAGTGGGAACCTTAACAGAACAGTCGGGGAGGGGAGGGCAGAATACTGGGTGGGCAGTTACTAGATCTGTGGTACTGTGAGGCCAACACTAGTGGAGTGGACGGTAGTACACCAGCCTCTACCAGGATGCTCTAGGCCACACGATTAAGACTAAAACCCAAGTGGCTGGACACACCTGTGAAGGGTTTTTCTTAATTAGATCATTTGAAGTGGGAAGGCCCACCTTTCACCTGGGCCACACATCTGCTGGCAGCCCTTATAAGGACACGGAGAAGGAAGCTTTTGCTCACTGCCTACTTGCCATCACTCTAGATGGCAAGCCCATTTCTTCACTTCATTAGAGCCTACTTCTTCAGGATAGCCTCATGGACTGAACAACTACTGGATTCTTAGCCCTTCTGTTGGTAGACAGCCATTGTTGGGCTAGCTGGACCGCAGCCTGTAAGCCACTCCAATAACTCTCATATATATCTATATATATTTATATAGATATGAATATATATTCATTCTGTCAACTCTGTCCCTCTTGAGAACCTGACTGATACAGCATTGCTCAGCTCTCCCCTTCTCTGGATGTCATCTTCTGCTTTAGCACCCGCCTGAGGCTCAGGACAAGGCCCCACAGGCTGAGGACCCAGCCTCGCCATCTCCCCTCAGATGTCCTGAGGAGCAGCTGTGCTGGGCCCGGATCCCGCAGCACCTTGGAAAACAGCGGTACCCTAGGAGGAAGGCATGGGGACTTAGTCTTCTGCAGGCTCAGATGTATGAACACTTGGTCCCCAGCAGGTGGCGCTGTGGAGCCTTTGGGAGGCGGAGCCTTGGTAGAGAAGTGGGTCATTGAGGGGTTACCCCACTTCCTGCCCACTCCCTGCTGCCTCATCCACCAAGCCATTAGCAAGCAGCTTCATACTCCTTCCACAGCTTCGGGCTGCTCACTCTGTGGTGTGAACTGCACCCTCAACCTCTTTGAGCCAAAATAGCTACCTGTTATAACCAGCTGTTTGTTCCAGGAAACGTAACAAACACAGAGATGGTAAATGGACCCCAAGAGGCATTCCTGAAAGTCCCCAGGGAGAGTCATTGCAGGGCTGCTCTATCAGGGCTTCATGCAAAGGGAGACAGGGAAGCTGGGCACCCAGACCACACAAGCTCTGAAGTCAGGCAAGCCTGGGTTCAAACACCAGGGCCGCCTCTCTCAACTGTGTGCCCTCGACAGGGAGACCTCTCTGGCGGCCCAGGAGGGAATCAGAAGGAAATATTAACCCAGATAGTTACACAGAAGGCCAGCTCCCTGAGCTCCTTTCAAGGGACTCTTACCACTTCCCCCAGTAAGAGACAAACAAGGCAGGCCTTGGGACGTGGGTTTTGATGGATAAAAGAACTGGAGGAGAGGCCGTGACTCCATGACCCCTGTCCCCAGCTGGCACAGGTCTGGCTGAGTGTTGGGTCAGATGGGAACAGATTGTGCAAAGGCTACCAGCAAACACTGCAGTGGTTCCGTCCTTCGACCTACTGCTTCAGCGTTGTTACAGGTCAATCTTAATGACGCACTGCCCCGAGCATACACAGTCTGCCAGGTGCCTTATCAGCCCCCTCACCGGAGCCTGTGAGAGCTAACCATGCCAGGATTCCCCCCACCCAGTGAGGGAACTGAGGCAAGTGGCAATGATTGGCCTGGAGCTCATGCTTACACTTAGGTTTCTACTTGTGTTTACAGTGCTGGTTCTGTGAGGGTTTCCAGCTAAATGGACTTGGGACTGTCTGAGCTGGCTCCTGGCGCTCTACTCACCGTCCAGCCCTCTACTGAGATCTTCCAGGTCCTGACCTAGAAAAGCTCTGCCGTGGTGACAAATGACAGAAGTGCACTCATGTTTAACAATCCTGCCTCAAATCAGTGTGGTGACCACACCTTTAATCCCAGCACTTGGGAGGCAGAAGCAGGTGGACCTATGAGGCCAGCCTGGTCTACAGAGTGAATTCCAGACATTCAAATTAATAATCATAATAATCTGCCTCAAGTTTTATTTTAGCTTAACTTTAAATTTTTATGTGCATTGGTATAACAGTGTCAGAGTCTCTGGAACTGGATTTTCAGACAGTTGTGAGCTGCCATGTGGGTGCTGGGAATTGAACCCGGGTCCTCTGGAAGAGCAGTCGGTGCTCTTAACCGCTAAGCCATCTCACCAGCCCCCTGCCTCATCATTTTATAGGTGAGGATAAGGATATAATCAGACAAATGGCTGAACAGCTGGAGGCTGGAGGTCCTGGGCACCAGAGGAAGGAAAAGCAGTACTTGGCCCAACCCAGCCCCCAGCCCCAGGTTCTCAACAACCTGGTATCCTGGGAATTCCAGTGAATAGTCAGAGAGGAGAGTGGGAGGCAGTGGGCAGTCCCTGGGACTGTCTTGTGACTTGTTTTCTTCTTTTAGGAAAGATATCAGTTGAGACAGGGTCTCTCTCTGTGGCCCTGCCTGGACTCAAAGTCACAATCCTCCTGCTTCAGTTCCCAGAGCATATGAGTAAAGGTGTACGTGACGAGCTCACGCCGCCCTCCTGTCCTTACAGAGCCTTCTTGCCAAGACCACCACACCAGAACTGATCCAGGTGGTCTCAAGAATCAGGGGCCTGTGGGGATGGCTTCTCCCAAGCAGGACACTAGCCTTGGTCCTAAAGCTTTTTCAAGGCACTCAGGGGCTGTTACCTTGCTGGGGTGACTATGGAGGACAGTTGTAGCTGAAGGACTCTGGGGGTGCTGAGGGCGCCTGATGGAGGGAGACCCTCATGTTCCAGCCCCAGTGGCTCCTCCTTGTGCTGCTTGCTTGTGTCCACCCCCAGCAGAAGCAACTCATGGCTAGACACACACACACACAGTGACACATCCACTCTGCCTCTCTTGTGACACACTGTGGCAGCCTGCACCTGTAAGGCAGAGAGGGCAGGAAGCTGTATGTGATAAAGGGTTAGCAGAAGCCAGGGCAAGCATTGGCGAGCACGGCCTCTCTCTAGCCCAGGCAACCCCAAAGGCTCCCTGATGACAAATAGGAGAAACCAGGTCACCATCCCCAACCCCAGCTCCGAATCCGAATCCTAGCTGATCCTCAGCTCCAGAGCTCGCGTCAGCATTCACGTTCACGCCAGCAGAGGAAGCAGCAGAGGGCACCTAAGGTGGTATATGCCTGTCATCCCAGCATTTAGGAGGTTGAGGCAGGAGGGTCATAAGTTTGAAGACCCCTAGGCTACAAAGGAGGACCTAGCCTCAAAAAGAGAGACAGCCAGGTGGAGAGAAAGAAGGAGAACTTGAACTCCCATGTGTGGCTGAGACCAAGAATTTCCAGGGGGGCCTCCTGATTGCCTCCAGCTCCCCAGGGACCCGGCAGACCCCCAGACTGCCTCCTGCTCCCCAGGGGCCCGGCAGCCTGTACGGTTCCAGACCAGGCAGTGTGGCAAAACTTGGTTCTTTAGCCAGGTATGGTGACACACACCTCTAACCCCAGCACCTAAGGCATGAGATAGGAGGATTACTTATTTCAATTCAGCCTGGACTATATACCAAGACCCTTCCTTAGAAGTGGGGAGGATGCCTAAAGTGGGTTTGGTGGTGCATGCCTATAATCCCAGCACTCTGGCAGCAGAGGCAAGAGGATCCAGAGTTCAAGGCAGGCCATCTTGTGCTACATAGTAAGCTCAAGGCTAGTCTAGGCTTACTATGTAGCACACACACAGACACACACGCACACACACATGCATACACACACAAGCATGCTTGCATATACATACACACACACGCACACACGAGGAAGGAAAGGAGAGAGGGGGCAATGTCCATTCTGAACACACAACTCAGAATGTCCCTCTGTTCTCTGCCCCCATCCGTACCCACCCTCAGCCCATGTGAGTGTAGAGGGCCCTAATGAATGGTTCTGAATGGAAGACTGCCCACTCAAGTTGCCTCTGCTGGGCCTAAAGCGCCACACTCCTGAACACACAGCAGCTATGGGCACCCCCATTTTCCAGCTAGCAAAACCGAGGCAGGACAGGGTGAAGTGTTGACCCCAAGGCCACGAAGCTGTTAAGCTGGTGTTGGGATGCTCCTAGCTCCCTGCGAGTTGCCCCTGCCTCCTGCTGGACCCTGACCATGAATCCCGCACTGTGCTCCTGGCTCTCTGACCATTACCTTACCTGAACCTCACACTGCTCTGCTGGGTTGGTGATGCCACTCCATTTCCCAGCTGGTAAAACTGAGGCTCAGAGGCCTTAAGTGATTTACCTTAGGTCACATAGCCAGTGAGCACAGTGCTAGGAACTGAACTGTAATAAGCTGGGCACCCACTGGCTTCAGAGTTCCTTGGAATTGGAGACCAGTCTGAGACACCCAGGCCTCCGTGGTGTTAGAATACAAATGGCCCTCATAGACGCTCACATTCAAATGTTTGGCTCACAGGGAGGGGTCTGTTGGGAGGTGTGGCCTTGTTGGAGGAAGCGTGTCACTGTGGAGGCGGGCTTTGAGGTCTCATGCTCAGGCTACGCTCAGTGCGGTAAACAGTCTTCACTTCTGCTGCCTGTGGATCTAGTGTGGGACTCTCAGCTCCTCTCCAGCACTGTGTCTGCCTGCATGCCACCATGCTTCCCGCCATGGCGATAATGGACTAAACCTCTGAAACTGTAAGCCCCAATTAATGTTTTCCTTTATAAGAGTTGCTGTGGTCATGGTGTCTCTCTCTTGACAGCAACAACACCCTAAGACACCACCCATCACCTAGCAGAGGCTGGCATAAGGCAGACACACGGAGCGCACAGGGGATGAATGAATGCAGAAACACACCGCCACCAGCCACTCTTGGGGTTAATGATTTCCTCCAAGATGCACAGCCAAACTACATTTCCCAGCTTTCCCCACACCAGGTGGGATTTCCTATGAGTTCTGGCCAGGAATGGGGGCCAGGGTGAGGGTGCTACTGAAAGGCCTGGCGGTGCGGGTGTGGACGGGGCCGCTCTGGGCCGCGGTGAGGGTGTGGACGGGGCCGCTCTGGGCCGCGGTGAGGGTGTGGACGGGGCCGCTCTGGGCCGCGGTGAGGGTGTGGACGGGGCCGCTCTGGGCCGCGGTGAGGGTGTGGACGGGGCCGCTCTGGGCCGCGGTGCGGGTGTGGACGGGGCCGCTCTGGGCCGCGGTGCGGGTGTGGACGGGGCCGCTCTGGGCCGCGGTGCGGGTGTGGACGGGGCCGCTCTGTGTGTGTGTGTGGTCCGAGAATGAGCCGTCCTGATATGGTCAGGAGACCACCAGTGCATCCCACCTCAACAAGGACTGGGATTCTGGCTCCCCGGCCACCTTGTCACCCTCTTATCTCCCCACCACCTCATGTGTGGCCCCTTTTCTGGATGTGGTGGTCGGAATACCTGGTTTCCTGTTGGTGGCTGTTTAGGAAGGATTAGGAGGTGTGTCCTTTGTTAGGGGTGGGAGAAGTTAAAGTTTAAAACCTCCCTAATAGGCCCTGTCTGCTTCCTGCTTGAGGATCAGGTGGGCCATGCCTTTGCTTCACCTTCATGGACTCTAACCTCTGAACCTGCAAGCCAAATTAAATGCTTTCTTTTATAAAGTTCCTTGGTCATGGTGCTTTGCCACAGCAATAGAAACCCTAACTAAGAGACTGACTGTTTTATTTTTTGGAAAAAGGACCTACGTAGATCAGTCTGGCTCCAAACTCCAGTAACTGAGCTCTACATAACCAAGGATGGCCTTGAACCCCTGACCCTACTATGGAACTGCAAGCATATACAGTTACGCTGTGCTGGGGATGGATCCCAGGGCTTCATGTACACCAGGCAAGTGTTCTGCCTCCTGAGCCGCAGCCCTGGTCTCCTGCAGTGGATTAGTAAGACCCCTTTCCCTCACGCCTGGGCAGAGGCCCGCCTGGGATGCGGTGCTACACTGAAGTCAAATGCTCCTTGTCGGTGCCATGTGAGGTCAAGCCACTATTAAAGTGAAGGCTCTGGGGAGACAGCCAGGAGGAAGCATGCCCTTCACTCCTGCATGGCCCGCCCAGCTCCCCAGCACACTCCAGTTTTTTTTTGTTTTGTTTTGTTTTTTTTTTAGAAAAGGTCTCAGGTTGGCAAAATGGCTCAGCAGGTAAAGTCACTCCCCTCCAAACCTGATGACCTGAGTTCTGGACCACATAGTGGAAGGAGAGAACAGACTCTTTCAAGTTGTTCTCTGACCACTACACATGCACAGGCTGCATGAGTGTATTCATATACATACAAAATACATACATACATATACACCTATACACACACATATATACCTATATATACACACACATATATGTATGTATGTATGTATATAACTTTAAAAATTAAAAGTTTAAAAGGAAAGCACTAACATGACCAGGGTAAACAGTCTCAGGCTGCAGCTAAGGATGACTTCGAACCCTTGATCATACCGATTCCCCTCCTGAGTGCTGGGATTATAGGCATGCACCTCATAGCAAGCTCCCCTTGGCATATACTAGGTAACATTTGCCCAGCCTGGAGACACTCACCTGGGAGGAACGGGTGACATCTAAAGCCACGTATGCCGGATCCCTCCACCCTGAGAGCTGCCCCGGTGGAAACCTTCAGATGCAGAATGACTTTCTGGTTGACTTCTAACGTAGCCTTGATCTCCCTGTTCTTAGCCTGAACGTGTGAGAACCAGAGCTATGGAGAGAGGTCACCACCATGTCCACATGCAAAAGAAGCCACGTCAGAATCCAGAGACCAAAAGCAAGTGGCCCAGGGATTGATGTCCAAAGTGTAGTCTAGTCTCTTGCATTCATGGAAGAGAGAATGGGGCCAGGTGCGTGCTGGGCCTTCCAGCAGGGCAGCGCCAGTGCTCTTAGCTAGAGGTGGTAGGTTAAGACCCTCCCCACAAACTGGGGCTCAGTCAGTCTATCTTCTTTACTGCTAGCTTCCTAGTACTTAGATACCAGCACACAGTAGGTACTAAACAAATGCAGAATCACTGGTTCTAGCCTGAAATGTCAAGGTCGAAGCTGAACCAGAGTGGGAGAAGGACACAGAGTGGTCAGAGGAACTGCAAGACCCTCATCCTATCCCTGGAGCCTGAGGCAACATGACCTTCTGGACAAAGGTGATTCAGGGATCTCGAGATGGGGACAGGTTCCCGTCTTTATCTGAATGCGGATTTTATGAGGACAATAGGAGGGTCACAGTCAGACACGGAGAGTGTGAACTGCTCTGCTGCCCTTGGGAAAGCCACAGAGTGCAGACAACCTCGGACGGAAATGCTTCTTCCTGAGCATCTCTGCAGGGAGCTCGGTGGTGCTGGTCCTACAGTTCCACTTCCTGAGCTCAGGGACGAAAAGACGTGTTGGAAGTTGCTACATTTGGGGCAGCATGTAACCCAACAAGAGGAAGCACACAGTTATCAATTATTCACTCAGTAACCCTCAGCGGCTGCTGGAAGCCAATGATACCGTTGCTGGTTGATTTCGTGTCTTCCTGTCTGTACTGATGGAGAAATCCAACTGTCTGCCCTCAGGTCTCATCCGTGACCGTTCAGTCTATATAAGGAAACATGGTTTTTCTTGGAACCAGGATAGCAGAAAAGGAAGCAGCTGGGGAGGAAAATGTGTGTGGAAAAACCCATTTGTTCTTTTATGAATCCAGGGCTGGAACACAGCTAGGCAATCACTCTCCCGTGGAGCTGCCTCCCAGCCAAGGCACAGCTCCGAGCAGAGCAGACAGCAAAAGGACAGTAATGGAGGTCTCTCCAGCCCCTGCTGCTGGCCAGATGTTGTCAGCTGGGATTTGAGTCTAAGCAGAGCCAGACCTTATTTTTCTTTTCTTATAAACAGTAGAAATCCAGGCTTTGTCTAAAACCTCCCAATTTTTAAGGTAAGCAGGCCATAAAAACACACGTGTGCCCTTGTTTTGCTGGAGCATCACTCCACAGTCTCGGGTGAGAAACCCAGAAAAACCACTGGGAGCCACCCGTGCAGGTCTCTGGCTTGGCATTTACTATTTCCCCTCAGATGGTACTGGCCTGCATCGGAGAAATCACTGATAGCCCCCCTGACTTAGGGGAAGCAAAGCCCTGGACCCCGCTCAGTCCCCACTGCCTGCTTAGCTTCATCTTCCTTCCTAGTTCATTCTGTGTGCACACAGTAGGTGCTCAATAAATGGTTGTTGGCCATTGTGGTGACTCCCCTCTCCCCACGGGAGGGTCAGGAGGACGAGTCTAAGGCAGCCTTGTAAACATGTGGTACCTAAGTACTTAGGGGAGATTACCAATTATATCCTGACCTGTGGCCAACCATGTTCACAGCAGAATCACTTTATCATACACAGAATCTGAAAACAACTCAAATGTATCTCTTCTACACACATCATAAATGAGATAGCCACAAACACCATTAATATCTTTGAGTAACTCTGATCATACAAATTGAAAACCTGTATAACAAGAACTTTAAATCTCTGAGGAAGAAATTTAAGCCATCAGAAAATGGAAAAATCTCCTATTCTCTTGTAAAGATAGCGCCAACATAGCAAAATTGACATTACTGAAAGCAATCTACAGATTTAATGCAAATGCCCATTAAACTTATAACAAAATTCTTTAGACTTTGAAAAACCAATCCTCAACCTTATGAGAAGACAAAACTCAGGATAGCCTAAACAATCTCAAAATCAAGGAACTTCTGAATGCATTACAATCTCTGACTTTAAACTTTACTACAGAGCCACCATACTGAAATCAATCCACCTTGGATACAAATTCACTTGCCTACAAACAGCAGACTTTTGACAAAGAAGCAAAATTGTGAAATGGAAAAGAAGCATTTTTAACCTGCTTATCTCAAAGACTACCTTAACTTAAACCTGTCCTTTTTCTTTCAGTTGAAGCTGTGCTGCAGGGCAGGGGGTAGGACACAGGCTCACTTTGTTAGACTGTCTTTCTGAGCTCTGGTGGGCAGATTTTTAACTATCTTTTTTTTTATTTTAACTCATAAATCATAAAATTAAGAGAATCTCTGAATCCTCTCCTCTGTTCTGTAGACTGTGAGGTTAAATTTGCTCTCTAGACTCACTCTTGCCCCTGCTCGCCTCTTACCCACAGGTGAGTTAATCAGCTGATCACTGTGTGCACGCGGCATCTCAGTCTCACCGGTAACTTGGTGATTCTTGGGCCAAAAGTCATTTTTCCTTCACCTTTCCTACTCATTTAGCAATCAATAAAAGTTGCAAATCTGCATCTATCACACTTACAGATTCTCAATAACTCTGCCATTGTTTCTGCTCCACTCTCACTCCCTTTGGTTACAACATATTATAACCGAATACTTTTTCCTTATCCCATATCTAACTTACTTACAAATTTTTACACCCGATTTAAATTTTGTCCCACTTTTTTCTACATTTCTTTAAATTTTGATCTCTATTTCTGAGCGCTCACTACTCATGCATCCACTGATTTCTTCTCGCGGGTTCCTCACGTCTGTGCCCTCTTTCTTGCTTTTTTGGGGAGCGCTGACCAGCCTTGCGTTCTCCTCCATCCTTTGTCTGGTTTCCCTCTGGGATCCAGCGATCAGCATTCACTGTCTCTCGTGTTGTCCCTTTTCTGGGGTCATGGAGTTCGGCGGTCAGCACCACGTTCCTTTTTGTACTTCTTCCTCCGGAATTCATCTCGGGGTTTGGTGGTCAGCACCACGTTGTCTTTAATCTCGGGGTTCAGTAGTCATCCCCACATTGGGCGCCATTATGTTGGGGCCCCGTGTGGGTCCAACACAGATTCCCTAACTGGACTGGAATGGAGTCGCTTACACGGTCATCATGGAAGGGCAAGATCTCTCTGAAGATCTCTCTTAATTCTCCAAACACCTTATATATCATCACATAAATTGAGGGGGGGGGGACACATTAGGCTGTCTCCTAGGCAACCAGGTGAATGGGCTCAACTCACATCCGCATCTACCTATATGCTAGCTGTCATGTAGGCCATGAATTAGCATCTCTATAAGGCTTCCTCCAAATTACAAAGGAAAGAAGCACCAAACCTCCTAACTCTTAAGTCATCAGCTTCAGCCAACATCTCTTCTCAGGTAATCTACATTTATAACAAAAGAAACTAGGAGCGGCACGTCCTGGCTATTGTTAAACAGAGACAGCTGGTCTGCAGAGTTCGTGACCACTTCAGACCAGGCTTATGGCTCTTGTGCCATACAGAAATATGGGCCTACACTGTGCAAAAGGGATGTGCTGCTACCTCACAGGAAGGGGACCTGAGGCCCAGGGACACAAACTTGTAATGACATGCAGGCAGTGTGAGCCTTGGATGTATTGCTAAGACTTTGCAAATCGAAGACCATGGGCCGTAGCCCACTGTCCAAGCAGCCTGTTCTGTTTGTTAGATTTAAAAAGGATTTTAATTTTTATCTATTTTTAAATTTTATTTGGATACAGGGTCTTACCATACAGTCCTGGCTGGTCTGGAATTTGGCCAAGTGAGCCACCAACTCCAGAGGTCTCCCTGACTCTGCCTTCTGCTATCTGTAATTTCAATCATGTGTCTGTATTATGACTGCTGGTGCCTGTGGACCCTCAGCCATAGGGGGCCGAAGGCTGCCTCCAACTGCCTGTGCCCTGAGTTAATGGAACCTAGCTGCAGCCTCCGGCCAACCACAAACCTCTACCTCCCAACCACCCCTCCTACCCACCAGCTTCTGGAACTTCTGGGCTAAGGAAACTGAGTCCCCCTCCCCACGCTGTGGTCTGCACTAATATGCCTGGCGTCTACAAGAAATCAGTGCTCAAGGAGGCCCAAGGTCACAGGCCAAAAAGAGAGGGAAAAGGGGACCCAAGGCCTCCCCACTGCAAGGGGCACCTTCTTTGTCTGTTGGTAGGCTGCTGTGAGGCTGAGTTCCCCTCGGAGGCTCATCAAGCAGTGCAGGACCTTCCTTCCTGTCCTGACTGTTCTCCACACGTACCTCACTGGGCACAGCTGCACTCCAGGCTGACTCAAGCTCTCTCCTGCTGTGGAAGAGGCCTGGCATCAAGGTTGTCACCATGGAAACCTACAAGGAAGTCAGGTGAATGAGCAGAGTTTTTGAACCTGTTAGTTACCCTTTATTCACTTTGCTACTTGGTGAACTCCTATTCATCCTTCAAAGCCCCTCCAGCCAGGACCATCTGTGCATGGCCTCCAGTGGAGGGAGATGTGATGTGTGGGCTGGTTCTTCCTTACAGGATCCTAAAGAAAAATCCTTTCTATAACTCTGAACCAAGCAATACAACTTCCTCTCTCCTCTTTGATTTAGGGTGGGACTATTATCTCACTGGGCCACCATTTTTTTTTTATTAACTTTATTGAGCTATACATTTTTCTCTGCTCCCCTCCTTTCCCCTCCCCTCCCCTACAACCCTCTCCTATGGTCCCCATGCTCCCAATTTACTCAGGAGATCTTGTCTTTTTCTACTTCCCATGTAGATTAGATCCATGTATGTCTATGTCTCTTTTAGGATCTCATTGTTGTCTAGGAATGGGAAAAGATCTTCTCCAATCCCACATCAGACAGAGGACTGATCACCAGAATATACAAAGAACTCAAAAAATTGGTTATCAAAAAACCAAATAACACAATTAAAAAAAAATGGAGTACAAACCTAAACAGAAAACTCTCAACAGAGGAATCTAAAATGGTTAAAAGACACTTAAGGAGACGCGGCGGAGCGGCGGCGGCCAGACACCGCATACAGGAAGAGGCTTTCGGGGACCAGCGCAGCAGCAGACCCAAGCGGCAGGGACAGGCGTGCAATAAGGAGAGCAGATCGCCCTACTACAATTGAATCAAAGAGGTAGGCCTTTGGTTGGCCAAGTCACTGGCACACGGGGAGCCTGGTCATGTCCTGAAGATCTGTAGAAGAATGAAAATAGATCCATATCTATCACCATGCACAAAACTCAAGTCCAAATGGATTAAAGACCTCAATATCAGTCCGAACACACTGAACCTGATAGAAGAGAAAGTGGTAAGTACCCTACAGCACATGGGCACAGGAGACCACTTCCTACGTATAACCCCAGCAGCACAGACACTAAGGGCATCATTGAAGAAATGGGACCTCCTGAGGCTGAGAAGCTTCTGTAAAGCAAAGGACACTGTCACTAAGACAAAAAGGCAACCCACTGACTGGGAGAAGATCTTCACCAACCCCGCAACTGACAAAGGTTTGATCTCCAAAATATATAAAGAACTCAAGAAACTAGACCGCAAAAGGCTAATCAACCCAATTATAAAATGGGGCATTGAGCTGAACAGAGAATTCTCAACAGAAGAACTTCAAATGGCCAAAAGACACTTAAGGTCATGCTCAACTTCCTTAGCGATCAGGGAAATGCAAATCAAGACAACTTTAAGATACCACCTTACACCTGTCAGAATGGCTAAAATAAAAAACACCAATGATAGCCTTTGCTGGAGAGGTTGTGGAGAAAGGGGTACACTCACCCATTGCTGGTGGGAATGCAAACTTGTGCAACCACTCTGGAAAGCAGTGTTTCGGTTTCTCAGGAAATTCGGGATCAACCTACCCCTGGATCCAGCAATACCACTCTTGGGAATATACCCAAGAGAGGCCCTATCATACAACAAAAGTATATGCTCAACTATGTTCATGGCAGCATTGTTTGTAATAGCCAGAACCTGGAAACAACCTAGATGCCCTTCAACAGAAGAATGGATGAAGAAAGTATGGAATATATACATATTAGAGTATTACTCAGCAGTAAAAAACAAGGACTTCTTGAATTTTGCATACAAATGGATGGAAATAGAAAACACTATCCTGAGTGAGGTAAGCCAGACCCAAAAAGAGGAACATGGGATGTACTCACTCATATTTGGTTTCTAGCCATAAATAAAGGACATTGAGCTTATAATTCATGTTCCTAGAGAAGCTAAATAAGAAGGTGAATCCAAAGACAAACACATAGGCATCCTCATGAATATTAACCTTCATCAGGCGATGAAAGGAGACAGAGACAGAGACCCACATGGGAGCACCGGACAGAAATCTCAAGGTCCAAATCAGGATCAGAAGGAGACGGAGCACGAGCAAGGAACTCAGGACCACGAGGGGTGCACCCACACACCAAGACAATGGGGATGTTCTATTGGGAACTCACCAAGGCCAGCTGGCCTAGGTCTGAAAAAGCATGGGATAAATCCGGACTAGCTGAACATAGCGGACAATGAGGAATACTGAGAATTCAAGAACAATTGCAGTGGGTTTTTGATCCTACTGCACGTACTGGCTTTGTGGGAGCCTAGGCAGTTTGGATGCTCACCTTACGAGACCTGGATAGAGGTGGGCAGTCCTTGGGCTTCCCACAGGTCAGGGAACCCTGATTGCTCTTCGAGCAGATGAGGGAGGGGGTCTTGATCGGGGGAGGGGGAGGGAAATGGGAAGTGGTTGTGGGGACGAGGCAGAAATCCTTAATAAATAAATAAATTAAAAAAAATATCAAAAAAAAGACACTTAAGGAAATGTTCAACGTCATTAGTCATCAGAGAAATGCAAATCAACACAACTCTGAGATTCCATCTTACACCTGTCAGAATGGCCACCATTCTTAGCAGACACCATCTCCGCATCCAGGGGGCACATTCTGGGAAGTAGTTTTTGTTCCCTGGGTCACCCTGTGATCTCCAGAACCTGGAGGAGCTGGGTGTTACTCTGGCTTGTATTGGAGCTGGAGGAGGCCCATGACCATGGCCCTCCCCCAGCCCAAGCCTCAGTGTCCTCTACCCTAGAGCCATGGTTCCTGTCACACACAATCTTGAGGTCAAATTTGGTAGGGCCATGCTGACCCTCCAGCTAAATGCCAGACCCTGGGATGGGGCTTTACTAACTTCCCCATCTTGGCTTCTCCAACCAGCTGCTCAGGCGGAAACCACAGTGTCATTTATCCCCTTCCTTAAAATCCACCCACTGCAACTAGGGAGCAGCCCCAGCCTCCTGGGAAGCTGGGTTCCTCTAAGTTACCTTCCCCACCAGCTGGTGGCCCATAGGAGCCAGCTGCCACCTCCTCTTCACAGTCCTGCCCTGGCCATCCCTGACACCCAGTCACCTCCTCACAGTGCCTGAGCTCATCAGGCACTCACCACTGCTGTCTGTCTTCCCAGTGCTGCCCCAGAGGGGACTGTGCTGCCCCAGAGGGGACTTCAGTGTCCCAGAGGGGACTGTGCTGCCCCAGAGGGGACTTCAGTGTCCAAGAGGGGACTTCAGTGCCCCAGAGGGGACTGTGTTGCCCCAGAGGGGACTTCAGTGTCCCAGAGGGCACTGTGCTGCCCCAGAGGGGACTGTGCTGCCCCAGAGGGGACTGTGCTGCCCCAGAGGGGACTGTGTTGCCCACAAAGGCTGAAGTGGGCTGGACTCTCCCTGGTCCTGCATTGCTCCAGAGAGGGCTCGGAGCAGAATTGTCTGCGGCACGGCCTGAGTGGCAGCACGGTATGGGTGGAGAAAAACCCTTCACTGAAGTCACTGAGTAATGCCAGCTGTGCCCTCAAAGCTGTCACTCTGGTGGCCAATGCCCACAAGGGGCCATCTGACCACTTTATCCCCTCAGAAGCTGCTACACAGGAACTGGATTCTCTTTATTCAGATCCTCTTGGTAACAGTTCTGAGAACTCTGGCTGAATCCTGTCCCTGTGTCTGTGGGGTGACATCAGCCATAGGCCTCCAGTTTTTCCTGTGCAGAGGAGGGCAAGGGCAGGGAGCATAGCTCCCGTGTTGAGTGTCAACAGGGGCAGGCAGCAGGACACGGGGCTTGTTCAGGTTATAAGAGGCCCTTGTTCCAGGCCTGTATGTACATACTCAAACACACACGCTTATGCACACACACAAATACACAAATCTCTGTGCATGCACAGATAGACACATATGCACACATGTACACATATATACAGCATGTACACAAATATGCACAAATACTGTCCTAGGGTTTCAATTGCTGTGATAAAATGTCATGGCCCAAAACAGCTTGGGGAAGAGTTTGTTTCATCTTTTGAGTCTCTTATGGGCCACACCCCATCACTGAGGGAAGTCAGGGCAGGAACTCAAGGCATGAACCTGGAGATGGGAACTGGAGTAAGAGGCTTGGAGGGATGCTGCTTGCTGACTTGCTCCTCATGGCTTGCTCTGCTTGCTTTCTTATATCACTCAGGGCCACCTTCCCAAGGGTAGCATCACTCACAGTGGACTAGGACCTCCCCCACCAATCACTAATTACAAAAATGAATGATGGACTCGTCTCTGGCAATCTGATGGAGGCATTTTCTCAATTAAGTTTAATTTGTGTAAAGTTGACAAAAAAGAAAACCCAGCACAACAAATGTACCAAGCTGTGTGCACACATGCATATGCATGATCAAGGACATGCACACACATGCACACACATGAGATGACCTGTACTGCTTACCCAGAGATAGGTGGTGGTGGCTTCAGTGTACACCGGGATCTTGGCTTTCCTGTCATGGCTCTGGCTCATGGCTCTGGCTCATGGCTCTGGCTCCTGCAGGTCATGCTGACCACCAGATCTTTGAGGGTCCAGGCCTTGGCCAGCGTCAGCTCTGAGACAACCTGGAATGTGACCCAATGTGGCCAGTAGAGCCAATGAGCTGCAGACACTGTGAGCCATGTGCTGTCCTGCAAAGGCACAGAGAGAAGCTGGTGTGGGGGGCAAGAAGGGAGTGATTGGCAGGCACCAAGAGGCCACCCTTTCCAGTCTCATCACAGCTGTGCAGAGCTGGGGTTCCTGGGATTGGGCACCAGAATTCCTTTTACGGAGTGAAATGAATGTGAGTTTTGGCAGGACCAGTGCATGCACACCTGTCTAAACTCGCCCAGTGTCACCCTGGGCATCACTGTGTTCCTTCTAGATAATGAAGCGCAGATCACAATGCTCGGGAGAGGGAACGACATCTACTAAGCCTGTGAACCTTTTACATTGCTGTAGGACCCTGTCATCTACAGAGTTCATGTCTGAGAACTGTAACTGGGTTAACAAACAGACAAAGCGCTAAGTGTGGAGTGTTTATGAGGGTGCTATGGCCTGTCGAGGACAGACGATGACCTTGGGCTGAGAGCTGTAGTTAAGATGAGGCCATCCTGGAGGTGGCCCTTAGATCAATATGACTGGCGTACCTTTGAAAAGAAGGGACGGTGAGCCCAGAGACACACAGAGAATGACAAGTGCCAACAACAAGGAGATTGTCATCAAACAGCTGCAAACCAAGGAACAAGCATTGGTGGCCTCCTCCAGAATCCATGAAAAAGCAGGGAAGTGCTCTCAGGGTCCCAGCAGAGCAGGGATCTGATGACCCTTTGAGATGCATGACCTTCAGGTCTACAAAAGGCTTTCTGGTTTTGGTTTTGGTTTGGTTTGGTTTTTCGAGACAGGGTTTCTCTGTGGCTTTGGAGCCTGTCCTGGAACTAGCTCTGTAGATCAGGCTGGTCTCGAACTCACAGAGATCCGCCTGCCTCTGCCTCCCGAGTGCTGGGATTAAAGGTGTACACCACCATCACCCAGCTGGGCTTTCTGTTTTTTAAGCCCCCCTGTTAGTGACCATTTGCTATAGCAGCCATTGGGGACAGGTGCACCTGCCTGGAAGTTACTGGAAGGTGCGTTCCATCTGAACAAAGGAGCACATAGAAAGATTACAAAGGCACCAGACACAGGGGCCATGACCCAGACAAGTGGCAGGAGTTCCTAAGGGGACAGCAGAGGGGACCGAGGCAATGGCGCCAGGAAGACTCTTCAAGGAAACTCTCCAAGGTAACTAAAGCCCATAAGCATTCAGACATGCCTGGCCATTGGAGAGAATTCTGGTAAAGTTGCTAAAAGCCCTGGGAATAATGAGAAGGAAGAAAACAGAAAACTTATCAACCATGAAAAGAGGTGATTGTAACCATCACCTACACACCTCTGCCAGGAAGACATGTACACAGCCCCACTACATAAACACGGAGTGGTAGCAAACACAGCTCTTTCTGGAGGATGAGAAGAAGTGGATATCTGGAGAAGGGCCCTTGTGAGAATCGGATTCTCATATTCTTAGTAAGGCATCTACCAAGAATGCCTACTGAGGCATCATGGCAGTCAGGCTGTATTGTTTTTAGAGGTGTATCTAAAAAAGAGCTGCGATAATTCACACCAATTACTCTCGGGAGCAAGACTTGGGGTCGGAAGAAAGGCAGAGGGCTCCTTCTATAAGTTTACTACTGAAAACTTCACTTTGAGGGTCTGGGGATGGAGCTCAGTTGGTAGTGTGCTTGCTCATCTGCAGCCTTGTATAAAATTAAGGCATGGTTGTGTACACCTGTAATCCCAGCCCTTGGGGAGCAGAGGCAGGAGGATCAGAAGTTCAAGGTCATCCTCAGTTATATAAGAAGTTTGAGGTCAGACTGACTGGCCTATGTAAGACTTCAGCTCAAAAAGAAGGAGGATGGAGGAGGAGGAAGAAGGAGAAGAAGGAGAGGAAGAAGCAAAGAGGTCTGAGGGATTCAGAGAAATGGGGGGAGGGGATGTAGGGGAAGATGACAAGGGGACACATAAGGTAGCTTTGTGTCACAGGATGTACGAAAGGTTTGCCTTGAGTGAGGCTAGCACACAGATGAAAAGGTGTTCCAGGTAGAAGGTGCATTCTAGGAGAAACCTGGAGATCAAAATTAGAAGCCATTAGCTAAGAAGGCCCCTGAGTTGGCTCTCAGCTTCCGGTCTCGACAGGGTGGCCCTAGCTGTGTCCTTCCAGTGCAAGCCTACCAGGAAGGGCAGCTGCCCATTGAATAGCTTCACTTTGAGGGTATGTGCTGCTTTTGACATAGGGCTGCTGGAGGCTCAAGTGATGCATCTGTGAGAGGCAGCCCACCCACCTCTCTGGGGCCTGCAGTACAAGCTGGAGAAAGCACCCACAGCACCCCATCAGTTCCCACTCCAAGTCCAGAGCACTCCCCACTCTCCCCTCCAGCTGGGGCTCACAGGTTAGACCTGTCCTGTGACCCCCCCCCCCCCCCCCCGGCGCTTTACCTCTAAGTAGGCGCTGAGGAAGTTTAAAGCAAGTCTCGGCTAAGCAGTGTGGTGGTGGCACATGCTATCTATCCCTGGCAAAGGCCCACATGGAGGACATGGGTAAGGTGCGTCTCCAAGCCTGATGTCTGCAAACATCTCTGCAGCTAGAGCCCAGAAGGGCATATCTTGCACCCCCCCCCCCACACACACACACACACTTCCTAGGCTGGCTCTGCTCTGGTGGCAGCTCACCTCCAGGAAGTAATTGCGAAGTGCTAGTCCTGAGTCATTCTTGAAGGTCAGGCTGATGTGCAGGAATCCCCTGTTGCCTCTCAGCTCCCCGTAGCTGGCCTCCAACTGCCAGCATAGGCGCCCCAGGCCCTGTTTGTGCTGCAGCTGGACCTGGGGACACATGAATAGTGAGGTCCCTGAGAAGGCTTACCCCACAGCCCAGAGCCCTCTGCCCCTCCCCAAGATGTTAGATGGCCTTTCAGCAAAGGGTGCTGGGAACCATACCAGTGTCGTCTTCAAGAATGGTGAGTTGTTGGGTGCACACACCTTTAATACCAGCATTCTGGAGGTAGTGGCAGGAGGATCTCTGTGAGTTTGAGGCCAGCCTGGTCTACATAGGGAGTTCTAGAACAGCCAGGACTACATAGAGAGACCATGTCTTGAAAGGAAGGAAGGAAGGGAGGAAGGGAGGAAGGAAGGAAGGAAGGAAGGGAAGAAAGGAGGGGATAAAGGAGAGCGGAAGGAAGGAGGGAGGAAAGGCAGGGAGAGGAAGGGAAGGAAGGAAGAAGGAAAGGAAAGGAAAGCGCAGCAGTGAGCAATCTCAGGTGCTGAGCCATGTGAATTTTCAGGATCAAAGTCAGGTTCTTATACTTCTATGATGAGCGCTTTACTGACCCAGCCATCTCCCCAGTCTACATTTGCCTCTCCACACCGTGCAGTGTCCTGAGGGACAGGAGCGGCTGGGTGTACAGCTACACACCAGGTACCTAGGAATAAACAAGCCTAAAGTCATGAGTCCCACACTCTCATCAGAACCATGAGACAACAATCAATGGGAGAAGGCAGCTTTAAGAAGGGAAGGCAGGGGCTGGAGAGATGGCTTGGTGGTTAAGAGAGCCAGCTGCTCAACTCTAAGGACCAGAATCCTAGCAGCCTCATCAGGTAGCTCACCGAAACCTGTAACTCCAGCTCCGAGGGACCTGATGCCCTCTTCTGGGGTTCTTGAGTATCTGTACATACATACGTACATACACTCACACATGTGTGAACACGTGTATGCGCACACACACATAACAAAATAGAAAACAACAGGCTAGGGGACAGGCTCAGCAGTTACGAGCAAGTGCTTACTGACCTGAGTTCAGTTCTCAGCACCCAAGTCTGGTGGCTCACAGCCAACTGCAGCTCCAGGGGATCTGACCCCCCTTCTGGCCTGTGCAGGTACTGCACTCGCATGCACCAACCCACACACAGGCACATGTAATTAAAAATAAGGGCTGGAGAGATGGCTCAGAGGTTAAGAACACTAGCTTCCCTTCCATAGGACCCAGGTTTGATTCCCAGGGGATCCAATGTCCTCTTCTGGCTTCCTTGGGCACTGCATGCAATGGTACACAGACATACATGAAGGCAAAACACCCATACACATAAATATCAAGTTGTTGGTGGTGGTGCGCACATTTTAATCCCAGCACTCCGGAGGCAGAGGCAGGTGTATCTCTGTGAATTCAAGGCCAACCTGGTCTACAGAATGAGTTCCATGTCAGTCAGGACTATTACTCAGAAAAACCCTGTCTGGAAAAAATAAATCTCTCTTAAAGGAGGAGGAGGAGAAAGGGGAAGAGGAGGAGGAGGAAGGGGAAGAGGAAGAGGAGGAAGGGGAAGAGGAGGAGGAAGAGGAGGAGGAGGAAGGGAAGAGGAGGAGGAAGAGGAAGAAGGGAAGAGGAGGAGGAAGAGGAGGAAGGGGAAGAGGAGGAAGGGGAAGAGGAGGAGGAAGAGGAGGAAGGGGAAGAGGAGGAGGAAGAAGAGGAAGAGGAGGAGGCGGAGGAGGAGGAGGAGGAGGAGGAAGAAGAAGAAGAAGAAGAAGAAGAAGAAGAAGAAGAAGAAGAAGAAGGTGGTGAAGGTAAATTAATATAGATGATCTGGCAATGTGGTTCAGTGGAAAAGCATTTACCCAACATGTAAGAGGCCCTGACTTCACACAATCCCAAGACTTCACACAAACAAATAACAGTCCCCCCAAGACAGATGCACCATCCCTGTCCCCCTTTCGTTTGCCCTTCCAGCTGCTCTGCTAACCTTCCGTCACCGTCACCCTCTCCCCGTCTTCTGCCTAGGACCTTGGTACTTAACACCCCCTTTGCCCAGAACACACTTCTCTGGGGATAAAGTCACCTTACATTTTAATTTTCAGTGGAAACATTCCTTGACCAGAGACATCTTCCCGCCAGCGCTACCCAAACAAGCTTGCCTGTGTTCAGCTCTCCCACCTCACTCAGGCAAGTATATTTTCCATGATTTCAGTTTTCTGTTGTATGTTACCTATGTCAATCAGCAAGGTGGCAAGCACTGAGGCTGTTTCCCTATGGCTCTCTGCTCCAGGCTGGGTACACATAGGGATTTCATAAAGGCAACCCAGCAAAGAGTCTAGAACTCTGTGACCGTGTGCTGACCCACCCTTCCAAAGATGAAGGTAAGCTTTGAAATCCTCAGTTCTCTGCCTAGGCATAAACTTTATGACTGATGGTCAGGAGCTGTGTGCAGTGGAATTCTTGGACCAGCTTCAACTCATGGGTGTCCTTGGGGCCATTCTCCATCCTCAGCCTCTGGTGGGGACTGCACTCATGGGCAACATGCCTCGTCTGACCTGTTTGGATCAGCCCAGAGCCCTGCCTCCTTCTGCCTGGCATTTCTGCCATTCTCCGAGGAGAGGTGAATTCCAGCCTGATTCAGGGCTTCAGGCACCCTAAGCAAGCATGTCATCAGGCCACCGCTGCCCCCATTTTGCTTTTGGAGACAGGGTCTCATGCCGTAAGTTGACCACTGACTGGTTATATGGTCAAGGATGATCCTGTACTCCTGATTCTCCTGTCTTTATCTCCTAAGTTCCAGGCTTACAGGCATGTGGCACCATGGTTTATTAAACGCTAGGGATGGAACCTAGTCCACGCAGCTGGGCAAGCACGCTACCAACTGAGTTAAATCCTTAGCCCCTTAATGCAGCTTTCAAAATGACAGGTGAGCAACCCTCCAATGCACTGTGAGCAACCCTCCAATGTACTGTGTTGTTTCTAATTAACAGCTGTGTCCGATCCACGGCAGGGCCAACAGAATGGCAGCCGGATGGCAGAGGCGGCATCTTAGCCCCCCAGGTCACAGTGCAGAATACATTCCTCCCCCATCCGAGTACTGTACCCAGGAGGCCGTACTTGATCCTCAGGGTGTCGCTTCCCACAGAGCCATGCTGCTCCAGCAGGCCCTATATGTGGAGCTCTGTCACACTGGGAACCTGCAGCTGGACACCCAGGATGGCTGACTGCAGCCCAGCCTCTTCCTTCTTCTCCAGCAACACTGTGGGGCAGTTGGTAACAGGCATGGGTGGTTGTCCCCTAGCACACTCCCCACCTTGGGGGCTCAGAGACCCCACCCCTGCTTCTCCTGTGCCTCGGGGGCATTGACACAGACTGTAATCTCCACCATCTGGGGCAACTGTGTCACCTTGGCAGGTCTGCTAAGTGGAATGAAACAATACCGAGTGGGAAAGGAGAAGAGAGAGTGACATCTCAGGCGACTGGGCATGTCTAGAAAGTAAGCTTTCTAGAACTTTCAGCCCTGCAAGTCTATCACACAGACAAAGTACACAGAGCTAAGCCATACTACAGGACCCCAACATGCCTATGCTAGGCAATTCACAGTCACCGCTCCAAGTTCCTCCAGCCCAGGCCCCAGGAATGTTCCAGAACACTACAAGGAGCATAGTCAAGGGCTAAGCTGCCTCTAGCACCAGGGCCAGCACCTCTCTCATCCATCCTATGTTCAGACAGCATCCTGGAGCTGGGGATTTAGCTCAGTTGGTTGGGTGCCTGCCTAGCTTTCAGCTAGATGTGATGCTCCACACTGAAACCTGGGTGCAGTGGTGCACATCTATAATCAGAGGTAGAGACAGGAGGTTCAGAAGTTCCAGGTCATCCTCAGCTTCCCAATGAATCTGCAGTCAACCTGGGGATGATAGACTATCACAAAATGAACCTACATCTAAATGTACTTCTCACCGTGGGTTAGAGTCAAAATAGTACCAAAGCTATTGTCTTAGAAAGCTGCCATTTTAAGGTACCTAGGGTGGGTTTAAGGGGAAGGAGGTCAGTGGGCAAGTGGGTGGGAGCACACAGGAGCCATTACCCCTTAGTGCGAAGGAGGCTGAGCTGGTGGGGGTCACACAGGGATACTGGGCCGTCCATCCCCAAGCTGACCACAGAACAGGGTTACGTGAGCTCATCATTTAGCATGCGCCTCAGAGATGCAGAGATGGACAGCCTGCTGCCCAACTGCCGCCGGATGTTCCCATCAGGGACTATAGGTCTGCCTGCTGTCTCCAGCTTTGCCTCCACCTGGGCCTCAAACTGCTGAATCTTCTTGTCTGTCTCTGTCACTCTAGACCTGAAAAAGTCCCAGCATCACCTGAAGGGCAAGCACGACCAGCAGGCCTGGTTCTGACCCTGTGATCTTGGACCAGATGGGGGTAGGGGCAGAGCTTAACTGATGACCTTCTACTTTGACCTTGACCTCATTTTTTAAGATAGGGTCTTGGGTAGCCCAGGCTGGCCTCAAACTCCCCACATAGCTGAGGATGACCTTGAACCTCTGAGTGCTGGGATTACCATGCCAGTGTGTGTGGTATGGGGATCAAGTTCATATCAGGCAAGCACTCTACATCTGAGCCTCATCCCCACACCTTGGCCTGGGTTTTAAAACCCTGGATTGTTTGAAGTAGTCAGGGGGAAGCAGGAGGGACCCCTCTGTCCTTCCCTCACCTCACCTTGTTACAGGACAGACAGCTGCCCAGGCAGTGCCTAGAATCGAGCACCTCTGCGACCTCTGGCCGCCCTGTCCTCCATCCCAGTCTTGAAGCCTGGGTCACTATAGTATCCTCCTCCTACCCCACTGGCCTCTTTAAGATGTCAAGGTCAGGGTACAGCCAGGAGCCAGGACTCTGCAGCGAGGGCTGTGGCCGGAGCGCAAAGGCCACCCTTGAAGCTTGCTGGGGAACTACAGACAATTGGGACCATTGCCTTCAGTGGCAGGTGCGAAGCTGAAGGATGGCCCTGCAGACAGTGCCTGCAGGAGCTGCAACAGAGACAGGTGTGGCGGTCCACACTGCAGTCCCAGAGGATTGCAAATTCGATAATATCCTGGGCTACAGAGCGAGGCCGAGAAGAGATTGCTCGGTGGTTAGAGAACTTGCTGCCCTTTCAAACGACCTGGGTTTGGCTCCAGCATCCACACGAGTGGCTAACAACTGCCTGTCACCCCAGTTTTAGGGGATCTGATATCTTCTTCTAGTCACCAAGGGGACCAGCCATGAACATTGTACATATACATACAATACACTCAGGCCTACACACATACACATAAATAATAAACCATTTTTTTAAAAAGAAGAGTAGAAGGGAAAAATGATAGAGAGGGGAAAGGAAAGGGAGGATGGAGAGGAGAAGAAGAGGAGGAGGAAGGAGAGGAGAAAGATGAAGGAGAGGAGGATGAAGGAGAGGAGGAGGAGGATGGAGAGGAGGAGGATGAAGGAGAGGAGGAGGAAGATGAAGGAGAGGAGGATGAAGGAGAGGAGAAGGATGAAGGAGAGGAGGATGAAGGAGAGGAGGAGGAGGAGGATGGAGAGGAGGAGGATGAAGGAGAGGAGGAGGAAGATGAAGGAGAGGATGAAGGAGAGGAGAAGGATGAAGGAGAGGAGGATGAAGGAGAGGGAGGAGGAGGATGGAGAGGAGGAGGATGAAGGAGAGGATGAAGAAGATGGAGGTGAGGAGGAAGATGAAGTAGTGCAGACATAATAATACAGGCCTGTAGTCCTAGTGCTAAAGAAGGGGGGACAGGAGGATCACAAGTTCTAGGTTAGCCTGCCCTACACAATAAGACCTGTTTCAAAAGGCAAACAGGTTAGAAACAACATGGCCTATGTGAGTATGTGTGCATGCATGTGAATACATGTGTGTGTTTACACAAGCATACACACACTCCCTTTTTACAATAATGCATGCAGTCCATGCACTGTGTCCCAATGATGGCTTCTTTAGCTCTTCATTGGGGCTGTGGGTGGCAGCATATCCCAGACCTGGCACCCACATTAGGGGACAGACAGCTGGGCTTCTCCAGGCCAGTCACTATGTATGATCCCCAGTGTGTCACACCTGCCTGAATTCAGGAGCTCACCCGCCTGTTTCCTCACCTGCTCTGGGAAGCGGGGACCTGGGAGCTATGAGAACAGGCTGCAATGAGTTCTGCAGCTCCAGATGCTGGCGTTACTGCAATGCATCAGAGGTGTGAGCGTTGCACAAGGCACTCTGGGAGCCCACGGGGCTTTTCCACGCTGGCACCGAGGACTCAGGGCTCCAGGACTGAGAATGAGGAGTCTTAGCCTGAATGCCTGGGGTTGGAGGAAGACGAACTTCCTGGGCACTCAAGAGGTAAAGGCGGGTGGTGGAAAGAGTGCGGGTCAGAGGTAGTGGAGGGGGTGAGGTCAGAGGTAGTGGAGGGGTGAGGTCAAAGGTAGTGGAGGGGGTGAGGTCAGAGGTAGTGGAGGGGGTGAGGTTGGAGGTAGAGGAGGGGGTGAGGTCGGAGGTAGAGGAGGGGGTGAGGTCGGAGGTAGTGGAGGGGGTGAGGTCAGAGGTGAGAGGCACCTCATCTGGAAAAATGGTGTCTTTGTGTCTGGCATTAAAAGAGGTTTGTCTGAATTCAATATGACAGGTGTCCCCTAAAAAAATGAGGCAATTTGAAATGACCTGCAGAGGGATGACAATCTGACCAAAATGGAAAGAAGCCATCTCTGGGCTGAGGAATTCTGCAGGTAGCACCGGACAGCTCTGGGAACACAGGCTCCTCACAGCCCCTCTCTGCACTCCCTATTAGCTCTCGGAGCTAATGGCGGATACACTGTGTTAGGGCATCCAGTTCTGAGAACTTCAGTGGGATATCAGGAAACCCGGGAGCAGTCTGCATAACTTGTTTTAATACTTTTCTCTGCTGTAAACTTTTATTAAAGAGATTTATTATCTGATAATTTATTTATTATCTGTGCATGTATCTACTGTGTGTATGTGCACAGGCATGCAGGTTCCCACAGACGCCCAAAGGGGGTGTGAGGTCCCCTGAAACTGGAATTGCATGCAGTTGTGAGTCACTGGATGTGGGTGCTGGTCCTCTGCAAGAGCGGAAGGCAATCTGAATTGTTGAACTATCCCAACCCCAAACTTTCTATTATTGATTCCACACATTTGTTTACATCAGTGCTGGCGTGGGGCGGGGGAAGGAGAGGGGCTTTGTTGGACCAGGACACTGACTGGGTCAAGGAGACCTGGGGTGGGAGTAGGGCAGATGAGTGCACCTCGATGTCACCTGGGGACCAGGCCAAGGTCAGAGGTGGGCCTTCTGGTCCATTTTCTATCCCCTGAGCCATCAAATGGACCGGCTCTTGCTCTGGAACCCAGGAACAAATGTGTGACAGACACACTACCCACATCACAGCTGCAGAGGAGTCAGGTGGCGAGGGAGGGTGTTGTCCTCACCATCCAGGTGAATTTTCTTTTGGGGGTGCCCAGCTTGAGCCAGCACTTCCTTTGGGGCACACTCTTGCTGACATTCACCCCAACGTCCCTGGCCACTTCTGACTGGGGTGTACCCATGAAGATGTGGGCGGTGGCTTCTTCGGGGAGCCAGCTGTCCTTCTGAAAGCACAATGGGGTTCCTGAGAAGAGAAGACCACCGCTCCCCTTCTGAAATAGGGCTGCCTATCCAGGCTTTGAACAGCAGCACAGGACTGGCAGATTTTCAGGACAGTCTGGCACAGGACTTTTGATTTTCCCTCATAGTTGGGGTGCAAGGCTTTGCTGCATGCTAGGCAAATGCTCTCCCACTGAGCTACACTCAAGCTTCTCTGGTCTTGATTGACAGGAGAAATGGCCAGAGTGGGGCTTCTGCAGTACACAGCTCCAGCATCCTGTCAATGCTGTCTCAGCCCAGACTAGCCCTGTGCAGGTCCCTCCCCTTTCTCACTCTGCTATGCACAGTGGACATCTGCAACCCCAGGACACAGCCCTATGCTCTGGAGTCAAAACAATACTGTCTTTTGCTTACTGCTACCAACCCTCTTACAGATTCTGAGGTTGGTGAAGCCAGCTTCAGCCTCTATCTTTCCTAACTTTTCACTTCTCCTGGCCCGAGGGCCTTTGTTTAACAGATTCCTTTACCCCGAGCCTCCATATATAAAACTTGGAGAAAAGCAGCTTTGAACTCAAGCTGCTTCTAGAACCCAGAGCCAGGCTGGGGTGTGGCTCAGTGGGACACTGCAGGCTTTGCACACACACACACACACACACACAAGGCCCCAACTCCTCCCTCTATATTGCAAAAGCGTCAAAAAAATACCACATCCTGGTTCACTCATTCGGCACTTCTTGTGAGGCTAGCCTGAAGCTTGGGGAGCCCTAGGTATGCAAAGCTCCTGACCCTGGGGGCTGACACCCCAGAGTCAAGGGCATACAATAACCACACACAGAGCCAGGTAAGAGAGCAGCCAGAAATCTTTGTCTTGTGGGTACACGAGTGGCCCTCGAAGAGACATGTGTTTTATGTCGGGTGGAAAGGCACAGGCTACCTGTGATGGCCTGTTAAGATGCCTGAGAAATTACAGACTAAGAGGTTAGCTGGCACTGGAAGAAAGAGTGTCTCGGGCACAGGAGAGAGCCAGTGCAAAGGTCTGGGCACAGGAATGCACTTGACACATTGAGTCAGAGTTGATCACGGCACTAGGCAGAGTCAGCATGTGCAGAGATCCTGCGGCAGAAGGGAGCCAGCTCGAAGCCTTAGAGTCGAAACCTGTGTCTCTGTGGCCAAGTCCTCGGTCCTGATGTGCAGCAGGTACAGCTGAAGTCCCGTTTCCTACTTCTGCAGAATCAGTCCCCAAGCACAGGTGCCGAGAGCAGGAAGGGCTGACCAGGCCTTGGCCAGGTCACGTTAGTACACAGCTGCCGACCCAAGGCTCGGGATCGGCGAAGACCTGAGTGACAGCTCCGGTTAGCAGACGGCTCGGGCTGTTGGCCCAGCCACCCATGTTACATTTCCTTCTGAGAACCAGCGCTGTACAGACATTAACCCTGAGAGACAGGACTGCATAGGCCAGGGCTCCTCAGACTCAGCAAGCTGTTGACATGGGCCCAGTAATCTTTTGAGAGTATCATATAGATTATACAATATTCTATAGCATTCCTGGCCTTTATCAATTGGATGCCAGGAACTACCATAAATGCCAGTTATAGCAGCTTTACTAATCATTGCCTTAAGGCAATCCCCTAAATTCAGGGGTGGTGCAGAAGGCAAAAACAACCGCACTGAGAACTGGTGCAGACTCTCTCTCTCTCTCTCTCTCTCTCTCTCTCTCTCTCTCTCTCTCTCTCTGTGTGTGTGTGTGTGTGTGTGTGTCTGTGTGTCTGTGTGTATGAACATGTGTGTAAAGGTACCCAAAGAGTCCAGAAGAGGGTGTCTGATCCCCTGGAGGTGGAATTACAGGCAGTTGTGCATTTCCCACTGTGGATGCTGGGACCCAAACTCGAATTCTCTGCAAAAGCAGCCAGTGCTTAACCCCAGAACCAGATCTCCAGCTCCAGGGTGATTCTTTTTGTTTTGTGTGAAACAGGGTCTCACTCTGTAGCCCCGGCTGTCCTGGAACTCACTCTGTAGAGCAGGCTGCCCTCAAACTCACAGAGATCCGCCTGCCCCTGCCTCCTGAGTGCTGGGATTAAAGGTGTGTGCCACCACATCCATGCCCTGGACCACTTTTTTCTTATAAAATTATTTTTATTTTGAGCTACATAAACATCTTTCTCTGGAATGTACCAAAGTGACTTGCTTATGGTTTGGGATAAACATAATTAACAAAATGATTTCATTTCTATTGTACAGAGCTGTGATGTAAAATGATTTAAAGGCTGTATTGTTTTAGAAAGCGGGTAATTCGACAGTAATATATTGAAGCAACTCTCCTGCTAAAGCCTCCATGACAAAGCAACATGTTCTGGTTGGGATGCCGAGTTCTGGAGGATGCCTAGCTTCTACCACACACAGTCACCGGGATTTGCTCAGTCTTTTCCAGTTCTACCCTGAATGACTTGGCAGAGAAAGATTCTTACATCTTCTGATAAAATGATTTGACACAATATGTGTCGATTTCTGAATGAAAGACATAATTTTGATCAATGTGAGTGCCAGCTCCCTTCATGGCTTGATGAGGTTCCTTGGCAAAGACATCTAGGATGCTCGGCATACGTCACGATGGCTGTAAGTCACTTCAAATGTCACCTTCCGTTCCAGACCCAGAACCCCTTCACGCTCACTGAGTCGGCATAATTGTGAAACACTCTGCAAAGATGGCCATAGCGTCTGGCCCAGGCTTGCATTAATAAATGCACATCATCCCCCTCCCTTTCCCCAGCCTCATGCGAGGCCCTGGAAACCACATCAGTTGAATCTTGATTCCCACTCCGATCCTCACAACGGTCACCCTGGGCAAGAGAAAGCAATGCGAGCTGTGTCTGAGGCAGTGTCTTTGGCCAGTCTCCTATCAGATCTTCTCTGTAGACTCTTAATCTCTCTGGTCTCTGTGGTTTTTTTTTTTTTCAGTAATCTTCATTGTTTTTATTTTTGGTTTTTTTTGTTTTGTCATTTATTTATTTATTTATTTATTTATTTAAGATTTCTGCCTCCTCCCTGCCACGGCCTCCCATTTCCCTCTCCCTCCCCCGATCAAGTCCCCCTCCCTCATCAGCTCGAAGAGCAATCAGGGTTCCCTGCTTAATGGGAGTCTTCACCTGTTCCAAGTCCCTTCACAGCCCACAGGATCTTTGTGTCAAACTGAGCTGAAGTTTGAGCACCCTGAGAAACTCTTTCTCCAGGCAACCTGTGAGGCCTCCCTCTGAGCTTCCTCCCGTATGTTTGCAGAGGTGTGCTGTCTTGACCTGCCTTGCTGAACTTTGATTCTCGGTGAGAAGGCAAGTGATGGCTACTCCATCTACATCTTTCACTGTTAAAGATTTGTGCATGACAGCTCCACCCAAGGATGGCCTGAAGCTAGGGCTCCCTGCTGACCTGCGACCACATCTGGGTGATTTCACGGCTTCAGTGGGTCTTAGTTACTTTTCTATTGCTGTGAAGAGGCATCATAACTCAGGAAACTTATTAAAAAAGCATTTAATTTGGGGGCTCATGATTCCAGAGTGTTAAAGTTCACATTCATCATGGTGGCTGGTAGGCAGGTATGGCTAAGCTAAGCCTATAGCTAGGAGCTTACATCCTGAGCCACAAGCTGGAAGGAGAGAGACGGGGAGGGAAGAGCACTAACTAGGAAGGATTGGGGCTTTAGAAACCTCAAAGCCGGCCCCTGGTTACATACCACCAACCACCAGAGAACATATTCCTGTTCTGGACGGCCAATAAACCAGGCCTGCCAGAGGAATTCTGATGTCATTGCCATTTTAAAGAAGTGTCTTTTCACTTCCCCTTCTAAGGACCTAAAGAGAGGTTCTGCTCAGAAGGTTTCCATCTCCCTAGGACCTTTAAAGTAAAGATGGCTGCCAGGCCATCTCCGTCGAGTGCCATGCATCCTCCTGGGAATGGCTAGCCCAGTCTGCTGGGCCTGTGGTCCCAGCAGCATCCCCACCTGGCTAAAGCGGAGATGAACAACCTGACCATGAAAGGATGGACTCCCTCCTGGACTGGTGGCTCCCGAGGGACTCATATGACTTTGTACAAGCATGTTTGTGAAGGACTTGCTCTGATCCTTTGCAGAATTCTGTTGTATAAGAGGCAGCTACAGCTGGGTGTGGTGGCCATGCCTTTAGCCCAGCACTCGGGAGGCAGAGGCGGAACTCTGTGAGTTTAAGGCCAGCCTGGGCTACAGAGTGAGTTCCAGGACAGCTCAGGCTACAGAGTGAGTTTCAGAGCATCCTGGTCTACGGAGTGAGTTTGAGGCCAACCTGATCTACAGAGTGAGTTTCTGGACAACCAGGGGGTGTTTCTGAGGGGTTTTCTGGGTTAGGATAATGAAGGAAGGAAGACCCACCCTAAACGTGGGTCCAGGACTGAATAGGAAGGAGAGTGAGAATCAAGCAGCAGCATTCACCCCGCTCTGTGTCCTGACTACGAACGCAACACAACCAGTCAGCCTCCCTTCCACCACGGCAAATGATCCTCTGAAGATGTGAGCCGGAACAAACCCGGGGCAGGAGGATCAGGAGTTCTGCTGCTTGTGACTTTGAGGACAGCCAGGGCTACATAAGACCTCGTCTCAAATAAACAAACCAAAGTTGATAAGACTTCTTTGTACACGAGCCATGCAAAATGGCTTTCGATTTTCCCTGGGTGCAGTACTAGAAACCAGATTGCTAGGTGACTAAATCCTTTTGGAGAGTAATTTGGAGGTCATCCCCTCCACACCCAGGACACTCATCTCAGGCTGAGAACCAGAGGCCCACCAACCAGCTTCCATCAGCTGTCCCTGTCACCAGCCTATCTTACAGATGGGGACACCAAGCCTCTGAAGGACAGAACACTGCATGGCGGGGGTCATGACACAGCCCCATTTCTAAGCCCCACTTCAGGTCACCCCAACTCTGGTAGATGGTGTGTTGTTTGTGTTCTCGGTCACACCCAGAACCCACAGACAGCTTGGCTGGGTGGTGGGACAGATGTCCCGGAAATGAGACCATGACTTACATGAATTCTGTCCCTCTCCTTCCATACCACATGGGCTGCTCCTGCAGCAAACTCATTTGACTATATTTCCTCACCAACAGTGGGATTAAAGAAGGGCCTGCCCTTCTTGGTCCTTGGTCACTGGGGCTTGGTGAGCTTGGGTTGGGCTCCTCTTACCTCCCTTGGTCTCTAACTAGAGACCCTGTGGCCCGACTCCCCCGTGCAGCCCTGAGCACACAGCTTCACCACTTTGGGGCCTGTCTTCTTAGCAGTAAAGGGACCTCATAGTCCAAGATCCTCACGGTTGTTTAGTTCAGCAAAACAGGCGGGCTGAGAATGGTCCATTCCCACACCCTGAGCCCCTGCTTGCCTCCCCAGTCTGTATGATGCCCAGCCCTACCCCCTGAGATCCTGTTCACCTCCCCACAGTCTGTACAATGCCCAGCCCTACACCCCGAGCCCCTGTTCACCTCCCCACAGTCTGTACAATGCCCAGCCCCCCACACTCTGAGCTCCTGTTCACCTTCCCACAGTTTGTATGATGCCCAGCCCCCACCCCAAGGACCTACTTACCCCAGCTTGGAGAAGTCTGTTTCCTGGACTTGACAGAACTCCTCAGGGAGCCATCCGAAAGCTGCTGGAAGTCAGCTGCCCCTTGGGCATGGATTCTGACAGTAGCCAAGGCATGTAGGGTGAGCCTGGCTGGAATGCCAGACATTGTGGGAGCCAGACTCAGCCTCGGGGTCACCTGACCTCCTGCCCCTGTGGCCAGAGAACCATAGTGACAGCTCACAGCCATGTCTAGGGACAGGTGATCTTAGCATGGAGCACAAGACATCCACTTTTTCTCCAAGTATATGTCACTCCAGAGATACACTGGGGAAAATGAGGTCTTGGACCTAAATGGTTGGCTCAAGGTCAAGTAGCTAACAGGAGTAGAATGTGATCTGCTTATTGATCAAAGGCGAGCTGGGCAGATGGGGACAGTAGATGTCTCCCACAACCAGGGACACATCATCCAGTGTGTCCTAGGCAGATCCGTGCACTAACTTAGTCAGCCTGGGCCTTCTATTTCAAGATCAGAGTAGAGCTCAGTGCACAGTGCTTGCCTAGCATGCATGAGGCCCTGCACCCTGCCCCAGCACCAAAAAGATAAAAAGAGATAAATACCTCCACGTGTGAAGCAGGAGTCAAACTATGGCAAGACCTACAATAGACCCAAAGTAGGAGGTGGTGTGGGGGAAGCCTTGTGCTCAGGTATGGCCCCAACTGTCATGTTCCAGGGTCAAAGGGTCAGGGGACAGAGGTAGGGGATAGACAGGAGAGGCAGGAGTAGGATCCAGGTCAAAGGACTGTAAGCAGAGGCAGAGGGAAGGAGATGGGGACATAAGCCATGAGGCAGGCCCAGGTTGGAGATGGAAACATGAGGGAGTGTGCAATACTGTAGAATATTAGCTAAATATCTGCTGCATTTGTTTATGTTGTAGAGCATTTGTTTTAATGATGCAAACATGTGCTGCGTTCTCTTATGCTGCATTTGTTTAACTCTGAGAAGCTGTGTTAGTTTGCCTGTCTGAAACACCTAATTAGTCTAATAAAGAACGGAATGACCGATAGCAAGGCAGGAGAGGGATAGGTGGACTGGCAGGCAGAGAGAATAGGTAGGAGGAGAAATCTGGGAGGGGAAGGATTGAGGAGCGAGAGGAAGATGACTTCAGGGGCCAGCCACCCAGCCACACAGCCAGACACGGAATAAGAAGGAGAAAAGGATGTGTAGAAATAGAGAAAGGTAAAAGCCCAGAGGCAAAGAATAGATGGGATAATTTCAGTTAAGAAAAGCTGGCTAGAAACAAGCCAAGCTAAGGCCAGGCATTCAAGAGAAAGAATAAGACTCAAGTGATTCATTTGGGAGCTGGGGGGCAGGCCTCAAAAGAGTCAGAGTTAAAAGACAACCAATTACAGCCCAGGGCTGGGGACAGGGACATGAGGCAGGGCTGGGGAAGGGATATGAGGCAGGGCTGGGGACAGGGACATGAGGCAGGGCTGGGGGACAGGGACATGAGGCAGGGCTGGGGACAGGGACATGAGGCAGGGCTGGGGGACAGGGACATGAGGCAGGGCTGGGGACAGGGACATGAGGCAGGGCTGGGGACAGGGACATGAGGCAGGGCTGGGGGACAGGGACATGAGGCAGGGCTGGGGACAGGGACATGAGGCAGGGCTGGGGACAGGCACATGAGGCAGGGCCCAGGGCTGGGGACAGGGACATGAGGCAGGGCTGGGGGCCAGGGACATGAGGCAGGGCTGGGGGACAGGGACATGAGGCAGGACACGAGACAGGGACATGAGGCAGGGCTGGGGGACAGGGACATGAGGCAGGCCTGGGGACAGGGACATGAGGCAGGGCTGGGGATAGGGACATGAGGCAGGGCCCAGGGCTGGCGACAGGGACATGAGGCAGGGCCCAGGGCTGGGGACAGGGACATGAGGCAGGGCTGGGGGACAGGGACATGAGGCAGGGCCCAGGGCTGGCGACAGGGACATGAGGCAGGGCCCAGGGCTGGGGACAGGGACATGAGGCAGGGCTGGGGGAGATGGACATGAGGCAGGGCTTAGGGACAGGGACATGAGGCAGGGCTGGGGACAGGGACATGAGGCAGGCCTGGGAACAGGGACATGAGGCAGGGCTGGGGGACAGGGACATGAGGCAGGGCTGGGGGATAGAGACATGAGGCAGGGCTGGGGGATAGGGACATGAGGCAGGGCTGGGGGATAGGGACATGAGGCAGGGCCCAGGGCTGGGGACAGGGACATGAGGCAGGGCCCAGGGCTGGGGACAGGGACATGAGGCAGGGCCCAGGGCTGGGGACAGGGACTTGAGGCAGGGCTGGGGGAGAGGGACTTGAGGCAGGGCTGGGGGAGAGGGACATGAGGCAGGTCTGGGGGACAGGGACATGAGGCAGGGCTGTGGGACAGGGACATGAGGCAGGGCTGGGGGACAGGGACATGAGGCAGGGCGGGGGACAGGGACATGAGGCAGGCGCAGGTGCAGAGACCAGCGTCTCCTGTGGCCTCCAGAGGCTCACAGTCCCGGAAGCTCAGCTCATGCTGGACACTGGCACTCAGCTGGCAGCTTGGTGCCTGTCTTTCCCTAAACCTCCAGGGTACCCGAGAAAGAAGCCAGAATGAAGACACAGAAGCTTAGGTGAGCCAGACAAAGCTTCTGGATTAGGAGGGAGGCTGGGTTGCCAGAAAGGTCAGGGGCATGTGGGGCTCTGCCCCCCAAATTCACTCTACCACACCTGTTCTTTGATGTGCACGGTAGTGCCCATGGCCCAGTGTAAACACACCTTCCAAGGACAAGTGTGAACAAGAAGCCAGCTCTGAACCACAGCTGCTTTTCCCTGATCCCCTCGTCGGCTTCCCTTTCTGGCATCCCATCCAGCCACCTGAGCTATACTCTGGTCCATGATGGTCTCCTGGTCCCTCATCACTTTTCATGCTATGACGCAGATTTTGTTTCTAATATTTGAAATTAGGAGATTTTTTTTTTTTTTTTGGTTTTTCGAGACAGGGTTTCTCTGTGGCTTTGGAGCCTGTTCTGGAACTAGCTCTGTAGACCAGGCTGGTCTCGAACTCACAGAGATCCGCCTGCCTCTGCCTCCCGAGTGCTGGGATTAAAGGCGTGCGCCACCATCGCCCCGCTGAAATTAGGAGATTTTTATATAATTCCAAACCCATGGCTTCTTGGAAGACAGAAATACTAGTTTGTCTACCCACCCCTCAGTAAGGGGTGACCAGAGCCAAGAGGCAGCTGCCGATGTGAATGGCTGTTCCTCTGGGCACTACCGTCCCTGCCCTCTCTGTTGTCTTGCCAATATGGAGATCGAGTATCTGTTGTTACTCTCTTTGTCTTAGCAAAATACTTCTTGGGGTGTGAGTATGAAACATGACAAAATAACAGACTCTGGAGGGTGTGTTCTAAGACAAAATTGTTTGGTTTGTTTTTGTTAAGCAAGGTCCAGCCCAGCATGGGGCTGAGACTTGCCTGAAAAATCCTTCAACCTTCTAAGTGCTAGGGTTACAGGCACATGCCATCATGCCCAGCTAGGAAAAAGTGTTTATTCCTAGCCCACCTGGGCTTTGGGCTAACATCTGGTCTGTGTATAAACATGTCAGTACACACCCAAGCCACCCACGTTGCTGGCTCTCAGATGTACACAGAGATGGCATTTTACAAAGGCAAACATTGTAGGCGGAGTGAGTGCCCATCATGGTCCCTGCCCTCCAGAAGAGTCTCTGCTAAGATGATGGCTAGCAACGGGACCTGGTCGCTCAGCTGAAGACAGGCTTCCAGTTACAGAGCACACGTCCTCGGACACTATCCACTCACATACCACAAAAGCACCCTCAAGACAGCACAACTATTCATTTCTTTAATCTTTAGGTAGGGTCTCGTGTAACCCAGGCTGCCCTCAAACTTGCTGAACATCTAATCCTCCTGCCTCCATCTACTGAATGTTAGGATTACCTCCACATCTGGTCTTAGGTGTCATTGGGGATCCAACGTACACTGGAGAGGTGGGGGAGGGGGCTGCTAGTGTGAGGCCAGTCTGGGCCACAGAGTGAGATTTTATCTCAAAAAAAATAAAACAAAAAATTTTAAATACCACAAGGGCTGGGGAGATGGTTCAGTCAATAACGTTTTGTCATGAGCATGAAGAACTGAGTTCGGGTCCCCAGTACTCAAGAAAAACATAAGGCAAGCACACAGTGTGCCCTTAATCCCAGTGCTGTGGAGGCAGTCAGGAGAACACTGCGGCCAGCCACCATAGTGGAGTGGGTGAACTCAGGAGCAGTGAGAAGCTGTGTCCCAAAACATAAGGTAGAAGGACTGGAGAGATGGCTCAGCAGCTAATAGTATTGGCTGCTCCTGCAAAAGATCCAAGTTCAGTTTCCAGTGCCCACATGGGGGCCGAGAACTCTTTGGAAGTCCAGTTCCAGGACTACCCTCTTTTGACCTTTACGGCTACTACACACACATGGTGCACATATATACATCATATGTACATACATACAGGCAAGCACTCAGATATAAAATTTTAAAAATTTAAAAGCAAAGTAGAGCAGTGATGGAAGAAGATATTCAAGGTCAACACATGCACACACAAACTACACATGCATACATGCACATGCAAGCACATACATATACACATGTACATGCATGCACACACACATACAGAAAAGTGAAAGAAAACCCCAAACTAAACAAAACAACCATTCCCTCTAGAAGAGACTAAAAAGACACATCATAAACTGAGAGACTGTGTTTCCAAGTCACATGTCTGATAGCAGAAATTATTTCTAAGACAAAGAATTCCCAAAACCCTGTAAGAAAATAACCCAGCCGGGCAGTGGTAGCACATACCAGCACTTGGGAGGTAGAGGCAAGCGAATCTCTGTGAGTTTGAGATCAACCTGGTCTATAGAGTGAGTTCCAGGACATCAAGAACTGTTAAACAGAGAAACTTTGTATAAAAAGAAAGGAAGGGAGAGAGAGAGAGAGGGAGGGAGGGAGGGAGGGAGGGAGGAAAGAGAGAGAGAGAAAAAGGAAGGAAGGAAGAAAGGCTCAATAAAATAAAACAAACCTAATACCTGAATATACATTTCATTAAGGACACCTGGGTAGCTGAACTGTCCACAAGGTGATGGCTTAGCCACTTGCAGCCATGTCTGATGACCCCATCCACACGGTGGAAGGAGAGAACCAACAACTACAATCTGTCCTCTGACCGCCATACACATGTGCATATGAACGCACACACACATACGTACGTAATAAAAATAAATGCTTAAGGCTGGAATAGCGGTATACACCTTTAATCCCAGCACACAGAAGGCAGAGACAGGAAGATCTCTGTGAGTTTGAAGCCAACTGGTCTACATAGTGAGACCCTGTAGCAAAAAATATATAAAGTAAAATAATAAATAAGGTTCATCACCAATAGTCATTAGGGAAACACGATTAAAGTAAGAGACTAGCCTGGCAGGATGGAGCAGGCCTAAGATCTCGGTACTAGGAGGCTGAGGCAGGAGAATCATATATTTGAGGGTAGCCATGGACTAAAGAGTAAGTTCCAGGCCAGCCCAAGCCATATGGAGGGTTTAAGGTCAACCTAAGTTACACAGTAAGACCCTGTCTTGAAAAAAAGAAAAGAGAAGAAAGGAGAAAGGGCTGGGCTGGTGGTAGACTGCTGTCCTAGCATGGAGAGGCCCTGGGTTCTACCCCAGCCTGGGCAGGGGCAGGGGGCACCTCACAGCCACGGATGAATAAAACAGAAGAAGTAAGTGCAAGCTTTAAATACACATCACACTTTACGTAACCTCTGAGAAAGTGCCGAGCCATCTGCAGTGGCACATGGTTTCTCAGTAGCTCCTGAGGGTGACTAGGACAGGAAGAAGGTATACCATAGAAGACGAAGGTGCTTGTAAGCTGGGCACCACCAACTGGGCATCACCAACTGAGATACCATCAACAAAAGGGGCTAAGGCAGGAGGATTCCAAGATGGGGGCCAACCTGAGCTACAGAGTAAAACTATGCCAAAGAAAACAAATCAAAAAGGCTCGTGTGAGCGTGATAGGGTCATCAGCTTTTAGTGAGGGTGGCACTAGTACTCTCGGATCGTATTATATAACTCTGTGTCTGTGTGTCTGTGTGTGTCCGTGTGTGTTCGAGTGTGTGTCTGTGTATGTGTGTCTGTGTCCGTGTGTGTTTGTGTGTGTTGTGTCTGTGCATGTGTCCGTGTGTCTGTGTGTGTCCATGTGTGTGTTTGTGTGTGTCCATGTGTGTGTGTGTTTGTGTGTGTCTCTGTGTCTGTGCATGTGTCCGTGTACCTGTGTGCACATGCACTTACAGGCAGGGATCAATGTCTTCTTCAATTGCTCTCCACTTCCTTCTTTGAGGCAGAGCCTCTCACAGAAGCTGGAGCATCCCGACTGGGCTGGACTAGCTGTCTTGAGTGCCTGCCTTACTATCTCAGCACTGGAGTTACAGTACATGCCTCTACACCCGCTTTACAGAGTTAATTTTAAAGAGCAGGAGTCACTGGCACCATCAGAGGTTGGACCCGGGTCCCCTAGGTTAGGGACGGGCACTGACGAGAAGAGAAGGCAGCGGGTTCTCCGGAGTGGGGTGCTGGTGCACAGAGGAGGAGACACACACCCAGACGGGGCTTTGGGACATTTCTGTGTAGAGGTTACACTTAGACAAACACCTTTTCAGCACCAGGTAGGCGTGATCAGCAGGTATCCACAAGAGATGCATGGACACCCATAGTCTTCCCAGGAGCCATGCAGGCATCTGGGTCACTGGGTGGGGGACAGGGTGGTCAGAGCACATCACATTTATTTATTATCACCATCCTGGGTCTTTCTCCTGGACAGTCAGAGCTGGCCTGGCTACCCCTGAAGTGTTCTCTGGCTCAGCCTTTCTTCCCTCTTCCTGCCTCCAGAAGGATTTGGGGCCCAGCAGACTGCGGATGATGTCTTCAGCATTTTTCAGCTGGAGTCCCAGCTTGAGAGAAAACACAGAGGCTCAGGAATGAGGAACCCAATCACACAGGTAATCAAGGACTGCAGGACTGGGAACAGGGTCCCAGGAGACTAGCCTGGAGCACTCAGGGCTCCCTGGGCCACCTGGGCTCAGGAAACAGTACAACCTTGAATTCTTCAGGCAAAATTTCCTATGGATTCTTCGGGGGCTTCAAATGCCACTCCTTCTGGGCAGCCGTCCTTCTCACATCCCTGTCCCAGGTCACACAGCAACAAGGTAACACCCAGATCCTGCGTGGGAATCCCCTTTAAGGGTGCGGGGCCCCTTTAAGGCCATGAGGCATCTACTAGCCCAGACAACTCTCAGAAGCTGGTGGATGAACAGGCGAACCCTTCCTCTGACTGTGCGCACATCTGCAGATCCTCTTCCCTGTCCACTCACCTCTCCTCCCTCCTGGACGTGGATAGCTGTCCGCCCACCTGTCTGTTTCCTTTCCTTCCACACAGACATCTGGCTTCCCTCTCCTCGGCTCTTCTCCATTCCCTCCTGCCATCAAGCTCCTTTGATAGTGTTTGGAGAAAAATCACAGGGGGTGGCACCACCCCAGCGGGCAGTGTCTAGGTGACAGGCCCTGGTCTCCCTCAACCAGCAACCAGAAAGGTCCTGCAGACGGACTCCAGGGCTTTGGGGCCAAATGTCGGGACTTCACAACAACCCACAGGACCCCAGCCTCAGAGATCTTCCTCTCCGCTGTTGCTCAGAGTGCTTGCCTAGCGTGTACTAGGGTTTCAGTTCCTGCCCCGTAAGAGGGAGCGAGGGAGGAAATAAGTTGTCTGTCTTCCACTGTTGCCCCAAGTTCACTCATTCTTCGTGGTGACAGCAAGTGCTGTCACATCCTGCCACCCCCTGCATGCTCCCTCTCTGTGCCCCCACCCTTCCCTGTGAAATGCCACTCTTTTCCTCTCCCGGGACCTTTGCCCTCACTAGTAGTCTGCTTACCAGGCACTCTCTGACCTCAGCTCTGCACAGATCCACTTGACTGAACTAGAGTCGCCATCCACGGAAACGCACCTCTGATCCCATCCATGAGGGTGTTTCCAAAGAGCTAAAGTGAGAAGGGAAGACCCACTCTAAAGTTGCTCCCTTCTGTAGGCTGGAGTCTGCTCTAAATAAAAAGGAGAAAGCCAGAGCCAGTGATATGCTTGCAGCCAGTCTTGATGATATGAGTTCTGTCTCTCAAACCCAAATACTGGAAGGAGACACTTGATTCCCGCCCTCCACAAGCACATCATGGTGTCCATATGCTCCATGCTCCACCCCTGACAATAAATCAATATTTTAAAATAAAATAGAAAGCAATCTGTGCACCAGCATATGTGTGCATTTATGTGTGTGTGCACATACACAGACATTATATGCTTCTCAAGTGTGGGTGCTATTACACCCCTGCTGACACCTTGTCTTCCCACCATAATGGGCTGTTCTAACGAACTGAGCCAAAATAGAATCTTTCCTTCAGCCAATTTTGCCATGGATCTTGTCACACCAGCAAGAAATTTAATACAACAATGTCTGTCCTTCAGGTCTCAGTTCAAACTTCATGTTCCCAAATAAACAGTTTAGAGTTGCCACTGTCACTTCCAGCTGTCTCCCTCTGCTGGAAGACACTGTTCAGAACAACACTGAAGCCATCTTCATGAGATCAGCTGTGTCTGCTCACAACGGTCACTACTGGGCGTGTGGGAGGTTGATCCCTCACAGAAGGGAGGGGGAGAGTCAGCACTCCTCCCAGTCAGTTGTATACAATCCTGTCCCAACTGCATGTGGCCTCTTAGCAAGCACACGGGCTAAGGAAGGCGAGGTCAGGGGCTCTATCTATGCGGTCACGGGGGAGCCATCATCCACACCAGGTGCAGACCCTCCAGCATGGCTGCTCTGTAAACAAGCTGAATGAATTAATTGGTTCCGCAGAGCAAACTCTAGTGAACTCAAGCTTTGGTTTGCCAATAGGACTTTAGAAGGAGGATGTAGAAAATTCCTCCAATAGTCTCTCAGAACAGAAAGTACCAGGAGAGCAGGGACCACACCTCAGTTGTTCATCACCATGTATCCAGCGCTGAGCACATTGTTGGTACAGCATCAGCTAGAGGAGGGATATTTTTCAATGGCTGGTAGGTAGATAGATGGGTAAACGTAGGTGGATGGGTAGGTGGACAGAACGTGGATGTGAACTGATGGAGACAAATGGAAGGTGGGAACACAAACTGATGGGTGAGTGAATGTGAGGGATAGATGGATGGCAAAAGGAATGGATGAGAGGGTGGATTAGAAAGATGATGGATGGATCAGAGAGATGGATGGAAGACTAGATGGGTGGGTGGGATGGATGGATGATGAAGAGGGATGGATGGATGGATGATGAAGAGGGATGGATGGATGATGAAGAGGAGTGGATGGATTGATGGATGGATGGATGATGAAGAGGAGTGGATGGATCGATGGATGGATGGATGGATGATGAAAAGAGATGATGGATAGAAGGATGGATGATAAAGAGGGGTGAATGAGAGGGTAGATAACGAGAGGGATGAGCTAGATAGAAGAATGCTTGGATAATATGTGTGGACAGATATATGGCAAGGGCAAGTTAGATGAGTCGAAAATGGTAGAAGGAATGTAGAACAACAGAAGCAAGAAGCAGTGGACAGGTGGATGGACAAATAGATTACCCCTTGCCCTGCCTCCAGGACAGCCCTAGAGAGATGGCAAGCACAGAACTCTTACCTCCAGCAGGTTGAAGGTCCAGACAACAGCATGGACAGTGAAGATAACCATGGCAGAACAAGGGAGGAAAGAGCTGGAAAAGAGGAGGAGGGTCCTCTCAGGTTGCCTCCCAGGCTGACAGATGCTAAGGGAATAAGGAGGGTCCTGGGAACTAGAAAGAGAGGCTACACCCAGTGTGTCCTGCCCCAGGAGAGGACTGGGCATCATCTCCATGCAGTGAAGGCTGAGGGGGTGCTAGAGCACCCTCCATTCCCTATGCTTCCCAGGATGACTGAGGTGGTTCAGGGATCTCAGCTGAAAAGACTCCTCCTGCAGCATCCCCACTGCCCTGTGGGGACCAACACAGCCCTCATGCAGCAGGGGAGGGGATTCTGCTATACTCCAGCCCTCTACTTTTTGAGAAAGGTTCTCACCAAGTTGTCCAGGCTGGCCCTGAACATGCTCTGTGTCACCCGGGCAAAGGAAAGAGTTTCCTTAGGCCCTGTGTTCTTGGAGATTGGAGCTCTGGGGTCCCTAGGCCTTGTGGCCCCAGGTGAGCTGTGCTTGAATGGAAGGTGACATCAGAATAAGACGAGTGTTTCCAGGTCTCCATCTGGAACTGTTGACAAGGATGTCCTTGGGGAGGGACTCCCAAAGGTCATGTTTCAGGGGGTCATCCGTCTCCAGCAGCTGTAAGCTGTGGCTCCAGACGAAGGAGCCCACTGGGACAGAGGGGCAGCCACAGACACACAGCCACTGGCCAAGATGCTCTGATTCAGCTCCGGCAGGCCACACCCCATGTCAGGGCTGCTCAGGACCCCGCAGTCTGAAGTTAACAGGAGTAGGACCCAGCCTGGATGTGGAATTCTAAGGAGTTTCCCTGAGGGCAAAAGAAAAAAAATGAAGTGGGCACCTTGGCTTCACTTGGCTTGAAAGTCAGACCCAAGTCTGAACCCCAGCTCAGTTCTATGAATGTAAGCTGTGTTACCTCAAGATGGTGCTACAGCCTCTCTGTGCCTCACCTGTGAAATGGGGATATCAAGCTGTATTTCCAATCCTCATTCTACCCAGAGCCTTTGAAAACATACTTGTATACATGTATGTGCATGTATGTGGAGGCTGGAGGACAGCTGCAGATGTTTCTTGGGCACCACACACATTGTTTTGGGGCAAGGTTTCTCGCTTTTCTCTGGAGCTTGCTGACTCGTCTAGGCTGGCTAGCCAGCAAGTGAACTTGAGAGATCCACCGTGTCCTGCCCTCCAGCACTGGATTGCAAATGGATGCTAACATACCCTCTGTATGTGGGCTCTGGAGATCAAGTCAGGCCCTCGCATTTATTCAGCAGGCACTTTACTGGCTGAGTCTCCCTTACTTCTATTACTTCTAAGTGCATTGGAGATGCTCACTCTAGCTCTGAGCTTCCTCATCTGTGAAATGAAACAACATTTCTCGAGGGGCTATTGACAAAGGTCAGTCAAGGTCAGAGACTGAACCAGAGAGTTTAATTATTTCAGAGCAGACAAGGAGGTGATGTGTGGTCCATGATGGAGACCCTGCCACGGTCATGAGGGGTAAGGTGAAATGGGTGTGTGAGCTGCTGCGGGAAATGCTCTTGTACACTGTGAAGATTTGCCACTCATATTGGTTTAAATAAAATGCTGATTGACCAGTAACCAGGCAGGAAGTACAGGTGAGGTGACCAGAGTAAGAGAATTCTGGGAAGAGGAAAGGCAGAGAGTTAGTCATCAGTCAGACACAGAGGAAGCAAGATGAGAATGCTGCACTGGGAAAAGGTGCCAAGCCACATGGCTAAACATAGAAAAGAATTATGGGTAAATTTAAGTTGTAAGAGCTAGTTAATAATAAGCCCGAGTTAATAGGCCAACCAGTTTATAATTACTATAAGCTTCTGTGTGTTTTGTTGAGACTGAACAGCAGCAGACTGGGCAAGACAGAAACTCCATTTACAGTGAGTAGGGAGAACATGGAATATTGCCCAGTGGAAACCCTGGCATAAATAATATTAACTCCCAGAAGGCACAGCTAGAAGCTCCTCAAACATCTGGCCATGGAACAGGGCTGACATTGGGGGGCAGGGCACCTATTTATCCCACTGGGCAGCAGACAGCCTGGTACCTACAGCCCCTGGCTGATCCCTTGGAAGCTTAGCAGGCTATGACTCCAGACAAAGCCCCTGCATCATCTGCTTCCTCATTCCCAAGCCTGACACAGGGCTACATCTTCTGATGACCATAGAAGGTCATTTGGAACATGTGACTGGTTTGCTGTTTTGTTTTGTTTTTCAGTGTGGAAGACGAAGCCAAAGGCCTCATTGTACCTACAAGGCAAGTGTACTGCGACTGAACCATTTCCCTGGCCCTGCATCTACTTCAAATGAATACAGCATTTGCATAGGTGATTTAGCTTCAGGAAAGCATCAAGTCACCTCAGGCAGACGTGTAAACAGGTCACTTTGGGTTATTGGTACTAATGGCTCAAAACCAGAAACAGCTTCTGGCCCTCAGTGGAGACTGTTATTCTTTGTAAAGATATGGTGGTGGGGAACTGGTCCCACAAGAAGTGGCAGTCCCACGAGGGACCTGCAGCAGGTCCTCAGAGGCCTCAATGGGGCAGCAGTGGGTCCCCCAGGCCTCAGTGGATCACCTTGGCAGGAGACTGCAGCAGGTGAGAGACAGACAGATATGCCATGCAGAGAGAGAGGTATAGAGTTTATTTAGTGGGTTATGAAGGAAAAGGGAAGAGGGAAGGGAAGAGAGAGAGCTCACAGGCTAGAGGGGGGTTGGGAGTGCATGGAGTTTGTTTCTTAAAGGGACAGGGTACCCAGGTGACAGGCCAGGCCTTTCATACATTAGGCAAGTGGTTTACCACTGCGCCCCAGCCCCGCCCCAATGCCACCCCAGCTCCACCCCAATGCCACCCCAGCTCCACCCCAATGCCACCCCAGCTCCACCCCAACCCCAGGCTTTATTCTTTGGAGCCAGGGTTCAAGCTGGCTTGGAACTCATGATTCTTCTGCCTCATGACCTTTAGTGCTAGAATTACAGACGTGCATCATCATAACTAGCCAGTTGCTACTGGGTTTGTGATTTTGATTTGTCAGCTGAACTTATCTTTCATATTCACACATAAGTTCATGAACCTTGTTCAGTGTCCCCTGATTTAAAGGGAGCTCACTGATCTCCAGAGGGACCCGAGATTTACAGCCACCGTCTCTGTCTTGGCAGTTCTCCCTTCTTCAGAGCAGGCTGGCCCTGGGTGTCTCTGCACAGAACTGCTGTGAATCTGGCCAGAGTGAGCAGACCTCAGCTCAAGAAAACTGAGGACCTGAGAGAAGGGACTTTTCTCTAGTTATTCATGGGCAGGATGAGGGCTGGAGCTGCCATGTGGGGGGAAAACAATGGGCCAATTGTCTAGTATGACTTGGGAAGTAGAGGGTGAGGGAACTCATAACCACACTGCCCTACCCCAAGAGACACGTGGAACAGCCCCATCCATAACACCCCACACTGCCCTATCACCCTGGGTGGACTGCTTTGTTGACTGTGTGTGCCGCACCTGGGCAAACACCTCACTGGGGCACCTCATCAGAGTCAGGAAGGCATTGATACGGAGCTCTATGTCCTCCTCGGGAGCTTGGTACAGGTGAGAAAGCCCTGACCTCTGGCTTGGGAAAGATATCCATCATTCAGCAGCCCTCCCCCGCCCCCAGTGCCCTTGTTCCTACAGGTGACTCTGTGGCCCCACTAGCTTCCTTCATGTCTCTACCATAAGCAATTTCCCCAGCACACTGTCACCTGTGTGATCCAGAGCCTGGTCAGTTTCAATACATACCAATATATAACAGACATACATGGATTCATTCCAATAAAGATTTATTTACAAAACAACATAAATATGAAGTATAAATGTCTTAGTGCTCCTAGGCCCAGTCCTCAAGAAGCCACCTCCAGATTCTGTGACTCTCCATCAACCCCTTCCGACTTCCCTGTTGGTGTAGCCATCCGGTCACCCATTTGTAGGGTGTATCAGGTGGAACAGATGGCATCATGAATATGACCGACCCAGTCCCCATGCACCCGACACTCAGGTTCTAGAGCAGTGAAGATGTCTGAGTGAGGAGGACTGTGTGTGTGTGTGTGCGCGCATGCACACACACCATAGGCAACTTCCCCAGTACACTGTAACCTGTGGCCCTATTGTGAGAGGCAGTGGAACCACTACCCAGGTCTTTCGCAAGAACAACAAATACTCTTAATTTCTGGGTCATCTGTATATCTCTATAGCCTCTCTCCACCTTATTTTTTATGATCTTATTTTATTTACATGTATTTGCTTAATTAATTTATGTACATCATGTGTGTACATACATGCACACATGTTTAAATGCCAGAGATCAACTTTGAGTCCCTTTTCTCAATCAGTTTCCACCTTAGTTTTAAACTTTGTTTTATCTGTATGAGTATTTTGCCTGCTTGTGTGCATACTTGGTGCCTGTGGAGATCAGAGAAAGGTATTGGACCTCCTGGAACTGGAGTGACAGATAGTTGTGAGCTACCATGTCTTCAGCAAGAGCAACAAGTGCTCCTAACTTCTGAAACCTCTCTCCAGCCCTCTCTGCCTTACTTTTTAAAAGATTTTTTTTTTAATTTTATTTCTGTGTGTTTCCTTTCATGAGTTTATGTGCAGCATGGTGGCCAGATCCCCTGGAACTGGAGTGGCAGGAGGTAGTGAGACACTGCATGGGTGCCCGGAACTAAGCCCAGGTCCCCTGCAGGGCAGCAGAACCATTTCCCCAGTTTCTTCAGCTTATTTTTAAAAAGATTTACATATTGTTAATTTGAGGTCTCCACGGAGCCTGGAGCTCAGCAGTTCAGTTGGACTCCATGGATTCTCCCATCTTTGCCCCCTTCCAGAGTTGGGATTGCAGGCATGGCCCACCATGCCCAGCTTCTGTGTGGTGCTAGGGCTGAAACTCAGGTCTCCATGCTTGTGCAGTGGGCACTTTACTAACTGCGCCGTCACCCAGCCATCTTCTCTCCCTGTAAGGCTCTACATACAGTTACAGACTTAGGCCTGAGGACATCTGGAAGAAAAGTAGTAGATGAGGCTAACATGTGCTATCAGGTCAGAACCAGACCATGCAGAGCTCAGTGGTTTATGGGTAAGGACCCGACACTGACTGAGTGACAGACAGGCAGGCAACCTTTCCCTGTAACAACACAGACAATAACTATCTTGGGTCTAGCAACTTCTCTTGGAAAGATTCCATTCAGCAGTTGGAGCACCAATGTAGCCACAGTTAGCCTATAGCAATCTGTGTACCGATAAAGTTTTATTTACAAAAGCGGATAGCAGGCCAGGAGGTAGTCCACAGAGTCTGCCAGTGTTGGTACTTGTGTGTATGGATCACGTGGCAGTATTAGAAATTACACACTTATTTGTGGGTTTATTTGGTGAATAATAGCTTCCCACAATAAACACAGTTCTAGAGGACAGAGGCAAACTACCTGCTCATACTACCGCCTAGGCAGGCACCCAGCACACACGAGCTGCTCAGTAAACATGTAATGATTTCAAAGGAAGAGGTGAATCGAGAGCCTAGATCAAGTCCACCCATTGCCCAACTACAGCCAGAGTTAAAAACACAAAAACTTAAATCTGCAGAGCAAGGGATCCTCCAGAAGGCCTGGATAGCCACCAGCCTGATCTCCGCAGAGACGCCCCTCAGAGATGCTCAGGTGCTCAACAGGCGTGAGACCTGCTGCGGCCAGACCAGCACTCCATAGCCTTCAGCACAAGCTGAGGCTGCGGAATCATGGCAGTGGGGTGGACTGTGAGGCCGGAAGAGGCCCCCGCCCCACCCACCTGTCCAAGGATGACCTGCCAGGTAGGACCTGAATCTAGTCTTGAGACACTAGCTACGCTCACTTGACCAGCATTCACAGGCTCTGGGAAGCTGCCGTTCACTCCCAAAGCCTCGTCCAGAATCTTCACAAGGGAGCCAACTCCAGGTAGCTGTTGGCAGTGCCTTCCAGAGTGGCACAGAGGTGTGTGCCAGAGCTGAGATGCCAAGGAAGGCACCTGGGCTGGCCCCTGGAGACGGCAGCAGTGGCTAGGGATGCGGACAGCCCACTCCCGCCAAGAAGGCATACAAAGACCCTCTGTCCCCCTCTGCCCCCCTCTGTCCCCCTCAACCCTAGTCAGCCCTGCACTTCCCAACCTCCTGCTGTGGATAAGAGACTCCAGGCATTTGTTTCTAGAGAGGCCCCAGGAGTCCCTGCTGTACCCAGGGTAGAGATCTACACTCTCAGGCCTAAAGGGGGGTAGGAACATTGATGTTAATGTCTAGAGCATTTGGGGGTGTCATAATGGGAGGTCTAGGGGTGTAGCTCTGTGGCATAGCACCAGTATAACATGTGCAAGGTCCTTGATGTCCAACATCAGAAAAAATATTAGTGAAACTGTCACTGCTGGATGTGGTGCCTGTAGTTGTCGCAGTAGGGAGGCTGAGTCAGGCAAGGCAGGGGTTCAAAACCAGCCTAGACCACATTGTCAGATGCTCTTTCAAAAGAGATGAAGCAAAGCAACAGCAAGAACAGCAGCTAGGGAGGTAGGAGGGTGCTGCTGTCATGATCCAAGACCAGCAGCCCTGCTAGATGGCCTCTCGTGGGTAAGACAGCCCATGATAGTTACCTGATCCCACCCTGCACCAGTAGCTCCGGGATGAATGACTGATCCAAGCTGCCAGCTGGAGTGAGCAAGGTAAGGGTCCCTAGACAGTTGAGTGGAAAACCCTGGCCACAGCGTCAGGCCACCTCACACGTGGCAGAACAGCTCCTACTCTCTCACCTGGGAAGGAAATGAGCCCAAGTTCTCTCTGCACCAAGTGGATCTCATGAGTCAGTGACCTGGACCAACTGCTGCACCCCCGCCAGGGGAGCTGTACCAGGGAGAAGTCCTTCTTCAGAGACCATGGCTCCCCAAATGCAGACCAGAGTCCCTGTGGACCCAGAGAGGCACCCATGCAGGACTAAGAGGCCTGGGTTGGGGGCTGGAATCAGCTCAGGGTGCCATGAAGACAACCTGTCCACTGGTTCTGTCAGAAGGTTTCGATGTAATTTCTCTAAATGCAAGCTTGAGTCTCTTGATTCTTGGACTATCTTAGACTATCCAACGTCTTGAAAGCTGCCTATGAATCTACTCACGGGCTCCCGCCCCCAATGTGCCTTGCAGCACACGCAGCCAGACTCCACCTTATGCCCTGCGCTGCACACCAGCCCCCTGCTATCACCCTCTCCCATGTGCTCTCTTATCACAGGGAGGTTAAAGACCTGCCTCACATTGCCCAGCCTGTAGGGATGAAGCCCCACCTTAACCCTGGGGCTGGGCTCCCAGGTTCAGCTCTTGTTGGTTCTCAATACAGCTCTGGGCTCAGTCCTGAAAAAATGAAACACGCCCTGGGCCCTGCATGCAAATGTTAGCCTGAGACCACCCAGTGCTGACAGAATGGGGAAAGAGCGTGGCAGCCTCTGTTCTGCCGTGGTCCACAAGAGATGCAAGGTACAAGTGCGTGTGAAGGTGTATGTGTATGAACGTGTGCATGCAAATGTCTCTGTATGTATGTACAAAAATGCCTCTGTGTGTATGTATATGCATGCGTGAGTGCATCTCAGGGTATGTGAATCCTGGTACATGCATCTCAGGGTGTGCCTTCTGTGAAAATGAACAAATTATATATATATATATATATATATATATATAGCCCTAAAGCATTCTGGGATTCTATTTGCTTGTTTGTTTTTTTTTTTTTTGTCAAAATCAAAGGGGCCTCCATGTTGTCTTGCTGTGGTGAATAAGTAGGGCTGGGTGCAGAAGAGGCTGCAGAGGTGGCAGTGGGAGAAGACACCTGACCTGCAGGCCTGGCAAGTGAACTGATTCCTGGACTCCAGGGTGGAAGGAGAGGACTGTCCAGAGCTGTCCTCCAGCATCCGCATGTACGCTTCACCAGCACAAGAACAGTCAGATAATTTTTTAAAACTAAAAATTTACATGATGGTAAACTAATTTTTTAAAATGAGAGATACAGAGAAACGCCAGACAGCATTCACGCTACCTGAAAAGCTGTTTGTCACGCCCTTGACCAAGACCCCAGCTGCTGCGCTGCCAGGCTCTCCTCAGGCTATCTCCTGACCTGCAGCACAGTCCCACCCTGCCGTACAGAGAGCAAAACTCAGCCCATGCTGGTAAAGATCCATGTCTATGCCACAGCAATCACACCATGCAAAGATCAGATGCTTGAGGGGAGGGGAAGGGGGAAAGAGAAAAGGGAGGGAGGACAGGCAAGGTTATTTTCAGCTAGGCAGCCTTGCCCAGGCCCACTTAGTGCAGGCACGCTTGGATGGTACTCATGAACAGAACCAACACAGCCTGTGGAACCAACTGTTGGTTCAAGGGTCAGGGTTAAGGGGTTGGGTGCTCCCTGGACACCCCTGAATAGGCAACCAAAAAACTGCCAAGGCTCAGAGATACAGTCACCCTCATCAGGTGAAACTCCGGGGGACTCTGGCTGGCTAGCACCAGCCACTGATTGCTGGCTGCCGGTGCCCCCATCTGTCCCTAGCCTGGGGGAGTGGGATGAGGATCCCTCAGAGGCACCTCTACCCCCAGGCAAATGAGGATGCAGACAGAGCAAGATTCCCAATGTGGACTAGCTGCCCTGCGGGGAACCTGAGAGGGGAGTGATGCTTCTGCTCGTTGATGGGAACTGTCGACTAGTTTCATAGGGATTCCCAATTGTAGCACTCCCAAATAAATTTGTTTATAAAAACAGTCACTCTGGTTTTTTAAATTATGTGCATGTGAGTGTGCCTGTGTCTGTCATGTCATATGTGGTGACCAGAAGATCCTCTGGAACTAGAACTAGTTGTGAACCACCCCGTGCAGGTTCTGGGAACTGAATTCGAGTCTTCTGCAAAGATAGTCGGTGCTCCTAACCACTAAGCTATCTCTCCAGCTCTACAGGGGCCCTAGAATTGCTTTACACACAGCATGTCATTTCTCACCACAAACCTGAGTTAAAAGATAGGTTCATCCTCAGTTCCCATACCAAAAACCCATCTCAGAAAGCGGAGCCAGCCCCACATCAACCCTGGTGGGAGTGAGGTTCACCTGTCAGTGCAGCACTCGCCAGGAAGAGAAAGAGGATTCTCAGAGCAAGCTAGCTCTCCAGATTAGCCTGCATCTGTGAGTTCTGGGTTGCCTCTATGAACATGCACTTGCACACATGCAACCCACACCCACACACATGCAAACCCACACCCGCACACATGCAAACACATATCCACACTCATGCAAACCCATACACATGCATGCCCACACCTGCACACATGCAAACACATACCCACACACATGCAAACACATACATGCACACATGCAAACACACACCCATACATATACAAACCCATACCAGCACATATCCAGACATGCATCCATGTGTATTTTTTTAGGATGGTTCATAGAGGTTGGCCCACATCACATAACAGGAATACACATCAGACTTTATCTAGCTTTAGCCTGGCAACAGCCCCACCATTGCTGGGGTGGAGGCCCAGGTGGACAGTTGTGCCTGCCATTAGCCTTTTCTCGCTGCACCCGTTCAATGTGAATTTGTATTTCTTCTTTGCACTTGGACCACTTTGCTAACCTGCTGGCCTTTGTCGTGTCCTCAGACAGCCCGAGTTCGCACTTCTGTCTCTGCTCTGAGGAGAGTGGAGAACATCCTTTCACAATTCTGTCTCTGCTCTGAGGAGAGAGGGGAAGGCACGATCTTCCTCCAATGGTGAGAAGGTCCATGGAATGCCCCTTGTGGTTCTTGTTTTGGTCAGAAGTTACAAAGGGATTGAACTTCATTTTGACAGCTGCAATCCAGTGACGGCCACCAAAAAAAGCTAGTTCAAATATTTAGTAAGGAATAATCTCCAATTTGTAAATTTGTTATTATATTACTTGTTTGTTTCTTAATTTTTACTTTTTGGAGTCTGGCCTGGAACTCCTACACAGAGAGACAATGCTGACCTCGGATTCAGAGGCCCACCTGCTTCTGCACTTGAACAAAGGCCTGTGCCATCACGCCCTGTGTTACTTTCTTTGTTTCCTTGGATTCAGCCTAACTCTTCAGCCCTGGCTGGCCTCACACTTACCACCCTCCTTCTTCAGCCTCTCAGGTGCACCTCTGTGCTTACCTTTCTGGCACACTGGCTTTTGTGTACATGTTGTGCTTTCTGGAATTTGGTTTTATTTTATTTTCTACAGTACTGAGATGGACCACAAGGCCTTGAGCATACAAGACAAACCCTCTGAGCTGTGTCTGCAGCCCTTGAACTTCTTCCTATCAACAGTGATGGCAGAAAAACATGGTCACCTGATGGCCAGTCATGCAGGGTCCAAACACTCCAGCAGACAAAGGGCTGCCTCCAAAGCGTACCCCTGATTCTTCCAGCTGCTTAGTTTGAGGGAAGCTGACTTCATTCTTCCCATCTCAGCCTTCCTTTAGTCCCAGGTCTCTGCAGCAACCTAAGCCCGAGGCCATGAGAGAAGCAAGCCCAAAGGAGTCCTGCTAGGCCCACCCTGCTGCCTGCTCAGCATAGGCCTGCCAAGGCAGGGATGAGGCCCCACCTTGAGGGATCGCTGGTGTGGGAGGCTTCACTGCGTGACTGCCACCGAGCCCAACTTGGTCTCAGAAAAGCACAGGATATACCCAGCACGGTGGCAGATGCTGTACTCTCAGCACACGGAAGGCACAGATGGGGTCATCATAAGTCCCAGACAGCCTGGGCTACAGAATGAAACCCTGTCTCAAAAACACAGAGAGCACAAAGCAGGCTCCTTGAGGCCAGTGTGTCCACCCCAGAATGCAGGGAGCCTTCGTGGGATGGGCCTTCTCCAATCTCACCCTGTCTTCACTTCCACTGGTGCTACTCACAAGCAGACTGACTACCACTGCTAGGCTGGCCCTCACTCTGGTGGCCACAGAGCCTCTCTGTCACCCACCATGCTATCTGGAGACCACAGAATCCTGGCTCTGATTCTCCCTCTCTGAAGCCTTGCTGCAGGCTTTAGGAACACCTAACTATCCGCAGCCACCACCAGCATATAAATAAGCCCGTGTTATGTATCAGTCTCTGGGGCATTTGGCTGACGTGTAACTCTGTGTTGGTGTGCTTACGTAGCATGTGTGGGATCCTGGGTTCTGTCTGTAGCTCCACCAAAAAGAAGAAAGAAAAAAACAAACAAACAAACCCACTTGTCTCTATAGCATTTAATAAATGTGCATAGCTTGAGTTCTCTTCCAGAACACGTGTGTCTGCTCCTCTCTCAGCCACCCTAACAGGCATATCCCTGTCCCCTGGCGAAAGCTCTGACCCGGCCATTCCCCCCGCCCCCGCTGCCCCTCGGTCATCAACACCTGCCCCCCCCCCCCACACACACACACCGGGAGTTTGTGCTCTATGGACCACCACGTCCTGGCTTTGTTTTAGGACTGAAAACAAATTTGGTCTGGGGCCACTGCCCTTAGCAAGGGGCTAAGACTTTGTAGTCTCCTAGCAACACAGGGAGGGTTTGGTCCTCCCAAGGGGGCTGGGGATCTGTGGCTGTGGGCTAGTGCGCCCCTGGGAAGCCTAACAACTTATCTTTTGGCCCAAGGGACCTCCTAGGGAAGATGGGACCCTCTGACGCAGGCACGGCTGTCTGCCTCAGGGAGACCCAGGCCCATAGCGCACCTTGCCTCAAGTCGTGGGACCCGCTTAATGGACAGCCTGGGGTCACGGAGTGCTCTGGGGCTGGACAAGAGGAGCTGGTCTGTCCTGTAGCTTCACAAGTGAGATAAGAACAGTGCAATAGTTCTCAGCTTGGACAACCGTGTACCCAAGAGATAGCAATCTGGTTGTCATGGCTACAGGCAGGGAAGATGCTGGCATCCAGCTGGTGGAGACCAGGAGTGCTGCTTCTGTATACCACAATGAACAAGGCGCCCCTCCCCAACGGCAAATGTGGAAACAGACTGCCTAGGTGAACCGCACAGCTCTGCTACTTCCTGGCTAGGTGGATGTGAGGAGAGTCCCTAAATTCTGCAAGCCAGTTTCCTCACTTGTACAATGGGCACAGAGACAAGAACTTTCCTGAGGGTTGAATTAGATAACATGGAGGAGGAGGTCCTTAGCACAGAGCGAATGCTTGGGTGTGTTGGTGAAGCTGGGCAAGAAGGGGAGATCATGCAGAAGCTGCTCAGGCTCTGAGTCTGCCCTGGGGCTGGAAAAACTTACCTCAAAGCTGGTAGGCTGAGCCGCACACAGCTTCCTCACTAGCGCAGCTGCCGAGGCCACTATGGCTCTGGACAGTTTTTCTTCCTACTTGAGGCTGCTGCGACTTAATCTCTGTAGTCTGTGTCTGGGACAGCAAGACCCTTAGAGTCAGAGGGGCCTGGGAGCTGTCCCTCAAATTCTACAAATGAGTCCTTCAGCATGCTCCAGCCATGGGGTTAGAGAGGCAGGTATAAAGTCATAGCAGATATTATGGTATTACCCTGATACCCATTACCAGGGCATGGGTAGGTCAGCAGGTGGGGGATATGCAGCGCTGCCAGCAAAGACAGGAAGTAACTTAAGCACCTGTCTGTCAGATGGAGTACACTGGATCAGCCCCAACAGTGCACAGCAAAGGTGATCTTTCTCTGTGAGGCCTGGGGACGTGGCTCAGTTTGGGAACTGCTGGCCTAGTAGGCACCAGGCCCTGGGTACAACACCCTGGCACAGGATAAACCAAACACAGCACACGAGTCTGTAACCCAGCACACAGGAGGGAAAAGCTCCTGGCCTCTCGGCCCCCTAGGGGCCAGGACTCTCTGGAGTAAAGGTTGGTGTGAATGCAACCCTTTCTCCCTATTCAGGTAGCCATTGTCCAGAGCGCACCTCTGTCATTGCAGGAAGATGTGGAGGAGGAAGGGAGAGGGGTGATGATTGGGTGAGAGGAGAAGGGAAGAAGGAAGCGGACAGGAAGGAAAGTGAAGGAGGAGGGAGGCAGGCACTGTGGCGCAAGCCTTCTGTTCCAGCACTTGGGAGGCAGATGCGACTGAGGGAGGAAGAAGGGAAAGAGGGGGAGGGGAGGAGGAAGACAGAGGGAAGGAAACTGTGGGGTGTGTACAATGACCATCCCAGCCAGGGGCTGAGTGTGCAGGGAGGAGGGGACTACGTGCAGGGAGCACCTTGTTCTTGAGCTGATCCTCTCAGCTCTGGTATGTGGTGGGACGCAGGCCCAGGATGTCTCTCTGGGATGCCCAATAGAGCAGTTAGCCCCCTGCACCACCTCCATCCCACTGGCCTTCCCTTCTGGCCTCACTGTAGTGAGCCGGACAGGATCGCCATTACAAGATGGCGCCGACATCCTGTCTTGTTGGTTATAAACAACTCCATATTTGGCTATGGCTTTGAGAGCTGCACGTCCCCGCTTTCCGCATGCGTGGTGGATGAGGATCCTTGAGCCTATCCTGATGCGGTCTGGTGTCAGCTGTTGGTGGCAGCCAATCACAGGGCGACCCGTGTGCCAATTCCCTATTTAAGCGGCTGCCTAAGAGCACCCCGGCCCCTTCGCTTCCTGCTGCCTCTCCCCTTAGCTCTCTGCCCCTTAGCTCCCTGCCCCTCCGGTTCCTGTTCCTTGTTCTCCTGCCCCCCTCATTCCATGCTCCCCATCAATCAAGGGCACTCCAGTAAAAGCGTGATCTGAGTGGAATCCTGGTGTGGTGGTCATTCTTTCTCGCCGGTCGAGAGGTCCGCCACACCTCACCTCCTCGAAAGTCTTGGACTCATGGACCCTGAACAGCTCTGCACAAGCCCAGCGTGGCTCAGAGCAGTGGGGACACAAGTGGACACTGGCCAGCACTGAAGATGAAGACAAGAGGATTGCGGCCCAGAGCAACACTGTGGAAGGAGGAATGAGGGGTCACATGGGCTGCAGTGTCTCCATCCTGCAGATCTCCCCGTAGGAAATCCCACTTCTCTCTGCTCCTGGTACGAGGAGAGCACGGAACGCTGGTTCCCACTGGCCAACAACCTGCCCCCTGACCTGGTGAACGTCAGGGGCTATGGCTCAGCCATCTTGGACAACTACCTCTTCATCGTCTCTGGAATTGTCAGTATAGGGACAAAATCCACAGGCAGCTGAGTTCATCTAAAAGAGGGAGGCTCTGGAGAGCTGTCTGCACTCTCAAACTTTCTACTGAACCCAGAGTCTGTCACCCCAAAGGACACCCAGACCAGCACTAGAAATCCGCTCACATCTGACAAGCTTTCACTGAACCCTGGTGAGGTGTCCAGAGGAGCCCGAATGTTATCAGTCCTCACTATAGCGTCACCCACCGAGAACAGCAACTCCAGCACAGGGGAAAGACAGACTTTGTCCCAAACCGTATCTCCCCATTTTCAGAGCATCATACATCACGCTTGTCTCAAACATGTTCTGTAGCCGAGGATGACCGTGAACCTCCTAATCTTACAGCCTGTACCCCCGGCCCTGTCACTACACCTGCCTTATCTGTTCTGGGGACTGAATCCTGAACTTGATGCGTGCTAGGCTAACACAACTGAGCTACATTCCCAGCCCAGCCCCACGTTTTGTTGTAGCTGGGGTGTAGGGGGTTGTGTTACTGTGGCCCGGCCCAAGGCACCACTCATGCTGAGCAAACATTCAGTCATAGAACTACAGCATCACCCTTTGCCCTTCCTTCTTTCCTCCCTCCCTCCCTCCCTCCCTCTCTCCCTCCCTCCCTCCATCTCTTCCTTCTTCTCCTCCCTTCCCCTCCCTTATGGTCTCCTTCCTTTCTTCCTCCATTCCTTCCTCCCACCCTTCCTCCCTCCCTTCATGCCTCATTTCCTCCTATCTCCTTCCCTCCCCTCCCGTTTTCTTTTCCTTCCTTCCTTCCTTCCTTCCTTCCTTCCTTCTTTTCGTTTTCTTTTTGGTTTTTCAAGATATGGTCTCTCTGTTTTGCTCTGGAGCCTGTCCTGGAAGTTGCTCTGTAGAACAGGCTGACCGTGAACTCACAGATCTGGGATTAAGAGATTTACTTTTTAGTTGGCTATATATGACTGCTTTGCCTGCCTCCGTATACGTGTACTGTGTGTGCTTAGCGTCCACAGAAGCCAGCAGGGCTTCAGATCTCCTGCGCTTGGAATCAGGACAGTTCTAAGTCACTTGTGCTTGCTAGGAACCGATCCTGAGTTTTCTGAAGAAGCAGCAAACGCTCTTACCTGACGAACCTTCTCTCTAGCTTTTCTGTTTTTAATAGAGAGTTTTAACTGCACAGCACAGGCTGACCTTGAACTAGCAACCTTCCTGCCTCAGCCTCTCTAGTAGCTGGGATGGCAGACTTGTACTACTTGGTACCCACCTTCTTCTGCAGGCCCATTTGCTCTTCCTAAACACCTGCAGCCTCTGCCCAGACTTCAATGCTCTGGGCCCATGTGGCTACTGAATACAAATGCATATGCTGTTTCTTCTGTCACCCGCCTATGTCAGCTATGAAGTTGACTGCAGCAGAAACAAAGTCTCCTGCCACACAGGGTCCCCAGGGGTTGCTCACTGCCTGCCCCCCCCCACTTCAGTGTAGACAGGACAGCATGGAGCTAAGCAGAGGCCAAGATCTAGACCCAGACGGCTGGTTCCAGGGTCACAGGCCTCAGAACTGTGGGAATTACCTTGAGATCTGTCACTGTGAAACAGGCCTTGGAAAAACAGTGTTCACATTAAGCACTGACTCCAGACTTGGACCCGTAGGTAACCAGACACAGAATCAAAGCTTGATCTGTCCTGTTGGACTCCTTCACTATGGACTGCCCACTTATCTGTACCGGGCAGCGGGTGTCCTGTCAGGTTTTTTTTTTTTCTTGATATAACTTAGGGTCACTTGGGAAGTGGGAGCAATTGAGCAAGTGCCCAGACCAGACTGGCCTGAAAGACTGTCTTGATTGAGGATTGGTGTGGGAGGGCCCAGGCCACTGCCAGTGCCAGCATCCTACTCAGAAGGGCCTGAACCTTATAGGAAGCTGCAGAGTGAGCCAGCAGGCGATGCTCCTCCAAGGGCTTCTGCACCTGCTCTTCCCAGCTGCTGCATTGATTAGGTTGCCTCTCCCTGCTTCTCACAATTACTCGGTTCTCAAAGTTTTGTATCGGGACAGGCGACCAAGGCTAGCTAGCTTGTGAGCTAGGAGTTCTGCCTTTTACCCTCAAACTCCAGGTCACAATCATTCAGACTAGCAACCAGGAATGCGCTGCCACACAGCCAGGGATGGGGAGCAGGACTGAGCCGTGCACAGCAGCCAGGGGTGGGGAGCAGGACTGAGCCCATGTCTCTGGACCCTGCTCTCACCTGGTAGGACAACTGGTCAATGCCTGGTCCCCGGAAGGTAGGGGAGAAGAGAGGAGGGGTGCTAAATCCTGCATCCCTGTGTGAATACAGGAGACCAAGATGATCCAGGACAAAGAGGAATGACCACACCCCAAGCCAGCAAGCCCAGGGAGGCCCCTGTCCCCTTCTTCAGTTGGTATCAGGGGTGAGGGTGCTAAGGCAGGGCCTGGGATCTCAGACCCGGGGCTTAGAGAAATGCTAATTGTACTTCCTCAGAATAAAGTGTCAGTTTGGTCCCAGGGAAGTGACAACCCCCAGGGCCCCTGACTTAGCATTTCTGATGAGGAGTGGGGGACAATAGGCCCCTTAGAGGAGACAGCTCTAAGCCTTTCAGGGGATCCATCTGCCCCTGGGCAGTATCTCCCACCCCCTGTCCCTGTATTCCTGGACAAAGGCTTTATTTTTTTTAACAAATGAATTTGCAATAAAAAGGAAGAGGAATCTGTCAGATGGGGCGGTCTTCAGGCTGGCTGCTCTTAGCCCCCACGTCAGGGAGCCCTGGGAAACCAGCCTAAGGCAGAGTTCCAGGCTTGGCTGGGTCACAAAAGGTCAGCTCAGCTTGGGGGCAGGCAGGACTTTGCCTTTTACCTCCCAGACGATGGGGGAAGGGAGACCAGCTGATCTCAGAGGGAACAGAGGTCACAGCCATCCAGAACCTACACAAGGGCAGTGCCATTGGGTAACAGCAGGTAGGAACTCTCTACCTGCTTCAGGTACAGGGCAGGCAGTAGTGGGAAGTCCCCCCATCAAACAAGAAGCCATCTGGTGACGTTATTTGGAGTCACTAGAGGCTCCTACATCATGAAAATTCTTAATGTTTCATTGGCGATCTAGCCTGATTACTTGACAGAGTCGAAACATGAACACAGTTGTGATCCCAGCATTCATCAGGAGTTCAAGGCCAACCTGGGCTACAATAAAACCCTGTGTGTTCTCAAACAAAACTTGTCAAGATAAACCCTTATTTGACCATCACTCCAAAGTGACATCTCTTCAGCATGAGTTCCCCCTTCTTGGGTTTTCTGGTCTGGCTCAGTGTGTCCAAAGCCTGTTAGTTGTGGGAAGGGGTTATGGGCTCACATGTGAACAGGCCAGGTCTTACCTCAAACTCTCCAACTCCTTCTGAACTTTCACCTGGGGCCCCAGAACAGATGTCACCTGGAAGCCTTGAAGCTGAAGCACAAAATGCCGTGAGTTGACGGACTCTCAATGCTCCGACACTGGACGCTAAAGATCCTTTCCTCAAAGAGAAGGTTCTGGATCCTGGGTGGTAGAGACCCAGGACACGTTCTAAGTAATAGAAACAGCCAGATGCGCCCTGCTGTGTTTGTTCTCATTTTGCCCAGGAAGATATTAAAGTCTGATAGAAGGATTCCTATATCAGGAATCTACAAACTAAATCATGTAGGGATGGAGTGGTTAAAAGAAACGATGCTTGCAGCCAAAACTGATGACCCAAGTTCGATCCCTGGAACCTACATGGCAGAAGGCAAGAACCAGCTTCCTACAAGTTGTTCCCCAGCCTCCACATGTACACCCACACAGAAACAGATTAATAAAGATTCTGCCAATGACATGAGTTTAAGTGACATTGTCAACTGCCATTGTAGAGGGATAATTACAAAACCAGAATATAACCACTTATAAATATATACAAACATTCACCAAAGACAAATGTGGCTGGATGGCCTGGAATCACCAGGAGTGGTGGTATACTTGTTTATTCCAACAAAGAGTAAGGCTTTCAATCAGGTAGAGTGGTGTTTCCTGTGATCCCAGCACCCGTGTAAAGTTGAGAGCATGGTTCAAGCCTGTAATCCTAGCCCTGGGGTGGGGCGGGGCGTGACTAAGGCAGGAAGATGTGGGTTCAAGGGCCACCCAAGCAACATTTGAGTTCCAGACCAGCCTAGGCTACATAGTACCTGGGGGGAAAAAGTAATTTTAAATGTTGGGCTGGGGATGTAGCTCAGTGGTTGACTGCCTAGAATGACAAAGTCATGAACTCAACTGGGAGAAATAAAAAGGAATTTTAAACAGTATTTATTCTTCAGGTGTGGCACTCAGAACTCAGGAGGTATGTGTGTGGTGGAGGGGGTGTTCGTGTGTGTGTGTGTGTGTGTGTGTGTGTGTGTGTGCTGGCCAGAGGTTGATGTCAGGCTTCTTCCTCTATCACTCTTTACCTTGTTTTCTGAGACAGAATAGCTCACTGAATCTGGAACTCAGCAACTGGACAAGACAAGCTGCCGGAGCGGAATCCTCTTTTCTCCACATCCATGGAGCTGGGATCACGGGTGTGTGCCACCAGCCCAGCTTTCCCAGGCAGTGCTGGGAACTTGAACTCAGGTCCCTGTGTTTGTGCATCAAGCGCTTTACCAACTGAGCCATTTTAAAAACTTGCCAGAAGACATTGTAAGATGGAATGAGGTTCTGGTGCATGTTAGGATATAGGTAAGCTCTGAACACATCCTAATCAGTGGAAGGAGTCAGAAAAAAGAGCTTGCCAACCAGCTGATCACACTTAGATGAAGCACCAGCTGATCACACTTCATGAACCACCAGAAGTAGGAAAGTCCCTAGACTCAGAAGAAGAGTGGGGCCAGGGAAGGATTCAGGAAGTTAGTGATTGAAGCTCCTGTTTAAGGTTCTGAGAACATTCTAGAAATGGACAGTGCAAAAGTAATCCGTTCCAGCGAACCCGTTAATATAGACAACTTC